ACAATGGCACAAAGCGGGTATGGGTTTAGAATACACTATCCAAACCTGCCTCCATTAATATGCTGGGACTAATCTAGATATTTTCTTTTCGACAATCTAGGAAGATGGCTCATCGTGCAGCATATTCACATTTGATATCGCAGCAAATAAACCCCGCCTACCACTTGCCAAAAACGCAGTTCGCAAACACCGTACCCTTAGGCATCCCGGGGTTGTCAAAGTGCTAGAAACGATAGAGGTGGGGATACCTCTTTTGTCGGGTATCGAGATGCTACTGCAGGAACAAGAAGGCTAACGGAAGGCGTAGACAGACATGAACATTTATATCGTGACCGAAAGGATCACTCCGCTTTCGTGGCCGGTAAAAAGGAGGAGCCTGAGCGAGGAAACCGCAAAATGGGGCTTATTTGCAATTGCTGTGAGTTTTACTACTTATTTGCTTACTGGAAGGCATCTTTTTTTTTTACTAATTCTGTGAACTTTTGTAGTCGACGCTTAAATTTATCAACGAAGATGCGTCTTCGGTTCACGGCGCGGTCAGAGTCTCCTCTATATACACAAGCGAAAGTGGGGAATGGAAACTGGGAGGGTTTGATATACTCAGCTCCATGAAGGAGGACGACGCCGTAATATACGTTCGTTTCCCCTTCTCCTGGCCAACACAAAAACACTGGTGATTAATATTGTGGCAGACATATGGTAGCCTCATGCCGGATTCTTCACGTTATGCACCACCGGAGATCACGAAAGGCGGCGGCTGGGAAACTATCAAACGCAACCCATTACCTGCGACGGATTCTTACAATTTTGGGTGCCTTATTTTCGAGGTTTTTAATGGTAGCTACAGAGGGAACGACCAAGCAGGCCAGACCTCAAATGTCCCTCCAAGCATGCATCAAAGTTACAAGAGACTTATGAATCCCAACCCAAAGCTAAGGCTCAGCGTGGCCCATTTCCTGGAACAAGGAAAACGCAGCGGAGGTTTTTTCGAAACTCCGTTAATCCGGCTCACCCAGGATATTGAAAGTTTAGGATTGAAAAGTGAAGGGGAACGGGATCAATTTATTAAGTATGTCCAACGTATCTTCCAAACAACATGGGGGATCCTTTGTCTAATCTAGCTATTCTAGTGAGCTCGATGAGCTGACAGACGATTTCCCTGAGGATTTCTTTAAAATGAAGGTCTTGCCTGAGTTGCTAAAATCTGTTGAGTTTGGCGGCGGAGGACCAAAAGTTTTTGCTTCCATTTTAAAGATCGGCACGAAGCTCTCAGAGGAGGAGTATTCGAGTAAACTTATACCGGTTATCGTACGATTATTTGGCAACCCTGACCGTGCTATGCGTGTTTGCTTGCTTGATAATCTCCCTTTGATGATCGACCACCTCCCACAGAAAATTGTTAACGATAAAATATTTCCCCAAATGGTAAGTTTCATACCGTGGGAACGATTGAATAGATTTATTTACAATATTAACGTCTATTGTTAGGTAACTGGTTTTACCGATATCGCCCCGGTTGTAAGGGAGCAGACTGTAAAAGCAGTACTCGCTGTCATCGGGAAACTCTCTGACCGAACCATTAACGGCGAACTGTTGCGATACCTTGCCAAAACTGCCAATGACGAGCAACCAGGAATCCGAACAAACACGACCATATGTCTCGGGCGAATTGCAAGGAACCTAGGGCAAAGCGTAAGTTCATTCCTTTTTATTCTAACTAATTACAAGCCATTGCTAATACCAACATTTTTATTCAGTCAAGAGCCAAAGTCCTCACAGCTGCATTCAGTCGTTCCCTGAGAGATCCGTTCGTCCATGCCCGAAACGCAGGTCTCCTTGCTCTAAGTGCAACTCTAGACCTATTTACTGAAGAGGACTGTGCAACAAAATTGTTGCCGGCAATTTGTCCTTCTTTATTGGACAAGGAGAAGTGAGTATTGCCATGCCAGGCACCAGGCGCAAAAGTAATTTTCACTGACTGATGAAATAGGCTTGTCCGAGACCAAGCAAACAAAACGCTTGATTTATATCTTCAGCGCATTCGCAAGTTTAGTGCATCGATGCCTGATACAACGTTACCAGCCCAGAACCTCTCTGAAACTCATGTCGCAGTCGCTGCACGGATGGGTACGCCAAATGACACATCCTGGGCAGGATGGGCAATTTCGTCATTTACGAATAAAATAACAAGTGCGAAAGGTGAAATTGAGCCAACATCTAATGGCAGTCAGTCCGCTGTTGCACCTGCAACTCGAGCTTCGTCAATGCCGCATACAGTGAGATCGTCGCCATCTGCCCAGGTAAATAAATCAAGCGAAGCCTTGCGGCTTGGTGCACCACAAATTTCTCGAACTACATCGGAGCCTCCACCTAAGGATTCCAAGTTGGAACCTGAACATGAGGAAGAAGACGCGTTTGATGCGTGGGGAGCTATAGATGATGAGGATAACGAAGATGATGGGTCCGACGCCTTTTATGACGCTAAGGGATCCCCTTCTCCCAGTCTACCTACAACATCTACGCACACGCCATTCGATGACGGCGGAGAACCCGATTTTGCTGGGTGGTTAGCCGCCCAGTCCAAAGCCAAATCTAAAAGGCCATTACCCAAAGGGCTCTCCAAATCCACCAACACAAAAGTCGCGGGTGCCACACGGCTAACAAGCACATCGAAAGCATCCGTCCCGAGCAGTAAGAGCTCGTCTGTCAAAGGTAGAACGTCCTCCCAACCAGCTAAAACGATCGATACGAAGCCGAAAGAAGACGCAGGCGAGGATGACTGGGGCGATGCTTGGGATTAACAACTTTAGTCTTTCTGTTTTTAATGAGAGGTTTACCTACTTGCTCAAGACTGCGTCTGCCTGCAAGTTGTCTACATCTATATCACATTAATTCATATTTATATATGTTGCACGAGTGCAGCCGTTAGCATAGCGTCTTTGGTAATTGGATATATAGAGAGTACATACAGCTTACATGAAATAGTGAATTGAAGACATTACCTAAAGCCGACCCGCTTCCCGAATAATGTACCATCAACAGTGCCGGTAAGTTAGGAAGTATTAGTTGTCAAAGGTTGTAGTCGTGTGACAGTTCTCAGAAGTGACGTGAGGATTAATCTGTGGATACAAAACTACGAGTTTCCCGCTGAAAGGTTCGCAAACCACCAATGACTGTCGGCCCTTTTAGCTCAAGATTTTTAAAAATTGATTTACAATATCAAAAATAAAATGAGAGAAGAATGAACCAAAATGGGAAAAAAAGGAAAAAAGAATACTTCGTATATGCATCATCCGTGAATCGAACACGGGCCCCATCGAGACTCGGTGACTCGAAAGTCATGGCAACGATGGATTCTACCACTAGACCAATGATGCTAGCTTGTTGAAGTGAGCCTCTCGCCACTTAATTAATATAGGCCTCGTTCGATGACCCCCTGCTGGCATTAACGGCTACCTGGTCATCAAACAATCTCGACAAAACCCATGGATAGTTACCGCCACCCTGCATTTCTTATTTTTCTTAATTCAACACAAGCATCAAATGCTCGCTTACGCTCGCTTTGCTGCTTGCGCAGCCCCGGCCCCCCTCTATCACTTCCACTCTCTACCTCTACCCCCTCTTACCACCCCTGCCACCCCTTCCACTCCCTACCTCCTCTACCACCACCACCGCCTCTACCGCCCCGCAGCTCCCCCTACCACTTCCACCCCCTACCTCTACACCCCTTACCACCCCTACCCCCTCTACCACCACCACCGCCTCTACCGCCCCGCAACCCCCCCTACCACTTCTACCCCCTACCTCTACCCCCTTCTTACCACCCCTACCCTCTCTACCACCACCACCGCCTCTACCGCCCCGCAAACCCCCCTATCACTTCCACTCTCTACCTCTACCCACTCTTACCACTCCTTCCACCCCTTCCACTCTCTTTATTACAGAGTATTTAGCAGTATATACTATAAACACAGAGATCAAAATGTGGTAGAGATAGTAAGAGAGGAGTAGAGATAGTGAAAGTGATAGAAGAGACTGCAGAGCAGTAGAGGTAGTGATAGTGATAGAGAGAGTAGAGATGGAAGGGATGGAAGGGGTGGTAAGAGAGGGGTAGGAGTGGTAAGAGAGTGACTGGTAAGATGAGGGTAGAGATATGAAGTGGAAGTGATAGGAGGTGCTGTGGGGCGTTAGACGCAGTGGTGGTGGTAGAGAGGGTAGAGGTGGAAGGGGTGGTAGAGGTGGTAGAGGTGATAGAGGTGGTAAAGGGGGGGTAGAAGTGGAAGGAATGATAGGGGTGGTAAGAGAGAGGGTGATAAGATGGGGGTAGAGATATGAAGTAGAAGTGATAGGGGGTGCTGCGGGGCGTTAGAGGCGGTGGTGGTGGTAGAGGGGGTAGAGGGGGTAGAGGGTGAAAGGGGTGATAGAGGTGGTAAGAGAGTGAGTGATAAGATGAGAGTAGAGATAGAGAGTGGAAGTGATAGAGGGTGCTGTGGGGCGGTAGAGGCAGTGGTGGTGGTAGAGAGGGTAGAGGTGAAAGGGGTGGTAGGGGTGGTAAGGGGGGGTCGGAGTGGAAGGGGTGGTAGGGGTGATAGGGGTGGTAAGAGAGTAGAGGTATGAAGTAGAAGTGATAGGGGTGCTGCGGGGCGTTAGAGGCGGTGGTGGTGGTAGAGGCGGTAAGGGTGGTAGGAGCAATTGCTAGGACAACGCCACTGAGCAGGCGCCACTACATATCCATGGATTTTTGATGGGGTGCATGTGATGTCACATTACAGTGTTTTTTGCACGGAAAAGTTGGTTTTTCTTTAATATATAGAGAGATGTTTTCTTTGTTTCGCGCTTATGCAAATGCAGCTAGTCCAACCCTAACCTTAACTTAAACTTAAAATAAAAGTTAAAAAGAATTTTGTCCCATCTCAAACCCACAGCTACGTGATTTGCTCAGCATCATTCTCCACCGACCAAACATTCATCTAAGGCAAGATGGCCGAGCGGTCCAAGGCGCCAGATTAAGGTTCTGGTCTCGAGAGGGGCGTGGGTTCAAATCCCACTCTTGTCACCATTCTTTTTTTATATTTTACCCTTTTTTTTGGTGATGGACGGACGCGTGAGTAATAATAGGCCACAAGAGGAATTATTTTGGGGTACGGAGTACATTTTGCGGTCTTGGCCGTTCGTACCCCGCGAGGAACGATGACGTCAACGGGATTGTCGTCCTCACAGCAACCTTCAGAGTTGGCTTCGCCTATGTCATTTTCATATATAACGACTGATTTGAGCTTGGGTTTCCTCACCTATCTACGGCAGGCTGAGCCACAGTAGGAGTTGGCGTAGCTAACTTTGTGGAAAGATTGAAACCACTCTGCAATAACCCTTGTTCAATAATCATGTCAGCTGGGGGGTCAAGGCCATTGGAGGGGAAGTTTGCAATCATCACAGGGGGTTCAAGGGGTAAATACTTCCTAATTATACTTTATATTAGTCGCCGTGACGAATGCCGTCCCCCTTCCCACTAGTTCAACAACTATGTACACCAAGAAAGCACGCGCGCATACAAGAACCAGATACTAACAGATTTTCTCAAAAAGGCATTGGAGCAGCCACTGCCCATAACTTGGCATCGAAAGGCTGCTCACTTCTTCTCAACTATACCTCCACTTCCTCAACGGAGCGGACACTCCAGCTCTGTGAAGAGTTGACCAAAGCCCACTCCATCCGCTGCATAAGTGTCCAGGCAGACCTCAGCGAGCCCACCGCAGCAGTCCAGAAAATTCTTGCCAGTGCCCAAAACCACTTCACCAATTCATTCACCAACAGCTTAACCATCGACATCCTAATCAACAATGCCGGCATCGGGGGCGATATCCGCCTCAACGACCCCGTTCGCGGGCCTATCAGTGCGGAATTCTTCCACCACATGTACACCGTCAATGTCCTGGCTCCCCTGCTCCTCACGCAAGCCGTGGCCCCTTACCTACCACAGGACCGATCGGGGCGAATTGTGAACCTCTCAAGCGTTAGTGCAAGCTTGGGCTTTGAAGGGCAGAGTGTCTACGGAGGGACCAAGGCGGCGATGGAAGCCATGACGCGGACGTGGGCGCGTGAACTTGGCGACCGCGCGACTGTCAATGCCATCAACCCGGGGCCGGTTATTGGGGATATGTACTGGGAGGCAGGGGAGGACTTTTGGAAGACGATGCAGGGCTGGCAGGACAACACGCCTGGCAGCAAGCTTGTGGTGGATGATGGGCTTGCGGGGACGGGTGCGGAGAGATTGAGTGAGGAGATTCAGAGGATCGTGTGGGAGAAGATGGGAGGGAGGAGGCCGGCTTTTACGGATGAGATTGCTGGCGTGGTGGGCATGCTGTGCACGAAGGATGGGCAGTGGTGTACCGGGAGCGTGGTATGTGCTAATGGAGGGTTGAGGATGAGTATGTGATGCGCTGGATAAAGGGTATCTTTGTAAGAAAGGGTCATAGATCTATCTAACCCTGTTGAAGCATGGTTGAAGAAACATGGGTTAATCGAAAGGTATATGATATTGTAGGGAGCGAGTATGCATGGTTTTACATCCAGTCCTTGAATAAGTCCATATCTCGAATAGTTTCTCAGCTGTACGGCTTTCGCCAATATTTTGTTTGTCTAGGACAACGTATAGACGCGGCGTCCATCAAGGGAGTCGACTCCGTGAAGGCTATTGTACAGTATATATCGCTTGTAGATCTAGAATTTGGAATTTGAACCTTCGAAACGTTAACATAACATGCGATAATTCTTAAGTGGGATCCTCACTAACTTAACTAAGAAAGGCCATATTATTTCCTAATAATTTCCTACTGTTTCGTTTGTCAACTATCGTGCCTCAAAATGACGCAGGTATTATCTCGCGCAGCGCGAAGGCACCAAGATAATTTCCCCCAAGGGAACAATTTGATGGGATGGGAGTAACCAGCAGTGAAGCTTGAAAGATGTACTCCGTACAGTAACTTCCAATGGAAGAGGGATTGATGTAACACAGCTTCATAGTTATTGGGCAGAGACCTGCGCCTTGTGCTTTGTATAAATATAGGAGAAATAATGTCGCTGCCTAGTTTCAACCAACGGGCGCGGGATGAAATAAATCGTTTAAAATAGCCCTTGGGGCCCTCTTTATCGCATCTTGATAGATTATTTATCCCATCCATCTTTGTATGTAGTTTAAAACTCCTCTTCTAGACATAACTATATAAGAGCACCAAACTCCGCCCGCGTGAGCTTGAATGAAGGCATTATTGTATGCTGCAGCTCAATATGTCCTCGATTCCCAGCATCCCGGATGACGCCCCGCCTCCATATACCCCCATTGACCCGCTTCCCCCGGCTTCGAGCAGCGAGTCTGTCATAGAGGCAAACGCCGCCACAGAGGAAGCTCATGTTGACAATGATGATACCCCAGTACCGACTTACGAGAGTCTTGCCTCTGTTCCAAACTTCATCTCTGCAGTTCCATACTTCAGGGAGCGACCGCCACCGGTTCCGCAACATGCAGAGCCACAGGAGCTTCTCCAACACACCCTAACAATCTATCCCCGAAGCCAACCAAAAGACTACCATCGTTTCCCAAAGTGTCTGCGGCCTCGCTCTATTGAAATTACCCAGCATGACTGGGACACATTCCTTAATTACTTATTCCCGCCGCATTTAGCTCCTGCCGCCAGTCAGGCTCATTTACCCCGTAAGCTCCGCGCCGCAATTCAGCGAGACCGTAAGGACTGTGCCCAGGAAGGGGATGCCGAGCGTCAAGCCAGGATAGAAGCAGTCTGCGCTGAGTGGAACAGATCTTTCTTTTTCCCCAGATCGACTGAAATCCTTTTTACCTATGTATCATCCTCAGGCCCCCCGCCGTCAACTCATCTCTGCCCAAAGTGCTATCCTTCTGCCGTGAGGTCATTGCCTGTACGGAGCGGGCCTTCCGGCAGTGGACCCCACCTTTCCCGCTCTGCAACGACCCCTTCGTGCTCAAGACAGCGTTCAATCCCCCATAGGCCCGTCGGGGGCAATCCAGGAAATAACTCAGCGCTTGCGCCAGAAGTCAGCACTGTGACTGCGCAGCGATCAACCACGATTCCATTCCCGGATGAGAACTGCAATTCCGGAAGGGCGGAAGGCTGGACATATGATCAGAAATTTGCGCCAGCACATGGAATAGCGAACACCGCCAATGCTCTTGTGAATTGGGCGTCGCAATTTAGCGCACGTGCTGAACAGTATGGCCAATGGGTCAGCGAGCAGGCCGCTGCACATGGGAAGCTGCTCGAGGAACGTAGCCACCAGTACGGCCGGATGATTGAAGAGCAGGCCAAGGCTCGAGGAGAATATATTGAGCAGCAAGCCAAGTACTTTGCAGGCATGGGAAAGGGGCGCGGACAGGGCGGAGGAAGAGGATGGGGAAAGGGGTGTCCCGGAGCCCACTGGGGTCACATGGGCCATCATGGGAATCGCTTCAGCTGGGGGAGTCCATGGGGCGGCCATGGCTCTTGCCATAGCCCAGCGGCTGCGGGTGCTCCCGCTATCGCGCACCCGTGGGGAGGATGGGAGGGCCACAGACGAAACAGGTCAGCGGGATGTCGCCAACGGAGTGCATCCGTTTCGTCGACATCATCATCGTCCTCATCGTCCTCATCGTCCTCATCCTCGTCTGCATCCTCATCGTCGTCGTCTGATTCAGATGCCTCCTTCCTCTCTTCTCTATCCTCATACTCGCAGCGGCACGCTGAAGGCCTCGAAGACTTAAAGGAGAAGATCCGTAGCGTTCGGTGGGAACACGAGCGGTGTCAGGCCCGTTCACGCATGGACATCCAACATTCAAATATCGATTACCTGAAGCAGGAACTCCGCATCCTGAGGACGTCGCACAAGCAGTTTCGTTCCACGAAAAGAGCGAATCGCGGCACTGGCACCCATTTATTTTCTCGCGGTACTGCAAGTAACTCGGGCAGCAACGTAAAAGGCTGTAGCACTACCGCTGCCACCAGTGATCTAAGCTCTAAGGAGGCGCAACGGGCTTTCAAGAAAGACATACAGAATACCAAGAAGGAGTTTCGCACGTTGGTAGCGGGGATTAAGCAGGAGAAGAAAGAGCTACGGCGCGATAGGCAGCAGAGGAAAAAGGAGGCTAAGCGCCAAAAGAGGGAGAGAAAGAAGCAGGAGAAGAGGAGGAATAAAGGCAAATATAAAGGCATGGCTTCTGGCGGGCGCTGAGGTCGAGTCGATTTATGTCTCTTTTTATGTCTATATTTACGACCATGCTTTCTTTTTCTTCACCCCCCGTTTGCTTATATTTGCTTATCTCCTTATTTAATTTCTCCTTTGGATCATTTTTTTTTAAATTACATACCATCTTATGGAAGTCGGAAGAATGTCAATGTAATGGCGAAGGGGGGCAGCGTTGAACAAACCAAATTCATATATCATTGTGCAAAATTTTTGACTCTTTGACCTATATCACCCACAGCCCAAAATCAAGCTCCCTTCTCTTGCATGATAGTCTGGCTAACTATCATCCATATCCTCATAATGAATTTCACAATCGCCTAAACCGTAACAAGAGATTATGGACTGTTGTAAGCATGGCCCTGAAAAACAAGTAACTTGGTCGGTTTATCCGAGAAAGGTGTAGACTTTCGGACAGAACTGACGATAACTTCGTACAATCGCCGTCTATATGGGCATATATATCGAAACAAATATTTCGCAAGTTTTCTTCCTCCAGGTGCTTCGTAGATGGTCAATACCAGTCCCAGGTAGGATGTAACCATTACATCCATCAGGCATCCGCCAGATCCAACACACCTCATCGCACGCTCTCATTCCGTTCCACAAGATCACCCACCCCGAGCGCTCTTCCAACCTTAACCCGGAAAACCTTCTCTTTCTCTTTCTCATCCTTCTCTCCAGGCTGCTTCCCCATCTCGCCAACCTCTTCGCCTTCATCAGCATGTGTATCAGCATCATTATCCGCGGCAGCAGATTCTGTCTTGGTACTTTGTTTCTGTTCTCTATTAGTATTGCCAACACGGTCCTCTTTAACCCAAAACGGCCGCAGGTCCATCCTCATGGCGTACGCATCTTCGCCGTCGGCGTAGTATTTTGACTCGATCTTCTCGACTTCGAAACCTAGCGTGTCGCGGTAGAGGTGGAGGGCGGCGTTGTTGGAGACGCGCACGTGTAGGGAGACATATTCGGCGCGGTGTGATTCGGCCATTGCGCGTTCTGTACATTGATTTTTTTTAAGAAAATGTATTATGTTAGTTGAGTTAACTTAAGTACGGATTGACCATCGGCCGAGAAAAGGAGAAAACGAAATCTACATACGGCTCATTTTCATCAATCGCTCTGCAATCCCTAACCGTCTGTGCGTTCTCATGACACTCAGACTGGTTATGTGGCCGTGGGCAATCCCATCTGTTGGCTCCTCTTCCATCTTCGCGAGCACGTATCCTACTACCTTTGGATACTCATTTTTCAAGCTGTTATGTTTGGGTCGCACGACAGCGACAAAGCTCAACTGTGGCCACGAAAGGGCGTGGTATAGATAATATTTCAGGAAGTAGTTTTCCGGGAGGTTTGTGATGTTGCAGGTCTGGATCGAGGGGAGAAGCGAGATATAGGAGGGGTATGACGAGAGCGGGATGATGTCAACCATTTTATATTTTATTTTTATTTTTCTGACTTCCTTCCTTTATGTCTCCAAGGTGTTCAGATGGCTGGCGAAGGTGGTTTGACCTGGTCTGTTCCAATTGCGTCGTGTAGAAGTGCAGGTGATAGTCGGTGGTAAGGTAATGCGGATGGTGAGATGTTGGTGGAAGTAAATACTGCAAACCACGTGAAAATTTTAATAATGTCGTTCACACTGAATATTAAACCACGCAGCAGCTATGAATAGCCGATTATCTACTCTGTACGTATCGCAACAATTAATCCTAGATGATAAGGTAATGTTTTGGTTTTCTCTCTTGTTTTGATACTATTCTATAATATTAGGTGAGTATGGTATCTTGCATTAAGTTTTCAGTACTGCAAACAAATAATTCAAAAAAGGCTCCCACATAACTCCTTTACCTAGGACCGGCCGTGATAAATTAAACCTTGCCAAAGAAGAGGTATCCAACGTGGCGAAACATTCGCTACAAAAAGACAAAAGGAAAAGAAAAAAAACCATAACACCAGTCATCATAGCATAGCCGTCACCATCATTGCTACCACCAGATATACAGGCCACACTTGATTCGAAAGTTGGGAGAATAGCTTGCTCGGTGACGCAGATTTCAATCGACCGCAGCATTTCCCATTGTAGGTCACGTTATTCAGTATTGCCGCGGCTTGGAATACAGAGCCGTTCACAGGGCCCATATTGTAGTGATCCACTAGGATGAAGTTCGGTGGTCGCTCCCATTTATCTGTTCTCAAGTCAGCTTCCGCGTTCGAATTTGTGAAATCGTTATGATAAATGGACACCAATACGTACCCGCACAATCGATGCCGGCCTTGCCAACACTTCCAAATCCCTCCACCGCATTCGTCTCATTCAACAGAACAGTATTGGGGACAAGCAGAGATTGACCAGCAAAACTGAGCATTGTGTTCAAATTGTGGCTTGCTAGGTACAGTCTATCTTTTGCAGCCGCCTCACTCAAACCCGGGGGCCTTTGAATATCGCAGGGGAACGATAGGTCGGTGGGCGAAAATGGTGTCTCCCACATTTGGCTAAATTGATCAAGAATATACGGAACCTCGGTTTGATTGGCTTCGTAGTTGAGGAAGACGACTACTCTTTTCCCAGTGAGGATAAAGTGGGACAAGGTTGGCCAGTCATCTAAAGCCATTGGTATTTTCGGTGGCGTATAAACATAGTCAAGCAGACCGGACTTTTTCAGAGGAGCAATGAACTCCGTAGCAGCGGCGAAGTTGCCATTTCCTAGAAGGATCGTAAGAACGTCGTACGGGTTTTCTCTGAGCCATTCCGTCACGTTAACGAAGTAATCGTCTAGAGTTCCGACGTCCAGGAGATCACAGGACGAGTGGCATAGACGGAAAGTGCCGTCAACAAGATGTGTTTGGAATTGAACTGTGGTGAGGGAAATAAGTTTTAGCAATAGCCAAAATAATACTTTTATTAGATGAATATGCCAACTCAGTGAGAACTCACGCCCCCGAACTCCATCGTTCAATTGAATAGTCACTGGTAAATTTTGGTTGCTGGCAATATTCCCTTGACGGACGAAGGGGCTGTTATGGGCAGCTACATTTGTAATATTGCTGTATTTCCGCTCGCAGAACTCCGAATAGCCATTGCATGGACGAGTATTTGTGGGCTGAGCTGACACTTAGTAGCTGTTCTAGCATTTCCGACAAGGGTCGTTTCGTTGGCCGCTAGGGTACTGACCACTCCGTTGCTGCCCACAAGAAGAGTATAAAAACCTGAAGTGGTTGTATTGGGTAGACCGTCGGCAGTTTCTGTCTCGACCGCTCCCGATCCTGTTAGCGTTACTGTTGATGAATGACTTTCGCTCGGAAGACCATCCCTTGGAGATAGAGACGGTAGAGTGCTGATGCCTGTGATTTCCGTAGCTTGCTGTGCCAGCGCTATTGAGGCAAAAGCACCCAGCAAGCGGAGAAGCGCAGCAAGGTCTATTCGAAAGGTCATCTTTCAAGCCACGCTGAAACTGTAATTCAAGTAGAAATAGACAAAGCTGCTTTCCACAGAAAGCGCTGGTAACAGGCGATGGAATATCACTTTTAACAACCAGCCCAATGGAGCAATATAATCTTAATGCCACTAAGTTTTAAGAAATCGAGAAGGCGGGAACGGGAACCCGTTGAAAATGAAATTCTAGCCTTCTCTGGTGGCGAAAGAAATATGGAGACAACATAGAAGATCGTCTACTTATCTGTTAGCTACCTACATAGCAAGAGCTGCAGGATCCCTGGAGAATAATAATAATAGTCACCTAACAGGGCGGGCCATGGAGAGACGGTGGAGACCGTTGATGGAGTCCATATCAGCAACTTCATTATCCCTCTCCCTCTCCCTCTCTCTAAGCAACAAAAGGTATAAGGGTTGCTTCACTGTAATGGTGGAAATATCAATTTGTAAACTCACCAGGAGGCTTGTGGAAACATTTTAGAAACTAGCTATTGAATAAATAAATACTCACCGCCTCACGTCACATAGAAGTTGTAAGGTTTTGGCCAGGGGAAGAAGTTGGAACTTCAGATGACGTTAGGCTGGGGCTTAGTTAGGTAACTAACTAGTTATTGCCCGATCCGGCAATCTAGCCCTAAGTTCTAACGCTCCAAACCAACTTGTTACTTCGAGTTACTTGCAACACCCCCCCTACTATCTACTATCTACTATCTACTATCTATCATTGTCCCTCCCGCTGTCCATTACTGGCCAACTGCGCTAGAACTGCCCATCCGCCAGGGTTTGTTTTCATATCCGTCTGCCTTAGAGTATGGCTACGCGCGTTCAAACTCCACGGCAAGGTAGCCGAACGTCTATCTGCGCTCCACGGACCACCGGAGCGGTAGTTATCGAGTAGGAATCATAATGCTTGGTTCTCTGCCAGCCATGGTAGAAACCCAGCGTCGCTTGGTTGATCTCGCCACTAGACCTGGTTCATGGTCGAATTTCTCTCGGAAACACTTTAATAGAGGTTCCACTTGAACCCGTGGCCGGGGCGAAACCAGTTTTGTCACTACATAATCATTGACTTTCTTATGACCTTTGTTAAGCTTGGTAAAGCTTGTCTGTCTTCTTTCCTACTTCAAGGATGACACGGATGCATACGGCATACGTTCATTATATATGATTTTCTTTTTATTTTCCTACTCAGATATATATTCCTTTTATTTTCTTCCCTAGCCAGGTTTAAGCTACTTGGGTTGTGAATCGCTCCCAGGACGAGCTCACAACTGATATATCATTTTTGGTTGAAGCCCGGACGGTAAGCCCGGACAGTGATCCATTTCAGAAATGAGATTTCTGAGTCCCCTTCGTCGAAGGAAAGCCGAAAAGGACCAGCTTTCTCATGATGTTTCGTCCCCTAAGAGCACGATCGATGCCGAGCACAGTCGAGGTCGCTCCGCCGTGATGATGCACCGTGCTCTGTACTCGTTAATATATATCATTGCGTTAATATTCATTATCCTCGTCCTTATTGGAAGCACAAGCGATAGACCCGTCATCCGGCAGACATTTTTTTTGAAACTCGACGTATCCAATGTTATCCCTAGTTCCGTACCGCATGCTGCCCTCATTAACACCATCGCCAGAACAATCGGACTTCATGATTTTTACCAAGTTGGCTTGTGGAATTTCTGCGAGGGTTATAATGGAAGCGGCATTACCTCCTGCTCGAGGCCGAAGCCGTTATATTACTTCAATCCCGTGGAGATCATAAAGAGCGAATTACTTGCTGGAGCAACAAGTTCGTTATTTTTTCCACCCGTTTACCCGCACTATGTTGAATACTAAGGAATCTAATCGAAATCGCAATCTAGTTGCTTTACCCGGCGAGATTGACCAAGCCTTGAGAATCGTCCGCACCGCCTCCCACTGGATGTTCGGTTTATTCATCACCTCCACGGCCCTGATCGTCCTGTGCATATTTCTTACGCCCCTTTCCGTACCATCGACTCTCACTCCTTACACATCCAAACACAGAGCGGTCTCCAAACGGATCTTCATCCCTCTGGTGATTCTTACGTCCCTCACATTCTTCACAACGGTAGTTGCGGCTGTCATCGCGACAGCTATGTTCACCATTCTCAAAATCGTCTTTGCGAGAAAAGCAGCCGAATTCAATATCGAATCAGAACTGGGTGTTCCGATGATGGTGTTTATGTGGCTTGCAGTCGGTTTTGTCCTGCTTGGGTTTTTCTTACATATCCGTAGCATCTTGGCGCGGTGCTGCTGTTGCTGTTGCCGTCGTGGCCGGTCTCGTGGAAGGAAAAATGTTGGAAATGTGGCTGGTATGACCGAGATATATGGGGGCGTGGGAGAAATGCACCGGCCTTCCTAGGGGGGTCGGGTCAGAATGGATGCGTAATGGCCGAGGGAATATTTTTTTTCTATATATAATATTTTGGGCAGTTTATGTTTGAGACTCATAAGGCAGTAGTAGAATCTTAAAGGGGAGACCGAGAGTTTGGGCAAGGCTATGCAAGCCATTCCCTGGAAGTAGGAACTTAATGGCTTGAACACAAAGGTTTACAGGTAGCGAACGGTTTCAGGTTAGTTCCCCCTAGAGAAGCTAGATCTGCGATGGGATTACAAGCCCATTGATAAGTTTAACCTATTTCTAAATATGGTTTTGAGACCGATTATTATGTTCACCTCGTATGATTCTGCTCGTTCCAAACCTTCGCGAAATTCAGAAATCATCACACTGTGCAAAAGACCGCGCAGGCGCCGTTGGTCCAGCCATTAACCCACAATCAACAGGGAGACATACCCCCGTAATCGCAGACGCCAGTTCCTTGTTACTAAGAAACGCAACTGCATTGGCAACATCTACAGGTTCAACTGTTCTCTTTAACGGATACCATTGCATAGCCTCCTCGAAAACGTTCGGGTTAGCTTCCACGCGATCCTCCCAAACGCTCGTCCTCACAGTTCCCGGCGCGACGGCATTCGCCCTGATACCAAACTTCGCATACTCAACGGCAATTGAACGGGTGAGATGAATAAGCCCCGCCTTGGCAGCGCTGTACCCGGGGTTCCCAAAGACCCCAAGGCCGTTGACGGAGGCTATGTTGACGACACTGCCACCAGTGCGTTTGAGTGAGCCAGCGAACGCGTGAAAGATGAGGAATGAGGCATCGATGTTTAGGGCTGTTTCTCGCTTCCATATCTCCGGGGTTGTTTGTTGCAGCGAGGCGGAAAAGGTCGCGCCGGCGTTGTTGACGATAGTGTGTACTTCGCCATCCATACTGAGGACTTTGCGGGCTAGCTCGGTCACCTGGGTAGGCTCCGTGATATCACAGATTATAGAGGTGAACCGCTCACTCCCCTCGGCTTGTTCACCCTGTGTTTCGACGCTTCTATTTAGCATGGTGGTGACTTTGTTTGCTTTTGCTTCGTTTATATCTACCAGAACCACGCGATCGTGTGATTCCGCAAGCTTAGCGGCAATGGCCCGGCCGATATCGCCCGCTCCGCCTGTTATGACCGCGATTGAGAGCATCATGGGAACCCGTATTCTTCTATAACTTAGCTAGATGAGGCCAGGAGTCGGTATACTTCAATAAAAAAAGAAGTTGAGCCAGAGGCTGATTCTACATTCTCAGCAAAGGCAAGAAGATTTTTGCACGTTTGATCAAGTAGCTGAATCTGGGTAGCGTTGTAGAGTGACGTCCTTGAATGAAAGAGGGGAACACAGTTTGCTTACTAAGGAAGCAGGTGAGTGGGGGAAAATTGGGCTAGCTAGGGCGAACATCCGGTTCTAACAAGAGAATCGCTATTAGGAAACATATAAACTTTTTTCGAGAACGTATTTGAGTCCAGGAGGGAGTTGATTTCTAGGTCACATCAAGCAAGGCATTTCGGAGATAGGAAAGTGTTAAGAGGAACCAAAAGTTGCCGTTTGTAAAACGGAAAATCAAGGAACTGTGGTGGGTATCTTATACATAAACAGTAAGGATTGAAATAATATTCAACGTCAACCAATTCAATATGAATAATGCGCTGTAGATAGAAAAGAGAATGATGGGTATATTTCGCCTAGCTTTCTATTGATATGCCGCGCTCTAGTTCTGCTTCTAGTGCTTGGGCCAGCTCATCGTTATTATCATTACAGTCAAGTTGCAGTCGGTCGGTCGTCGCTTCAGAATTTGTAGGGCCACCCGAGGTGGCTCCTGTGGCAGAGAAAACCGGCACTGTGGTTGACAGATCTTTACCAGGCGTGTGCCCCGATTCTTGCCTTGAGCCTTGGCCTAGAAGGGGAGGTGCTGGCAGTATACGCCTCGGGGGACCGTTTTTGTTTCCGAGCCAGTGATATTCTTTGCGACGCATGGCATTTCGAAGTTGTTCTGCAACATGGTTTCTGGAATGTTCCTCAGCAATGGATGAAACGGAAGCCGCGTCGTTACTAATGTGGTTCGTGGGCTCCTCACCAGTCAAATCGATGGTGATGGGAGTTGGCTGAGATGTAGCCTGGGCTGTTTCTGAGGGGTCGGGTGGTAGGTTAACGGATGAGTCTGATATAACAAGTTCCGGCTGTGGTGATGGCACTGGGGTCGGATGTCCAGGGGGAGGGTATGCAACTGGTGGCGGGCGCCCAGGGATCTGGGCCGCTTGGAGTAGGTGTAAATGCTGCACTAGTCCGTTGTATGCCAAGGCGAGGTTGTTGTATTGGCCACACCAGTCTTCAGCTTGCTTTCTAAACTCTTCGGCCTTCCTTTCTTGAGCTAGAAGGGCCCGCTTTAGACGGAAAGGCTCTTCTTTCAACGTCTGTTCCTTAGTTCTCCCGGTTAGAGGGTCGACAGTTTTCCATTCAACCCACACATTTTTGTACCTGCGTTGTTCAGAACTAACCTTTCGGAGTTTGCGACGGCAGTCCTCTAGTCGCTCTGCCATATCGTCTGGAGCAACCTCAATACATCTAGCATGTGTTGCTGGAGCAGAAGGAAAATACCCCAATGGCCCGCGGTATTTGGGATAGGGAGAGATATATCCCTGAGGCTTCGGAACATGACGAAAAATTTCTCGATAGCGGGTGGCAAGTATATCCTCCTTTTCAAGACGAAAATTTTTGGTGATATCGTTTTCGACGAATTGGATAGCGGTCACATCCTGTGGTGAGCAGTCTTCCTCTCGATGCTGAGCCGAATTGGTTTCAGAGACATTTTCATGTGCAGGAGCAGAGATTGGGGCAGTACCCCCAAACAGAGAATCAAGAGACAACTCCCGTTCAGAATGTGGCTTGGCAGAATCATGAAGGTCGTACAAATCAGCGGAGAAAGGCGTCATAGAAGAACAAATTGAAGGACGGGGTGTGCTAGTAGTGGTCTCTGAATCCTGTCTAACTGTTTGTGAATCTTCGGAATCACGACCTGACGCGCATGAACCAGGATTTTTGTCATGGTCGACTTCGGCTATTTGATTGTTTGGTGGTACGGAATTATATACCGTATTAGAAGATGAAAAGATGTCTAGGTCATGAGAGCTTCCATAGTCCGCGGATCTAGCGGTGTTTAAGATGTCGAAGTCAAATCCAGTGGGGGATTCGAAAACGGACAAGAACTCGGGGATCTCAGTGAGGTCTGGCAGTGTGAAATCAGGAGGTAAAGCAACAGCACTTGCGGATTGGAAATTTTCCCACTCGCGATAACTCGATGTAATCGTGGCACTATCTGGTAATTCATCGAAGGGGGAGGTCTGCTCGACGTGCAGTTTCTTTGTGGGTGGTGTAAAATTTTCGAGAGTAGAATTAGTCGGCCCAGTGCTATCGTCATCAAATGGCCTTTTTCGACAGTCAGACTCGTATTGATTACCCACTGGATTAACAAGCGGGGAGTTTATATCCTCCACATCCTCGGAGGAAGTTTGAAGCTTATCCTTATCGCCGCCCTGGAGAGTTTCTGGAATGTTGCTCGGCGGGTCCGACGCATTCTGTTCATTTCTGTAGGAGGAAGGTCGGTACTCCTGGGGCAGGGTATCCATTAGATGATTTTCCCATGATAGCTCGAACGTCCCATCGTCGCCGAATAAACTATCCAGGCTTTGTTCACTAAGCTGGGTATTTGAGGGAGCCGGTGGTGAAGCCGTAAGCTGGTCGTTTGCCTCAAGAATTATTGATTCCTCAGAGAAAATGGGACGGCCCTTCTGTTGCTGTGATCCGGGGAGATGTGTAAGTCCCAGAGCTTGATTCATAACAGGCTGACAAGAAGAAAGATCTTGAGTGTTGTTTGGAGAAGGATGAGATGAGCTTTGTAAAGAAGCATAAATACCTTCTATGGCCCAACTATGACTATCCATCGCCTTGATGAATGGCAGAGCCAACGTTTAATAAGCAGGAGGAGCTTGACGGATCATCCACCATCCACGGCTCCTATCTGAAATTTCTTTTTAGACTGCCCGCCACAGATGGGGAGACCTCCGACCAACGCCCAAGCGAAAACGGACTGGTCAATGAAATCTCTATTTCAGCAAATGATTATGCAGTGTCATCCACCGCTGCAGCAAGGCGGTAATTTGGAAGCACGTATCATATCATCCCAGACTAATAGGGCTGGCAAACCTGAAGTGGACGTGACGATGGAGTTTTGTTCGGGAGTTACATTTTTTGGCGCGTCGAGTTCTGATCTAACCGCTTTGGGAAAGGTGTTTTTTGGTGCCTGGAAGGTACGCATTACATCAGCACCTCACGTGTTAACTAACATTCGTCTTGCCCAAGGGCCCAGACCGCTGATTCGGACGAACCCATCCATCTTCAACGAATGCGAATGCCATCAGGAAGGAATATACTGTCGTCGCATTTCTATATAGTTACTTGGCTATCCTTCTCGATATCGGGAAGTCTCTCTATAATAGCAATATGAGCGTCATTCTCTGTACTGGTAAGTTTCCCACCACCCTCATACTTCCAGGCTGCAACTGACCTCCTTTCGCCAGCTGGGTATGACCACACAATCAGGTAGGCTTTGAACCTTTTTCGCGACAGGTGAGACGCGCGGGGGACTAATTGGTATTTCTGACAGGTTCTGGGAAGCCCTTTCTGGCATTTGCTCGCGAACAATCCAACATTCAGACTCCCAAGTAAACCGATTATGTATTACTCCGGACAAGCGATATGTCGCCGCAGCGGGACGCGACAATGTGAAGCTATACGATATCAAATCTACAAATCCAAACCCAATAATGACGTTCGATGGACACACCAACAATGTCACCGGGGTTGCATTTCATTGTGAGGGAAAATGGATGGTTACAAGCTCAGAGGATGGGACGGTCAAAGTCTGGGACACGCGCATTGGAACTCTGCAGCGCAACTATGTACACCAGGCGCCAGTAAATGATGTTGTGATCCATCCGAACCAGGGAGAGTTGATAACGTGCGATCGTGCCGGATTCGTTAGAGTCTGGGACTTGGGAGAAAGTAAATGTACCCACCAGCTTCAACCTGAAGAGGACGTCGCAATGGCCAGCGTGAGCGTCGCGAGTGATGGATCTCTGCTGTGCGCCGGTAACAATAAGGTACGGGATTTTCCTCTCCGCTTTTTCCCTTGAGGGAATTTTGTTCTAATCACCAACTGAATCGTAGGGAAATGTATATCTTTGGCGCATGGTCCAAGATCGTGATCTAACCAAAATCGTCCCATTTATCACTTTCCAAGCGCATAAGGACTACCTAACTCGAGTGCTACTTTCTCCTGATGTCAAACACTTGGCGACATGCTCAGCAGATCATACCGCAAAAGTGTGGTCACTAGATCCGACTTACGGTCCGCCCAGTGATGCCGAAGAAACAAAACAGAGTGCCAATGAGGAGATGAACAACGAGAAAGCACAACCTAAGAACGCTCCTGCGGCGGCAACGGACACGTCCCCCATCACTAACGGCCACAATGGCGTATTAAGCAGCGATGGTACGTTTCGCGAGCATATACTTGGTGCTTGCTGATGCGTGTATATATATATATATATATAATATTCTGAGATAAGCCATCCACTAACATATCCTTTAGATCTATTCCTAGATCCCTCCAAAGAAAACATGCCCCTTACAGACACCAACGGCTCGACAAATTTGTTCCCAACCCCGTCCGACGCGCCCATAGACCCAAACACCAACGCCCCATATCTCGAGGCCACATTAGCCAACCATCAACGTTGGGTGTGGGATTGCGCTTTCTCAGCAGATTCCGCATACCTCGTCACAGTTTCTAGCGACCACTATGCGCGCCTCTGGGAGCTGTCGTCGGGCCAAATCATTCGGCAATATAGCGGACACCATCGTGGTGCGGTCTGCGTTGCGTTGAACGATTATTCGGAGCCTCGATAGAGAATGACATGGGGACTAAGGTCGGTTGGACCCCCAAGGTCGTTCTGCCATATTGTTGAGCGAACAGACCTTTTTGACAGAAGGGGGTTGTTATTCTTTTTACGATTTCGTAGCGGTTACCCTTTATGTAGTAGTATTTGATTTGCCTAGATTCTGCCTTGATTGGTTTTTGATGTTTCTTCTAATATTCACATGGACAGGTATTTTCATATGTTAGCGAGGCGTTGGGATGGTCATTTACCTGGCACTTGGTATTTTGCTTTGTCTTTGAATTCCGGTGACAGAAAACGGATGCAGGTCTAATAGCTGAAATGGTGAACTTATATAACGGTGTTTCTCTTTGTTTGGAATGTATATATATGTTATGTCTTAGGTGTGCAATCTGGCGATGTGCTTTGTGCAACATGGAGCTTTACTCATCCCCTTCCCCATCTGTTATCCGCCCCTTCTAACAGGGAGGGTAGTACAGAGTACAAGCGAATACTGATGGGGGGGCAACGTGAATCCCCGTTCAAAACACATCTCTTGGAATTCACTAGGTCAAGATGTGCACTTTTCGTTATCCTAGGCGGCTAGAATCTAGCTAAAAGCAGCAGTCCTCAATGATACAGTCAACATCCAGTATATAAATCGGAAATCTAACCAACAAGTTATATAGGCGAGAAACCAAAAAAAAAAAAAAAAAAAAAAAAAAAAAAAAGAGAGAGAGAGAGAGGGAGTGAAAATGTAAATAGTAGATAAGAACTTAGGTATGATTTATCGCCCAGATCTATGGCCGCCAGCTGATTGGAGAAGAAGAGGGAAAGAAGATAGAAAGAAGAGGGATATATAAGAGACAAAAAGACCACGTCAAAGCACAATCAATTCGTCCCAAACCACACAATATTCAGAACCAAATCCAGCCCCTTATCTTCCGCGTTCGGGTACTTGAACGTCCACATCCCATCACGGCTAACATCCCAGTATGCGCCGGAAGCGGAGTGCATCCCCCGCTTACCAGCCTTCTCGCGAGACTCTGGGGTCTCTAACGCTGTTACGCCTTGTTGTATGATCGTACAGTTTACGTTGAAGCGGTATGGTGGGGTTTGGGGGGTATCGGGTTCGGCGTCGTCGGGCTGATCGGGCGTTGTGGCTGCGATGAGTGCTTGGAGGACTGTGTTCTGTTGGTGTTGGGTTTTTGTGGAGTTGTTAGCGGGTGAAAGGTGATGGGTTAATTTTTATCATTAACGTTTTTTGAGATGGTGGAGGTATGGGTTGGAAAGGGGGCTGTATCTCCCCGCGTTGGGTTCAGGGAGCGTTGCTGATTTTTTGGAGCGAGAGGGGATTGGGCAGGCATTGGGCACTTTATATTTAATTCTGTTGACAGTATAGGGATGAACGAACGATTATATGAGAGCTCCATTGGCCGACTTGTTCGTGGACGTAGCCTTTAACATCTTCCAATGCCGTGTCGCATGCCTGTGTGAGGAGGAGAAACGTATTAGTAACGCGAATGTGTAAATCAAAGAATTTCGAACGAGCACATACCTCGGTCGCAATTTCTGTCAAGTCCGCAATTGGGATAGGCTACGTGTGTCACGCAGATATCCAAGTCAGTAACAACAACAAATAGGGGTAGTTGGCGCTGTTTATTGGCGCGGAGGTGCTCGGAGAGAGGCACATACAAGGTTGCCCGCACCAGCTTCACCACCCATGATTAGTAGTCGAGAATATGAGAATGGCTATCAAAAACGGAAGCAAAACCTCAATGGGATATATGGATAAATGGTTGGAGGATGCCCTGGACGAGAATTCGTATACTGTTAGTTCTCTGCGATGGTGAGGGGCACTTTTGAATGAATGTAAGCTGACATATCCCAGGTAAACATTCATCCGGTGTACTGTACGCTGGGTAAGCGTAAGCAGGGTCGCAGGCGCTTAGGGGACAGGTAAATGCGATTGGCTGGAATTAGCGCGGAAACCAGGGCAACTCAACTGCCAGCCGCCTTGGAGCTCGAAGGGTGCCAGCAGCCATAGATCGTAAGAGAGCTTGAGGAGATCGAAAATGCATTTCTGTAGCACACATAGTATGCGATTATCATCCCTTGCTCTCGACCAAGCTGCTCTAATTGCCCAAGAAACACAAGTAGGGTTTCCTCGTTTGCAGACAAAACCGCTTTGCGGAGCGGTTTGATGTGATGTCAGACCTCAGCCACTTGCCAGCCACACCAGATCGGCCAATCACTGCCATCATCACTGCCACGTGATAATCGCCTTCTTCCAAGGTTTTCTCTCCAAACCATCATGACCATTGTTAGATCATTAAGCTCGTATGAACGACGCTCGGGAGTCAATTGGGGACCACAGTTTGAAAGCCATTCTTAACCATATATTCATTCTTTTTTAATTTTTTGGGACCGTCTTACCTCCTACATACAATACGATATAATCATCCAATTACTACCCACCCGATTCTGCTGCTGGCGGAGAACGGAGTTAGCGGCGAAAAAGCAGCTTCTTTGAGAGCAAAACAACAAGGCGTTATTTCGCCGTAAAAGGAATTTCAGATACCAGTTTTATTTATCCTGTATATATTTATCTGGAAGTATGTCGAGCCAGCCTCTCCTCCAATCTGGCCCAGGTACGTTGCTAGTAAACTGCGCCTCCATCGCAACCTTTCATTCAGCGTCTGCATCTTCGCATGTCACCTTTTCCCTATATACGGACTTGCTTGCGCAGGTTACCCTTATTATTACTCTCAAAGCTCTAATTCCTAACTTATCAACCCCACCCTCAGGCAAACGTATCGCCCTCCCCACCCGCGTCGAACCCAAGGTCTTCTTCGCAAACGAACGCACATTCCTCTCATGGCTCAACTTCACCGTAATCCTCGGCGGCCTGGCGCTGGGTCTTCTTAACTTCGGTGACCGCATTGGCCGAATTAGCGCCGCTCTGTTTACCTTTGTGGCTATGGCCGCTATGATATATGCGCTGGTGACGTTCCATTGGCGGGCGAAGAGTATCCGGCAGAGAGGTCAGGGCGGGTTCGATGATAGGTTTGGGCCCAGTGTCTTGGCCATTGCGCTACTTGCGGCTGTTATTGTCAATTTTGTGCTGAGGATTCAGGAGGGGGCGAAGGGGAAGGCGTGAGGGGGCTTCACGAGTAAGGGTTGTATCTTTGGCAGCGCTGCTGGCTGGTCGTCGCTGTTATGCATTTTGGACCTGGGACTGAGGTACCTTTGGATTTTTCTTCACGCCTTTTTGGTCATTATTGCTGCTTGATTGTCTAATTGATGTCTCTCACGAGTTTTGTTTTCCCATGCATAGAGTAGGTAGGGAGGCCGCCTTTTGTTTTCCTTAGTTGCTCTATTTTTAGCCCCCATGTTGACGACTTGCGTTTCCTGCTCTTGGTTTTGCCATTGGATAAAATGTACTATGGACATATATAGCTCCTGATCTTGACTGACATTTGGTTCTATTTATTTTCCCTACTACATATAACAGATTCTTTTTCTTTCTTATTTCACCTACCAACACATTATGTACAGTTCCAGTTTCCCCAACAAGCTGTATGCAACAACATGGACGGTTCAAAATTTCCCTCTATCCCCTCAAGCCGGACACAGAATGACAATCAGGTTCAGGTGGATTCGCTCTCCCCGTAATGGAGACGCCTCACCCTCCTAGTGATAGCTATGCTTTTTAGAATTGATTAGCTTCCGCTTTTTGCTAGCTTCCAATATGACCAAGCTCTGAACGGGATTAATATCTTCTAGATATAGAGGTTGACTGCTTGTTATATCTAAGTATGTACTTGGGCTTTCCGCCATGGATATCATGCCATATACTCTACTCCGTATACTCCCGTATATTTGCATATATATGGGGAGATATTTGACCTATCACCAGGGAGAACCATTCTAATTCTGCGGTCACATGATCTAGAATGTGGCTGCACGCTAATGGTCTATCTGAACAACAAAAATGTTATGGTCTACACCACATCCTTCCACAGTACTGCATGTGAATGCAGCTATTTTGCCCAGAGGATGAGATTTGTACATGTACATGTACATACATGACATAAAATAATGTATGCTCTTCACGGAGAATACATGCATCCATGTATTAATCGTCTCAAACACCTCGCCTCCAAAGGCCTAGAACTAGCGTCTCCCGGGGTAATCTAGCCAATCTTAGCCCCGTAATCAATCGTGGAGCTCCGTGAAACCGTATTATTACCAAGGATATCAATATTAGCCTTTGGTGTGGCGTGACTCATATGAACAACTAGTAACGTATCGCGCTCATACTGCGTATTCAGCTGAGGGCAAGTGAGGAGAAGATCCGAGGCTTGACCGGCCGACAATACGGTAAGGCCATACGCTCCCAATACGCAGTCAGTCCGCACCAATCCGAGCCAAACCTGGCCAAGTCGTATTCGTAATACACCCTGGCATAGATAATATTATATATATAGCGTGGTGAGAGCGGAGTTACTACTTTAGGCTGGGCGGCGTAAGAAACCGGTAATATTCCGGGGCAGCGCTCCGTCTGTCTGGGCCCGTATGTATCAGCGCAGACGCCGCGAAACGTCTTGTCCCTGGCCTGAGAGGACGTCACCTTTACACCTGCAACTCCTTCCACCGCAACAACCTGCGATACACAACGCAACGCAACACTCCGCTACAACCACCACCACGACAACCACCACAACTACCACCACTACACTACACCCACTCCTACTACCGCGTAGAGTGGGATATCATTCGTGGGGAATTCGTCTGGTTGTCCTGATATTGCGATCCCCTCAGCCGGTTTTACTATCGTCCCAGTCGTTGCACCTGCGACAGAGAAACCCCAGACCTCAATCCTCTGCGCTTCCAACTCTACTCTACAACGACCTAACTGCCTGGCGCTGGTAGTCGTTCGCTAATTTATTTCACCTTTAAGCGTGCTCCTTTTCGCTTCAAGCCGCCGCTCCAGCAGCTGCCACTTTCCCTTCCTTTCGCCCTTATTCCCGGCAAATTCGCGCAACATCCGGCTTCCCTGAATTCGACCCAAAGAGGACCCTAGTCGTGCACAGCAACTAAGATCGTTGTCGCATAACCGATGCACCCGTCTACGTTGTTTATAAGTGCGTTATCGCGGCAGTAGCATAGGGGGTTTGCTTACCTGGCCCCGTCAGAGACGAAACGAAACAGGCACCCGGAATCAGTTGTGGCGACCGGTACATTCTCGTATGGCATGTTTCGATTGCTTCCATGGTCTTCTGCCGTTGGGGGCAATAAAGTTACTGCGGAGGAGGTGAAGATGCTAGCCGCGCCCCAACGGAGATCTCCTATCATGGAGACTCCCGCCATTCACAAGTTGAAGCGGAAACGCGCAAACTCTGGTGATCGAGGCAATCCCGCGCTAGAACACTCCCAACCCTATGCCCGTCCTCATGACGCAAATGGAAATGATAAGAAAACATTATCGCCACATTCACCGTCGCCTGCGATCAAGATAGAATCACCAAAGGCATCTTCGCAACGCGACAGTCCTAGGAACAATTCACTGCGAACTATTAGCCAGTCTACGGAATCTGGAGATGAGCCTCCACCGACAAACCTAGCGAAACCTGAATCAATGCCACCCGCAAGTACAGTCCCAAAAATGGATACGGAAACTCTACGCCGCACGCTTGAGGCGCAACTAAGCCTGGAAATACTCCTGAAACATGATGAACTGCGATTAATTGACCAGGAAATGGCAAAATGCCAGGTTGCACTGGACCAACTTCGTCGGTGTTCCGAAATTCCGTACCCTGGTTCAAGCGTTTCGGGGCTCTCCACCGCTGTCAGCAACGGTACTGGAAATGCACTCCTGCCCGCTGCAGCCCACGGCCCGCCGTTAATATCACCTTCGCCATGGGGCGTTACTGATGGGCCGTACAGCAGACATTATGCTAAATGGTTACTTCCTGACCCTCGATTTGATGGCGGAGAAGTTGAGACTGCTGTTCCCCCTTTTGCAATTACAGGAGGTGCTCCCGCAGACGGACGGGTAACTCGTGGTTCATGGTCAGAGCAAGGTGTTACTGGGACTTTGCGTTCTCAACGTAGCTCTGCTGGCACCAAACTACAAGCACTATCCAGCGGGTATCCGCAACCGAAGGATAAAGCTGGGCCTATGATAATAAAGCGCAAGAGCGATGGCAAACTTGTCAAGTTAGTCTGTCTTGACTGTAGGAGAGAAAACTTTTCAAGCACCCAAGGCTTTATCAATCACTGTCGAATTGCGCATAATCGGAATTTCGCAAGTCATGACGCGGCTGCTGCTGCATCCGGAGAGCCAGTAGAAGTCGACGGGTCAGGTGCGGTTATTGGGAACAATAACGATGTATCTGCAGGGACCGCTGTTGGATATGTGCATCCTCTGATTCGGTCAGCTCACCTGGTTGGGTCTACTCCGCAACCCGGCGCGCGTCGCACATCTTCTCAGAATCAAACCGCAAAGCGATCTAGTGAAAGCGGAACAACCCGTGGTAGCAGCAATGAACCTCAAAAGGGATCTTCGTCGTTGCAATCTCGAAGTACTCCTAATGGGAGCCGCCCACGACCGCAACAAGTCACCGTTGAGTCTCCTAGTCCATCATTTAAGGCTTCTCCAGAGACTCCCAATCTATCTTCGCTGATGAAGAGAAGAGGAATTGCAGTGGATCTGCTTGACATCGTGGATGATGCTTTGACCAAAACAGAACTGGACATGTTTTCAGAGGATGAGTTTAGCGAAGGAGCGGAAACTGAGAACGAGCAGCCAAATCCTCCATTTAGTGTTCGAGGGAGTAGATTACCCGCCCGAACGATAGTTTCTCCATCTCAACCACCGCGGCCAGGGAGCCGAAAAGGAGCCGACAAACCAAGCCGCAAGCCAAAGTTAGCTCGTCCTCCCAATCCTCCTTCACCTCAGTCTTCGTACAGATCGCCATATGCCCCAGCTTCAGGATCTCCTCATGTTCGTGAAGCCGACGAGCAAAGAAGTCAAAGAAACGACATGGATATAATAATGGCTGATTCAATTTCTGCTGCTCTTAGTCCTCATACACTGGAGTCTAACCAGGCACCCAGCCTAGTCAGTGATGACGAGGATTATGAAGCTCCGTCCGAATCTGAAACCCCGAGCCCCAGCCCTTCAATGGCAAGTGATGAAGGCCCCGATAACATTGAGGTTCGGGATGGTGATGAGGGCAGTGTCAGGGGCACCAACGTAACCACCGCAGCGGCGCCAGATACGAAGCCAGGACCGGAAATTCCGAGTCCTTCCAAACACCATCCTTCCCCAGTCCCTCAAGAAGTGCCGACTTACAAGAAGAAAGCAACCAGTAAGAAGAAGGGTGGGGCGAAAAATACCGGACAAGCACCCAGCGTCCCTGTTCCTGCTTCCCCCGCGGCTCCCCGCACCAACGACAAAGAGCAAAAACGTGTTAGCTTTGTGAGCCCAATGACCACTCCACCAAGAACCAAGAAGGATGGTGGTGGAAAGAGACAACGCCGTGGATAGATTTGTTTGACTGTTTGTAATATTTCTCTCCAAATCTTTTCTATGAATGGTGTATTATCACGCCTTTCCCCTTGTTCCTCCAATCCCCTCTCCCCCTCTCCTATCCCTTTTCTCCCCTTTCCTTTCCTTTCCTTTCCTCTATTTTTATTTTTATTTATTTATTATTTATTTTAAATAAAGATTGTATATCTTTTCGTTGCTGCAAAGCCCCTTCTGTAGCCAGGACTTGGGAGGTTAGTGTCTGTTTTGTACCTTTAAGCCGCCAACCTACCGAAACTGTGTGACCTGGCAGGTGTTTTGTTTGCATCATGAACGAATTCCCTTTCTAGCGCGCTCTGTGCCTTGTCTCGCTTTTCTTCTTCCTTCTCTGCCTGTTGTTCTCTATTATATACGAGCCTACTTCTTAGCCTTTTTCGATTTTGTCCTTGATTTTTCTCCTTTTCTTCTCACTCGGCAATTTACATTACTGTTTTTTTTAATACTGGGGGGAAGGTCATATGTGGACGGGCATGGCATTACGGAATGTCTTTGTTTTTTTTTTCCTTTCCTGCCGGGGTTTCATTTTGCTACCTTTCGTTTTCCACGCTGGTTTCCGGGTTATAGGGTCGGTTTTGGTTGGATATCGGTCTGGGTCTGGGTCTGGGTCTGTGTTCGGCTGGGCTGGGCTGGGTTGATATCAGGGACCGTAGCGGATTTATTTTATGGTCACCAACCGGGTGGGATTGTTTGTTCAATTTTTTTTGACATTCACTGTTTGTTTTTGTGTGTGATTCCTCAATTTGCATGTGTTTTTGTCTTGCCTTTGATTTGTCTTTCTTTGTCCTTGTGAAAGCAATAGCAATCCTCTGCTTTTCTATTCAACCTCCCCCGTTTTCTTTTCTTTTTTTCCATTTCCAATCCTCTCTTATTTCGTCTCTGCTTCATCTATCTCATCTCCCTTACGCTTCTGATGTTGTTGCTCATAAACTATGTGCCCCTCCCATCTTTTATTTTATTTTATTTTTTAACACATGTGGTTTGATCTAAGCGATTTCTTCTTCTTCTTATACATATATTTATCATATACATAGTTATATTGTGGTATTATGTTTAAGATATCGAGCCTTACCAGAGAGAGGGAGGGATATCTAAGAAAAATAACAAAATGAGAAACTTTATGATGTTTTTGAGACTGTAAACTTCTACTAGAAAATCGAAAACTGCATGTACAGTAGTTACAATAATGTATAAACGCCGCTCTATCGTCAGATCCCCTCTTTGATCAATAATAGCTCCTGAAGGCAGCAACCAACTCCCACTGTATGGTATGTACTGTTGTTGTCATTATTATATTATCCCCGTTCTCTTGGCGCGCGGGATAACTTATTTGTTTGCGCTAACTATTATTAGCTGGTTACGGGTACAACGCGTAGCATCTCTTGAGTTTCAACCTCGCATCTCATAGTTATCTCATTTGCGCCCTCATTTTGGCCCATCTTTACATAGCCACCATTTATTATGTCTATTTGATGAATTAGCCTCCAAATCTTCCAGATCTTATGTTGTTTTGTTTTTGTCCCGTGTAAAAAGGCATCATCAGGATAAATCAGGATAACAGACGCGAGAAGCAAGAGACTGTTTCGCGGTTACGCGACCTATTGTTTGTCAGGAGAAAGTATTCAGGTGGGTTTTTCACATTTAATTTCATTGTTCTCCTAGAGAAGGGCAGACTCGATTGCCTTTGCTTTGAATTCTTTTTTTTTTATTTTTTTTAATTTTTCCCTCTCCTATTTCACTTTAAATTGCTGCTGGGTTCATTCATGTTTGTTCTTGTATGTACCTTAACAAATTCAGTCTCAATGTGTCTCATTCTGAATTTGAATTTTGTGACTCTCAATTATTCATTTCTCTGGGATGATCTGATCCAGCGTCTGAATATCTTTCTTATCTTATTAGAGATGGATGTGGGTTGTTGATCAAACTATCGATCGAGTTATTTCCATCTGCGTTTCACCAATCTATATATCAGTTTGATATATTCCGGCTGCTTTTTTTCAACTAAGCCTTGATTACTTTTCTCAGACAAGCCAGTTTTCTACAGACATCTGGCTATCCATCCACTCTTTTTCTATCGAAGTCCCTAGAGTGGTTGAAAACTGTTGACCTCCTTTCGGGCTATTGTGGAAATTATGTGTGAAATGATATTTTGCCCATGAGCCGCCCATTTTCCCGGAGTGACAATGTATTATATGATATTAACTTTTTTTTTTTTTTTTTTTTTTTTTTTTTTTTCAAGATCAGGATATGTTTCATCTAACATTTAAATGTAGGCTGAAATCTGTCGTGTCTAGCTCCCTCGTTTGTTCTGCAAATATTACTACCAGTGTTAGTTACTAGCGAAAGAATAAACCCAAAATCGAAACGAAAACGAAGGATAATGAGATAATGGCTTCTCAGAGCCCCCTCGCACCGGCCAGCATATCCCGTGCCACCATCTCATTTCTCCTATCTCTCTACCCACATACCATCAGAGAATTTTACAGGGCTAAACTGATAGCCAAGTCTACTCCGAAAGCGGGCCCAAAACCTGGTTCAAAGCAGTCCACGGCAAAAAGAACGAATGAAGGAGCCATAGAAGCGGAAGTCGAAGCCTTTTTGAAATTGGATAAACTGCGCTATGAGTCGATTCCTGCTACATTGAGAGATAGGGCTGGCGTTGCCGCTGGCGCCGACACCAGTAAAGACGCCGCGAAAAGACCAAGTAAAAAAGTAAAAGTATCAAAGAACGATGATGCTTCGCCCCTTTCGGGAGCGTTTCTGGAGAAGGATGAGATTGTCAATCTTATGAGCTGGAAACTGTATGCTCCCTCCCTTCCCACCAACCAAACAGTCTGTTTGGTTCCCATTTGTCCCCTCAGCAACAAAAAATGTGCTCATATGTACCATTTTCACAGCAAGCATGGCTCCCACCGACCAGCCCTCATGGGCATGATACGATCAAATCCAGACTCCCTCGTCAAGTCCACTACCGCGATTGCTTTCTCACAACTCCAGGGCGCGCTATCTAATACGGGAGGCGAGGCTTTTCCCAGCACTCCGCTCGAGACACTGACGGGGCCCCTGAGGGGCGTGGGGCCCGCCACGGCATCTCTTTTCCTGTCCATTTGCCCATGCCATGCACCGTCAGATGCTACATACAACACGAGTATAAATGCGGCCCCGTTTTTTAGCGATGAGCTTTTCAATTGGCTTTGCCTGGATAAGTACCCGCATGACTTCCCCAACAGTAGTAATAACAACGGCGGTGGAGGAGAAGGTGGCCAGAGATCCAAGGGAAAGTCACCAGCAACAAAAGAGACTAAAATCAAATATAATATGAAAGAATATAGAGAGTTATGGGAAGCGGTGAGGGAACTTAGAGGCAGGATTAATCAGATTCCTGACCAAAAGGAGGGGTTAGGAGAGGGCCGGGGTAATGGGGAGGGCGGGAACGAAAGCTTCTCAGTGTTGGATATTGAGAGGGTGGCGTTTGTTATTGGCCATCTCGGGGTGTCGGGATATGATGAAAGGATGGAGGAGGCATCGACGATGGGGCTTCTAGATGGTGGTAAAGTGGACGATGATCTAGGCGCGGCCGAAACGAAAGATGTGAATTTAGGTAGGGGGAAAAGGAAGAGAGGATGATGCATTTCATAGCGGAGCCTAGGGGAGCGTGCTTGGGAGACAAGCTAGTATATAAACTATCGCCTTACCTGTATATTTCATCTCTAGGTGTATGAAACCGAAGTCAATCTACTACAAATTGCCATGCTTTCATTTTCACCAATGAATACCTGGAGCAAAAGGACAAATTAAAATCAGACCCGAAATAAATAATCTAATAAACTATATTAATCAAGAACAAAGCTATTAAAATTCCACAGTAATTATTTCCACAAGCCCCTTAAGCTTCCCACTATCAGTTTTGATTAATTCAGCACAGTCACGCTATATTTCCCCTTGGAACATGCAGCAAAAGTGAGCAGGTTACCCCTGGCAGTTTCAATCCCTCAGGTCAACCACTTTTCAACAATCCTACCAACAGGCTCAAAACCCAGAAAAGGAGCAAATGAACAAATATCAACAACCGTCGCCTTCGCCCATACAGCGTCAAAAAAGAAGATACTAATGTCCTCAACCTTAATTACTGGCTCTCCCCCTGCTTCAGTTTGCTGCAAACGGTTAAATCACCCCCCAACCCTCCTCCTTCATACGCCCAAGCCACACCATTTAACTACCAACCCACCCGCCAAGCACTTACATCAAATACCCAACCCCCGCAATCAACATCCAGGCCAGCCCTCCCAACCCCATCTCAACCCCGCTAGCCACCATCGCCGGCGCGGCATTCGGCGTCTCCGTCTCCGACGCTGGACCTGTCCCGGTAGGCCTGCTGCCGCCCGAAGTTTGCGATGCATCAGCATTGTCAGCGGTACCTGAAGTTTGTGTAGCAGTGGGTTTTGAGGTCGACGAAGACGAGCGAGTTGTGCTGAACTGTTTCGCTGCGTTGCAATTGGCGACTTTTGACGATTCAACGGCGTGTCGGCCTTGGTCCTTGGGGCAGTTGTTGTAGCAGCTACATTTTGTGTGTTTGGGGCGGGTTAGTGATTGGAGGCGCGGACTGACTCTTCATGGAACTAACATGGAGGTAGAGAGGGAGGGGAGCGTAGCTCTGGGTAGGAGCATCTGATGTTGACTTGAGTATATGCATATACGTACGTCAAGACATTGCTGTAATGGGTGCAGAGGCAGTCCCAGTCCTGTACAGGGCAGCTTTTGAGAATGGCTGTGGTAGATTCCACACAAGCCTCGAGAATACTATAGATGTTTGGATTCTAGGTTAGTAACGGAATTCTGTAAATGTTCACGATCCGCAACAGACTGCTTTCGCCTCCCTTCTCATCACGATGATCTCCATCTCCTTCACATATTATCAACGAGAAGAAATCACATACTTCTGAGCATCACATTTGCTGGGGCTATCATTTTGCGGCGAGGCGGCTGCATTTACATTTGCCATGATAGCGAAAAAGAAAGTGAGGAACGCAGATAGAGAAATAAACGAATGCATATTTGGCAGTAAGAATGGAAAAGCAAAATGAATGGATAGATTAAAAAAAAATAAAAAATTAACGATTGCTTTGTTTCTCCTCTTTGGTGTTTTCTTTTCTGAAAAGAAAGTGCTTTGGTGCACACACGAAAACAGTGGCCGAAATATGCGTCAAAATTCCTCACGGACAAAACAAAAATGAATTGAACTGGGAAAACGCTTGAAGGTCAGTGGGTATAAACGAATGAAACGGAACGGACCCGATGAAGAGGAGCGAAGTGTAAAGGAGAGTTGAAATTTTTTTTAAAAAAAAAATGAGCGTGGGAGCGTATATGAGAAGATGTATTAAACGATTGTTCCCAGGAAACTTAACTGTGAGAGAGAGAGAGAGAGAGAGGAACAAGGACACAGCTTTGCCTTCGCCCGCGTCATTGACATCGAACGCAGAAACAGAGACACACGCGATTTGGAAAAAGGGGCCTCCCGAGAAACATCCTGCCCAGAAAAGCAAGGCAACTGGACTAACGAACAATAATGGCTCCTGTTAACGGAGCCAATGTGGTACAGACTATTTGAAGGCGAGAGCCGGATCTGGATTCTTGCGGTGCGGGGAATGGCGATTTGATTCAATGTTGCACTGAGCAAGGTAATAATAATAATGTTAAATAATATACGCAGCGATATGCATGTAGATGGTATGGCCATCCCGCCGCATATTTGATCATATTTGTCGATAAGGGGACGAAAGGCAAAACTAGGGCAGTATTATTATATTGGCGGTGGTATGGTATCTGGGAGGCCCTTTGCTTCATGCCCTTTGAAACACCATGGCGTATTCTTGGCTGTGAAACCTGTTTTTAGTGGCTTCTAGCCTGGCTGTGATACTTCAAAAAGCAGGGCTTTATTTATTATTTCTTGGAATGATGGATGGATGCAAAACCAACTCGACCCGGGAGAAGAGAGAGAAAAGGTTAAAATAATAGCTGTAAAAATATAAAATACGCGGCAAAATCCTGGTCTGAAGCCGGTTGAGGTCAGAATTGCCGTTTTGGGAATCTACTGTTAATTAGATGCGTGATTATATAACCAACGCATCCGGGGGAGTGTTAACAAATTAGTTAGTTTACTCCTATAAAAGGACCGTCAAGCCGTTTCTCATACATAGCTTACTTCTCTCCTCGCTCTCTATCCTTTTGCTTAATTCTCCCCCTCCTTCCCATAGATACATACGCGCACACACGCATATATGAAAGAAAACGGACTTCTTTATTTCAAACGATTGATGATGTCACCGGGCGCAGGTTCCAGACAGGGGCAATTATATAATTATGAAAGGGGGAAAAGAAATGGGGGAATCGTTACATACATAGATCGGGCGGGGAAGGAATGAAAGGACAGGAAAGGAACACAATATATTGCCGGTCGTTCGTCACTAAGGGGAGACAAGGAACATGAAAAGGGAAAGAGTACAGTAACACGATACGGAGAGAAGGGAAAGTAAAAAAAGTTAGGGAAAAAAATGAGGGGCACAGTGATATAAAAAGAGAATATGATGGGAAAAAGGGGTTATTTAAGCCAGGATAATAGATAGGATGCTTTGTTTTCCCCGGTTCAATTTCCCCCTAACAACCCTGCTTGGTCTCTACATTGTACAGAAGAGAGAGGCGAAAAACAAGGAGAAAAACACAAAATATACACAAAATATATGGCGGTAGGAAGGAAGCTCATAGAAGCACATCAGACAAAAGACAAAATAAACAAATATGAATATGAGTCGGCTTCTCTGATGAATGAAAAGTAGGAATAAACAACAATAAGTTAAATAACATATGCATGGCTTGGGGTTACATTTACTCCTGGCCGAAGCCCAAGGTCTCCTCAACAGCGATAGATAGCTTATGCTGCAGTTGTTCGTACGTCTTATACGGTGGTAGATCCAAGCGGTTAAAGCTGTTTTTTTTTTTTTTTTCGGACCCGTTAGTACGCAAAGAAATATAGATAGCAGAAACAGAGAAATGAAGAAAGGCAAACTAAAATAAGAAAAGAACATACCAAGTATGCGACTTGGGCAGCGCGGTGATCTCTCCAGATTTTTCAATGGTAAACCGCCTAGGCCCATCGCTGCCTTGCAGATCCTTGAAGCCGTTAACTGGAATGCGAGAGGTACCCGTTGCGAACTGCAGGAGGCGAGATTTTTGCTCCGAATCCCAGCTCCGTATGACCTTCCAAAAGTTTTGGATCACTTCGTCCTGCTCCTGGTAGCCGCGGTAGTCGGTATGTTTCTTCCAGTCATCCACGTCGATATCGGCAATACCACCAATGAGAAGCTCCAATTCACGCTCGTCAAAGACGTTGACGAGGTCAGCAGGGATAAGCTCGTTGAATCCAGTGATGAAAGCATTGAACTGTTCTTCTACTCTTTTCTGGATTTTCCATTCTGTGATCAGCCTATTTATTGAGGGTGTTGATTAGTTATAATATTCCTTATTATAGGCAGTGACGGTCTTGGCACATTGTATATACTTACTCAACATATTGCTTTTTGTTCTCGTTGGTAACCGGGATGTTACTGCCGTTTGGTATCAAGTCAACAGTCTTCCTCTCGCCAAATTGATCATCGTCAATGGAGAATGTGAGCTCGTCAAATACGCCGGTAATATCATGTTCCCTAGTTTAAAAATGTTAGCAAAAAACTGGGTATGCTCGTGCCCCTAAAAAACAGGAAACAAAAACATACAATGTCCATGTTAGATTTCGGTGGAAATCCTCATCGACACCCTCCATATCCTGCAGGGTAACCTTCTTCCTCAACATCATCTTATAAAATGCGCCGATAAAGAACGAATCAAGGAAGCGGCGGTGGAAGATGGCAAGGCCGACGACACGCCCTATGAATTTGAAATAATTCAAATGCTCAGGATTAATGCCGGAATGAGGGTTAATCTGGAGCGTGTAGTTATCATGTGCTGAATATTCGAATAGACAGTAGAACGGGTTAAACATTTCGTGGGAAAGCAAGAAGAAGAATTCTCTGTGGTTTCCCGGTATGTCAGTAATTCACCACTAAATTTAACAACCACGACAAAAAAAGTACTCAAATAAACGAACCTCGAAAGGCCACCATAATCGAGCCCATCTTCCCCATCGAATTTGATCATTAGTCTCTTTTTCAGATCCGACGCACTCTGGCGCATGATTTCCGCGTATGAATCCTCGAAAATAGCACCTCGCCGGACTTTGACATGGCATTGGCCAGACATGATCCGCAACGCCGGCTGGGATCTGAAGTAAATAAGCTTGCGCCGGAAATCGCGCTTGTATTGCGGAACACCTTGGTCGAGGGACGAGGGGAGTCGTGGATCATCCCAGGTGGTAGTCTTCGTATTGTGATCAACAAAGTACACTCGAGCTGTGTTGGTGAGACGCATTTCCCAGCCACTTGGTAGCGGCCCGAGCTGAGACACGGGCTGTTGTTGAATAGTGGTATTATTTCCATTAGCATTTTGACCATACATGCGGATATATTGCTGTCGACGCGGATCCACCCAGGTGGTCGTTCTCGTGTTATGGTCCACAAAATATGGCCGGCCCTCAGGGGTATAACGCTGTTCCCATCCAGCTGGGAGCTCTCCAGTGCCGGCTGTCGTAGCTCCCGTGGCCATCATAGAAGCGGCATTTGCATTGGCAACACCTGGGGGGGTGCCCGGCTGCTGAGAGTCTGGCAGATTTGGCGAATTTGCGCCTGTGCGGTCTTCGGGGAGCATTCGACTTTGATGAGCCCTGCGCTCCATCTGCATGTTGGCTTCCAGCTGGGTGCGTTGGGCCTGCTCGTTGTAGTGCTGCGAAGGACGTGTCCATGTTGTCGTTCTGGTGTTGTGGTCGACGTAATACGTCCGGCCTAGATTATCTTCTCGTCGTTCCCAACCCGCGGGCAATCTTCCTTGGCTATCCTCGAAGGAGCTCAGGTTGGCTCTAGAAGAGGTCGATCCATTCGCCGTCTGACCAGCTCCGCCAAGAAGGGAACCTGAAGGGGCGGGGGTTGCGGCAGAAGGAGCTCGAGAGGGAAACATGGACGCGGGGTTAGCAGCAGCTGGCTGATCGCTGGCTCCTTGGCTAGTGGCGGCAGGAGTAGCCGACGTGGAAGACTGGGGTCGAAGTTGTTGCTGATAAGAAGTTGAAGAGGGAGGAGCGTTATGAGGAGGGCGTAAGGAGCCGTTCTGTGGGGGAACGGGTGTCGACAGGTTAGTAGATAGGTTAACGATCAGTTTCCCGTGGACAACAAGATTATCATTGGACTTCTTCAGGTCTCTCGTAAGCATCTCTGTAAGGGAGGCGGAGTAGTTAGCAAGCGTCCTTGGTATCGAATAGTGGTCGTGGAATTTCGGGGATGAAGTATTCACCATCATCACCAACGTCTAAGTCTATCACATCTCCGATGCGAACATTTATGACACCTAAGAAACCCTGGTCCTTCTTCTTGAACTTCTTCTGGTCGAAAATCTGAATGGCGAGAATGGAATCTTCTGTGACTCTCCTAAATGTTGAAAGGGGATCGGTCAGACCCAGCCACAGTGTAACGTGAATGAAACGGGGTTTAAAGTTACGGGTATCGTACAGGTCAAAGACTTCATTCCAGTATGGGTTGAGTGTTTTCTTGATCACCGAAGTAGTATGAGTTTGTTCACCACCAACCGTGGCAACTGCAAACGGATCGGGGAACCCTGAGCAATTCAAACAATGTCTGCTGTCAGCATGAAAGTTCCCGGCTTTAAAAGGGGGCATTTCCTCCCCTATCGCTCTCTTTCTTGTTGATTTTCATCGATTATTGGGGGGGGGGGAGGGGGGGGGGTTCCAACTTACGGAAAACATCGCGTTTGTACAGGCCATCAGCTGCGATGACTATAGCTCTTCGTCAATATAGGGAAGATCATTATGAGCGGGTGAAAGGATGTATATGTTGATCCTTACTTGTGACTCTGAGATTTGGTTGGCTGGAGGGGCAAGAAGATAGATTAGTAGAGAAAAACCCCCAGTATAGATATGTATAGAATAGAGGAGGCCAAATACATACGCAGGCAAATTGGAACCCATTCTGACGGCAGTCCTAACTCAGCAGGCCGTCTCCGTCTTTCAGGACGGTGGAGATATATGCTGAGGGGTGGCGGATGGAGGTTCACATCCAGCGGGGAAGGGCGCGGCAACAATAGCAGCGAAACGCCAAGGGGAGAGAGATAGACGCAAATCCTGCGCACTCGGACGGGGGGGAGGCTAGATGTAGCCTCTCGATGCAGGGAGCGAAAAGACCGAGATAGGAGGCGTGGGATGCAGGCAGGAGTGGTTGGAGTTTGTCGGTGCTGGCCAGCGAGCGATGGATGGATGTCAGATGGATTGGATATCGGATGCTGGATGCTGGATGCTGGATGCTGGATGCTGGAGAATATCGAAGGCGTGGGAGCCGCCAACTGAGGCTGAGCAGTGGAAACGGGCCAATCGCCGGCCCGCAGTCTCGAGGGTCGGTGGCGCGCCCAGAGAAAAAAGATCCGGGAAGGGCAAAAACCCAAGACAGGAGTTATCTATGCGACTATTACAAGACAGGAGGAAGTCTGGAGATTAAGCTTGACCCTGTGTGAATTTGAAGTTGTTGCGACGACGCCAGATAGAATAGCTAGTTATAGGTGATATGATGGTTGATGTTGCCCGAAGATGAAACAAAACAAACCCCTTCGCCCGGCAGTGTACGGAGTTACAGCGTAGTTAACTAATAACTACATATATCAATCAATTCAAGACCTGGCAATCGCATTATCACAGTTAATATTGGTGCTAACTATTGACATGTCATGCTAGAATCACGGTCTACAAGAGAAGAGAGCAAAGTTGTAAATAAAATACTCTGGCATCCATGGATAATCCTCTGTCGCATGGTTGATATTCCTCCCGTTGAAAATGATATACATAGTCAAGCCCCGCCGCTGTATAAGGACGATATATCTATCCCCACGCTGTCCAACTGGCACCAATTGTCCATGGAAATAGTTATCAACATGAGCAAAAGGAACATCCTGTCGCAATGTATTCTTTTCTTTTGTTTGAATATCTCCACTTCCATATCTTTAGCTGCAAGATAGCTTTCAAAAATTTATAGTAATCTGCTGGTCACTCAACCCCAAATCAAGAGAGGAAGAAAAGGAAAGGAAAAGAAAAGAAGATTGTTAAAAGGAACAAAGAGATACCAGATTTGAGAGTGGGACAAAGGTCAAAATAAAATAAAATCAATCAATCAATCAATCAAAAAATAAACAAACTCAGGAAATAGAACGCAAGTCAGTAGATAGAGATTCAAACCCTCAGTAAATATCCCTCCCTATTTTCGATTTTTGCCCTTTTGCCCTTCAGACTCAAAAATTTTGCGAAATAAAAAAGGGACAGACAGACAGACATAAATTGCAAAAAGAATTCAACAGCGCATTTGCCCATATCATATCAATATTCATACACACCACATCCACATCCACACCCCCTCCAGCTTCAAGTATCCAATTTGATTCGATTCGACTTGAGCTGATCTGATTGGATCCCGCTCCGTTCTCTGGAGTCCAGGGAGCTATGGATGGATTTTCGATCGGTGGGATTAACGAGTTTCCATTTTCTTCTTCTCTCCGGCCGCAATTCCCCCTCCTTCTCTTCAATAAGTACTTCCTTCCCCCCACTTTCATTAAATTGCGAAATCGATGTATGGTGCGGTCGAACATAGAAAAATGAAAGAAAAAAAAATAAAAAAATAAAAAAATAAAAAAATAAAAAAAGTCCCCGCCTCCTCTTTATTGTTGGCCGGGGTTTATTTTCAGTACGGTGCATATCCCCTGCCCCGACCTCTATAGCCTCCACGATATACGCCACGGGGAAGGAATCCACCACGTCCGAATCCGCCGCGACCGAGGCCACCCCGACCACGACCACGCCCTCGGGTCATTCCTGGTAGATTGGTTCGTTTGGGGACGACCTAAATGAGGCGGAGAAGAGAGAGAAGGATTACGTTAGTAGATAATTTCATAGATGATAATAAAGACGGGGAGAGGAGATGGTTTTTTTTTTTTTTTTTTTTTTTTTTTTTTTTTTTTTTTTTTCTGGGAGGAGGGTAGCTTGCTCACCTTCAAGTTCCGCCCGCGGAAGACACTCTCGTTCAAAACAAGTGCTTGAGCCACAAGACTCGGCTCCGTGAATTCCACATACGCATACCTGCGTGTATTTATACCAATTAGCGCTCCATCTCTTGCCAGGCAGCGCGGATGCAAATGTTTTTAAAGACGAATATAGAAAACAATAAAGATGAAAACAGAGAAAAAAAAGCGAAACACAGCTAATCCACGACAGCCCAAGGGGCGGCAACGGCAGCATAGTAAGAAGAATAAGGGCAGGGCGAGACAAACCCCTTAGGATGGCCGGTGAACTTGTCGAGCAAGATGGTAACCCGATTTATCGACCCGCAGCTCTGGAAGTGTGCCTGGATCTCTTCCGGCGAGGCGCCGTAGTCGACGTTGCCGACGAAAATGCTCCGCGCGTCGATATCCTCTTTATCCTCGCGCAGGCTCTCCGACTGCTGGTCTAGCGACGCTTGCATCTCTCGTAGTTTGGCGGCTTCGGATTCCATCTCGGCCACCCGCCGTTTCATGGCGGCGATTTCTTCCTAGAACAAGAGAGAGGAGTAGGTCTTGCGTTAGTTGGATGATTTTTTTTTTTTTCCTTTCTGATATCTCTCGGAATTGAGTAGCAGTACAGCGGGTGGGAGACGGGAAATGAGATCTTTCGGGGTTTCTCTTGAACCCCCAGAGTCTCTCAAATGAAGTATATATATATATATATATATACCGTGCATGTGTAGTATATGTATATCTAAACTTACCTCCTCATCGCCAGGTTTCTCATGTGTCTCCAACCGCTCATCGGCAATATCAGCTGCATCAGCCATGATGACTGTGACTAGAGTGTGTCGAAGGTGTCACCTCTTCCTGCGAACTCCCTGGATTAGATAGGCAGAGCCGATAAAGCTAACCAAACTGGCGGCGCGTCCGGAGATATATAGGGAGTCCAGGGGGGGAGGGGGGTGTTTTATGCTAAAAAGCGCAAAATCTGTTTCTGGGCACAGATGTAGGGAGGACGATGATACGAAGGAAGTACAAAGAAAAGGGTCTCAAGGGAAATAAGGGGAAGTAGGGCTGCAGAGACGGTTTGTTTCGTTGTATGGTTTGCCTTGTCTTGTCTTGTCAATTGCTGCTGGATGAGATTGGGGTCTTTCGTTCGCTGCGGAAACAGTCGCCAGTTGCTTTTCTGGCGTCGGTGACGGATTAGGCATGGCGCCATCTTGGACCATTCGAGGCCGGAACCCTGCCATGGCAGAGGCGAGGGTTATATAGAATCGCTGAGTTTCTTTGGAATTTAACGAATGGTATAATTACTACTTATTTACTATTTAGTTCGTTGTTCGTTTGGTTTGACTAGGCTGTATTTCTTGCTTGCATACTGGCTCGTTACTGCTGGCTGATAGGGGGATCTTAGTATTTAACTAGATAGCGATGATGGGATAACCCACTCCGCACATGGACAAAAGAACATGGAGCAGAAGTAGGAGCAACAGAAAGCCCGCAAAAAAAAAAAAAAAAAAAACCATTGGACGGTAGGTACCAAACAGTTAATGTGAATAATTATAATCCTTGCTCCCTGAAACGCCTGCTGGAGGTTCCAAGGCGATACAACGGGCCATATGAGAAATGCCCGGAAACAATAGCAAGAATAATTTCTCATTTCTAATACAGCCCCGATATGTACACCACACAAAAATTAAACTCAAAAAAAGGAAACGAAACAAATAAGAACATCTTTGCAGAGAGTTAACGGAAAGAAGGGAGGGAAATTGACAAAAAGGGTAAAATAATAATCGACCAATGTTCTGCCAACATGATCATGAAGCAGGCGGCGGTGCCTGTTGTTTACGAAACGAGACTTTCTCAACGGAGACGGTTTCCGCCCCCTGTGCGTCCTTGCGTAGCTGGTACACGTATAGAACGAGCACATCACCTTGCACCTGTATAGAGAATTAATCAGCCGTCCATTCGTATCCTGAATGAAACACGGATCCACCCCGTCTGGTGCGGGCGGCCGAAAAGATATATGAATTAAAAAAAAAAAAAAAAAAAAAAAAAAAAAACTCACATCCATCAAACAAAAACTGGGCGTCTGCTCCTCTTCCTCCAACCCACCCTGTGTCGTAAAAGCCCCAGTAGCACTGCCCGGGTTGACGAAGAATCTGCCTTCCAACTCGTACGCCTCGAATTTATGTGTCCCGCCCCACAACAGCACATCGACATCCATCTGCCGCGCGGCTATGAGCAGAGAGTCCGGATCGCCGGGCGGTATGATGGTGTGGCCATGGGTAAAGCCGATGCGCAGGCTGCCGTGAGTAACAACTTTGGAGAGGGGGAGATTGGGTGAGTCGACGTCGAAGTCGCCCTTCACTAGCTGGAGGTCCGGGGCGATCTGGCGGAGGAATTCGAAGGTGTCGCGATCGGTGAGGTTGCCCAGGCAGAGGATCTGGCCGATTTTACCGGGGGTGAGGAGCTTTTTGAACTGTATTGGTTGTTTGGTTAGTCCATTGAGATGATGTTTGTGGTTTAGCTAGCTAGCTCCAGCGAGCTGCTTTTCTACGGCGGGGCAACAAGGCATGGGGGAGATGGTTTTCTGCGAACCTTTGCAGGAATATCCTATTGTTATTATTAACATCATTGCAGGTGGATGTTAGCACAATAATTGGAGGTCTTCTTCTCCTCAAGCATTCAAAGGAATGGAGTTGGGTGACGATAAGACATATAGGGAGCGGGGATACAACATACCGGAGCGCGGTCAGGGACGAAGAGGTCGCCGATGGCCAGGACCAGACGAGAGGTCATACTTGAGGGAATGGTCCTCAACAACCCATTCCTGGACGATGGTACTGAGGTGGGATGGTAACAGCCTTCTTCTTCCTCGCTTGTCGTCGTCTCCCGGAGTTAGATTCGTTGTATCTACTCCTTGTTCTGTTCTGTCCGGTTGTTGCGACTGCTGACGCCTAACCGCCCCGGTCCTGCGGCTACGGCGTCTATTTCTCGAACGGGAAATGGGGTGTCTTAGCGCCTCAGCCGCCTCAGCCTTAGTAGCGCATTTCCTAGCTGGAATATCCCCAAGTCGAACATGGGGAAGTTCTGCTATTATTAGGACTCTTTTTTAATTTGCTGGCAGCCGAGTAGAAGGGATATAATCAGGCAATTGGACGGACAAATTGATCACCCTGTAACTGGGCTCCCCGTGGCAGGTCTTTTTCTACAATGATTCGTTCGAAAAACGATCGCAAGCTGATGCAGGCAGAGTTACATCTATGCTTGATACTCAATGAATGTCTACTCGTTGTAGCAAGTTCACGGTACCGTCAGGCGCAATGCAAGGCTTATATTATCACTTAAGCTTATGACTCCCAAGGCTAGATAGATAGAACCTTGGACTAGCAGTTCCCGCACCGAACGACACGTTGAGATTTTGGCAGAGCTAGGTCTGCCTGAACTTTGGTGACCAGATGTGCGTTGAAGCTCCCAATGAGAAGGGCAGATCTTCTCGGTCGAGAACGGAATGACTCCAACTACTTCTGCCTTCCGTTTCAAATTTCCAATCGTTAGCTCTCTGGCGGATTGATTGCATGTAAGGGCAGATCATCAATTTCATTACCAGTACAGTCCAGTACTCCATTATGGCTGCTCACACCTCGCGCGGTCTCATCTCTCCCTGGTGGCCTATTAACTATAGCCTATGGTACAGCATTCAGGCTCTTTAGTCCGCGAATTGGGTAGGAATAGCTACCGTTGTCGGAAACCTCCGACGCCAGCGGCCAGCGGTCCTCCACTATTATCCTGGCCGAATAAGATGGTTTGGGGGTTTTTCTGTTCTATTGAAGACTAGTTAGAAGATATACATCGGAATTAACTACCAGCAGAGATATATTTGTATTTTTTAGGGAAAATGGTCAACCAGTAGTTGCTATGTACCAGAAATGAAATATTGCAGACATTTCCACCCCGAACGTTGGCACTTCTCTCATATTATTAGAAAATACTATTCATTCGTCTCACAGTTGACAGACTCAATCAAATAGAAAGGATATTACTTGGGGTTGATTCTGAATCCAATCCAATCCACCGCAAGATATATCCATATCTGTGTTGTTGTTGACTTTGGCCAAAACAAGAAATTAAGCCCTAATGGCAGGCTTTTTATTTAACAAAAAAGGATATTAATATTGCAAAGAAAAACAGAAAAGAAACGGAAAAAAGCAAAAAAAGAAAAAAAGAAAAAAAGACTCTCAATTAGATTCGACTGGTCCGGGTTATTTGGCCAGACTGGGTATAAATATTTATTTCAACTCTCCCCTCGCTCTCGGTCGAAATATTTAATCCTCCAGCTCTATCTCGGCCTGCTAAATAATATATCTCTCCCTCCTCCAAGGTATAATAACTATACGCTGTACAACCCTTGCAGCCTCCGCATCTGCAGATTGGCTTGCGCAAAAACAGGGAAAAACGAAGCACCAAAAGCATATGCTTAATAACCTTTCTTCGGCACTCCGAGCTGTGGCCCGGCTCAAGCCCGCGGGTGGAGAAATAATCGCCCTGGCTCCCTCACGGGCGAGTCCGCGGCTGAGCCTGATCTCTCGACATCTGGATCAGAGACTCCCTTTGCCGGCCTTGAACACGCCCTTTTCGACCGAGAGATCTGTGTCTGTCGAGCCTGACGACCTTGAATATAAACCCCTCCAGCGGACCCCGCCTCTCCTCAACCACAAGAATCCTCTTGCTCCCACTCCCACCAGCAATCGAAAAGATCCTGCTGCGAAAATGTCCGCCCAAGCCCCGCACTCGACGCTCCTGATCCCAGGCCCCATTGAATTCGACGATGCGGTGCTTCAGTCTATGTCCCATTATGCGTACGTACTTGCTTCTCCCTATATAGATATTATTATTTTCCCTTTGCTATACACATTTTCCCCAGTGTTCCGTCCGCATTCCGCATTGCTCTGCTCCTAACTAACCAAACTGAGCAGTGAGAGTCATGTTGGCCCCGCCTTCGTAAAAACATTTGGCGAATCCCTCGCTCTCCTTCGCCGCCTCTTCCAATCTACCTCCCCATCTTCCCAGCCGTTCCTCCTTGCCGGTAGCGGCACATTGGGCTGGGATCTTGTCTCCGCCAACCTGATCGAGCGCGGCGAAGATGCCCTCGTCCTGCACACCGGCTACTTCGGTGATTCCTTTGCCTCTTGCCTTGAAACCTACGGTGCCAAAGCCACCCAACTCAAGGCCCCAATCGGCCAACAACCCTCCCTCGCCGAGATCGAGCAAGCCCTAACCGCAAAACCCTACAAACTCCTTACCGTCACCCACGTCGACACCTCCACCGGCGTCCTCGCAGATATCAAGTCCATCGCCGCCCTCGTCCGCCGCGTCAGCCCAGAAACCCTCGTCGTCGTCGACGGTGTCTGCAGCGTCGGCGCCGAGGAGATCGCCTTTGATGCCTGGGACCTCGACATCGTGCTTACCGCCAGCCAAAAGGCCATCGGCTGCCCGCCCGGTCTCAGCGTCGTCATGGCCTCCGGCCGCGCCATCCAGCGCTTCGAGAACCGCCAGTCCCCGCCCACCAGCTACTACGCCTCCATGGCAAACTGGCTGCCCATCATGCGCAACTACGAGGCTGGCAAGCCATCCTACTTCGCCACGCCCGCTACCCAGCTCGTGCACGCCCTCCACACCACCCTGACACAGGTAACCAGCAAGCCGCTGGCAGAGCGCTTTGCGGCTCACAAAGCTGCCTCGCAGCGTGTTAAGCAGGCTGTTGCTGAGCTGGGGTTGCAGCAGCTGGCGACCAAACCCGAGGACCAGGCCAATGCCATGACGGCCATCCGGTTGCCCGAGGGCATGACGCCGCCAGATATCCTACCTGTGCTCGCGAAGAAGGGTGTTGTCTTTGCTGGGGGGTTGCACAAGGAGATTGCGTCTAAATATATCCGCTTCGGACATATGGGGGTCAGCGTAACGGGTCCCGGACGGGATGATATTGACAAGGCGATCGTTGCGATGAAGGAGGCGTTTGCGGAGGTGAAGAAGTAATTAGAGTCTCCCTTTTTTATCTTCCTTACTTTATTTTTCCTTTGTTCCATTGAAGGGAGTTCTGTTCTCTGAATATATTCTTTTTTATTTTCAAAATTACTTTAATATCAGTTTACGGTGTGAAAGTGATGGAACGGGCGGGTTTTCTTTCCGGGCGGAGGGGACTGGAGATTGTGTTTAGAGATACCTACATAAGAATGAACCGCTTTTGATATTCCACGAGCGGGGAAATTATGGGGTTTTGCATATAGGTAAAAGATGAAAGAATACAAAAAACCTGAAATTATAATTCCTTCCGCACTGTAAGCAAATATATCCTCTCAAGATAAAAAACAACAAAATAAGACATTCTTACATGCTACATGCACAATTACCCAATAATATACAGATAGTTACGGAGAAATTCGACGTGAGAACATGATCATTTCTTTTTCTAGCTTCAAGTATCTGGATCTAACTGTAGTGCTCAAGCGAGGAAGCTGGTTCGAGCACTCGCTATATATCCCTTTAGCGAAAAAGACGGGAGAAAATGAAACAAGCTGCCAAACCCTAGCATGGAGAACTTGGAGAAGAACCACGGGGAGTGTTCAGGGTAATGTAATGAAGATAACTGAAGCAGAACTAAAACACGGGGTGAGGGGCTGAGGAGAAGAAAACGTAAATAAATACGGAGTAAACAAAATAGAGAGGGTGAAAAATGATATCAACAGAAACGCAACTAATAGGGGAAAGAAGAAACAAAAAATAAGGGCAAAATACATACGGCGAAAAATAGAAACAGGTAGCATACTATCTATCATAAAAAAAGAAGGGAAATTAAAAAAAAAAAAAAGGAAAATATAGAAAAAGGGGCAGCACCCCTCCTCTCGTCGTTGGCCTACCAATCATCATCGTCCTGCGGCCTCATCGCGCTCTGCCTCTGCCTCAACGCCTCCGCAAGGCCACCCGCAAAACTAGTACTATTCATACTATTCGGGGTGGCACGACCACTCCCGCCCGACGAGTCGTGCGAGTTCATGCTGACCGCGCTGTCTCGCGGTGCCGGGGGCGGCGCGGGTTTACGGCCGGCAATTGGCCGTTTGGCTGGGGGAACGGGTGGGGTGGGTTTGGCTTTCGCTGCGGCGCGGGAGGCGCCGTTGGTTACCACAGGGTTTACGGGGTTGGCGTTGGAGACTGTGGAAGCTCTGGGAGCGGCTGGGGGTGGAGGAGGTGGCGGGGGAGCGGCTGCTTGGGGGATTGGAGCTACGAGTTCTTCTAGATAGGCTTCGGGCGCCCAGCCTTGGGCAGAGGTTGTCGTGTTCATGCAAAGCCACCATCCTGGTAATTTCACGGGTTATTAGCATATTTTCGGTATGTGATTTGTGATTTGTGATTTTTTTCTTTTTTTTTGGATAGAGATGCGAAAACAGGGGTGAGGGACGGGGGTTGGGGGTGTTATTAACGCTTACCGTTTCCTTCTTTTGCCATGATTTGGACTATTTCGCCCTTCTGGACGGAAAGCTCGTTAGAGCGCTCGCTGTTGAAATCATATAGGACCTTGGCGGTATGTTTTTTGACTGCCGGCGGTGCGGCCGGGGGAGGAGGTGGGGGTGCTCGAGCTTGCCCCGAGGCAGCCTGTGGTACAGGTCGGTAACCAGTATCTGCGGCTTGGGGGGTAGCTCGCGGCAGAGGTTGAGGTGCGGGTGTTGGCTTCGAAGCGGCTGGTCGTGAGGCCAGTTTTGATGGCCCTCCTCCAGGTCCCCCAGGCCGGAGCAATTTGCCCTTGGTGATGGGCTTGCCAGCAACCTGCCTCGGTCTCGGAGTCGGCTTTGATACAGAATCTGGTGGTTGGCCTTGACTGGTGTGGATTGTTCCACTTTTGTACAGATCATCTCGAACAACTGTCGAATCTTTCATTGTCTTAATCACAGCCAATTTGCCCGGCTTTTTGTTATATTCAATACTGGAGGCTTGTTAGCTCTGCAAGTAATAAATGTACTGGGAGAACAACTTACGTGTCGGCGAGTTTGAGATTGAGCTGACCGCGGAGTGCATTGGAAAGGTATGTAAAAAATTCAGTCTTGAATACACAGCTGATAAGAGGGTCCGGCTCCTGTGGAGATCCAACTCCAAGAGCAAACCAGTCATCTTTCAGTCTTGATGCGCTGACGAATTTGATTGCGCCGAGCGATATCGTTCGTTCCGCTGAAATGTTCAACTGATGATTTACGACACTTTGGACGACAATGTAAACATTGTTCGATGTCTTTTACAATGACACACGTTAGCCAAGGCATCAAAGTTATGCAAAAACGAGAGGCGCACATACCAGAATTAAAATTCGCGGAGAAGGTTTACTGGAACGGCCGAATTTGGTGACAAGGAGCTCACAGCGGCAGGAGAATAAAACATTTTCGGATTCTGGATGTTTCTGTTGCGTTAGGAATTCCACTTCACCGCATAAAAGTATTTTAAAGAAAATAGCACTTACTGCTAATGCGAATCGAATCCCTGATCATTTCTCCCGGGCCTCCAGCGTTGCTAACTCCAAGATAATCACCAAGGAATCTCCGCGAGCCAACGAGACTGTATCGGCGCCTTTCTTTCCTTCCACCAAGGATTTTGTGCCCCTGGTCTCGCAGTTTAATATATTCCAGCCCTCCAGTGACCCGTCTCCAGAATCTTTGGATTCGGATAGCACATTCAGTTCGGTACCGGAGGTAGTTTCGCCAAGCGCGCTGGATACGGATGGCCATGTTATGCCAGTATCTATCTCGCATGTGTTCAAGAGCGAAAAGGGTTTCGGGGGTTTTGATAAAGGCTTTCGTGGTGCCCATCTGGTACTCTTCTGCCGGGATGCTTGTGTCTTTCAAGATCTGCCTCGCTCCCGATTCAGCGTCCCCAGTCCAGGTGTAATCGCCGGCATATGAGGTCTTTGGCGACAGAAGGTAGAAGCGCTCGACAAATTTGTCGAAAGTTTGACGGTAGGCAAATCCAGCTCTGCGAATCCGGACGTTCTCTTGCAGACCAAGGTATTTAATTTGATGCATCACATTGCCAACATTGTACTCGGACGGAGATTTGTTGTCGTTCGGTTTTATAGTTCGGATATATGACGGTTGTGCCTTCATTAAAGTCGTAACAAGGTCGTTTGCAGATGCCTTGATCTTGTCACCCGCGGTTGGAGGTCGACGCTTGTCGTCCTGATTAACTTGGTTGGGGAAGAGCGCATGGATGAAGTCGTTGCTACTCGAGCCCACAAGGTTAAGTAGATCTTTTAGTAGCTGATCTTTATTTTTGTCTGTCATTCCGTCAACAGTGTAGCCGACGTCACCAGCGTAATGCTTGACAATAAATTGACCTTGCCGGGACTCGAAGTTTGGATTTTGACTCAGGAAATTTAGTCTTCCCACAAAGGTCTGGTCGGCGGCTCCGGAGTCGGCATGTGCAGTGGCACAGGCGTCGTTTAATGCCGCGAAAATCCCGGGGGGGCGCTTATCTTCAATCAAGGAGCAAACAACTTTGTTATCAAAGTAAGTAATGGGAGTCCACTTGATTTGTTCGCGGGCGTATTCTTCTTGTTCCGTCTTTAGCGTAAGCTGGATGAAGATTTGCTGCAGTTTTTCGTTGACGTAATTGATACAGAGCTGCTCAAATGAGTTCTTATCAAAAATCTCGAACCCGTAAATATCCAGGATACCGATTGAATTTTCTACGGCTTCCCTTGCTGCGAGTGAGGCATTAACTCGCTGAACGATCCAATCAAACATGTTGAAATAAAGGGCTTTCGCGAGTGCGTCTCGAACAGCGGTGGCCTGGACAACGTTCAAAGGAACTTCATACACAGACCCCCTGCGCCCACCTCTGGCTGTTTCCATAACCCTCAATGTAAGTGCTTTGTTTACCGCGGCAGCATCGACCTCTAATAGGTATGCGACGAAATCCACTACCGATTGATCTGTTATTGAAACGTTAGAATTGTCGTCTTCGAAAAATTGCATATTTCCAAGCCACAGAATGGCTGAAAGAATGCGGAAGATATTATCCTGCTCGGCCTGCGCTAAACCAATAATTTTCATGGCGTCTAATGTATCTTTGAAATCAGCAGCATCGTCTATACCAGGGACATCAAAACATTTAGAGCGACTTGTATACACATATGACTCTGGTTGTTGGATGCCGAAGTTTTCTGGAACATATGTCAGCTTGACGGAGTGGGCTCAGCTGAAAGCATAGACATTCCACATACCTCTATAAGTCTGCGGAGCAGCTTTGGTAAACTGATAAAATATATGGAAGTTTCGCTCATTTGTAATTTGACCAACCACTCTAGATTTCTCCAGGAGGTAGTTTGTAATCGTCGCGCCGACAGGCTCACCAACGGAGTTGAATTGCAGCTCTAGATATTTTCCGAAGCGTGACGAGTTATTATTCCGCAACGTTTTCGCATTGCCGAAGGATTCGAGAAGAGGATTGGTCGCCAGGACCATGTCCTTGGTATGTTGTATGGAAGAATCGCTGCCGCCCGATACGTTCGCAATATACTGCATCAGCCGCTTGGCAGCTTCGGTTTTGCCAGCACCGGATTCCCCTGAGATAATGACACATTGATTCTCCTTGTATGCTTTCATGTTATAATATCCTGCTTCCGCGACAGCGAAAACGTGCGGGGGGACTTCCAGTCGGTTTTTCCCGCGGTAGGAATCAAGAACTTTGTCGGTGTAAATACCCACTAAATCGACGATCAGTATGTCGCGCTCGATATTTGTGGTAAGCTAGGTGTGACTTACAGTCTCTAAACGGGTTAACAGAGACAAGTACATGGCCGATGTATGTCTATATTCCAGGAAGTTGTCAGCAGCCAGGTGAAAGGTACAAAGTTGTCGCCTAAGCTGGCATTTCGGAAGGCAGGCAGGCATACGTAAATCTCGCCATGTTCAAATCTCTTTTTCAAGTTCTCATTTATGGCCTCATTCGACACTTTACTGAGGAGTGTAAGATCTGACACTCCAACCTCCTTCTTCTTTGTGCTTTCGAATACGGCCTTCTTAACTTGAGGTTTCCCCCCTGCCCCGCCCTCACCATGCCTCGACCGACCAAAACCACGACTCTTCTTCTCCGGATCTCGAGGGCGTCGCGAGTGTCCCTACATGAATATAGTTAGGGATATAAATTGCACAATAAGACTGAGCGTAATATGAGGGGCTATAGTCCGCCAGGACTTACCATATTCTCTGGGTTGCGCCGGGTGCGTGTTTGGCTATTCTCGCCGGATTGGAGGGAATATAGACCACGACCTCCTGAAAGTATAAATGAACGGGCGCAAACAACGAAGCAAGAGCATAAATATTTGTCCTGTAGAAAAGCTTCTTATCCGGCAGAAAAAAAGAAGTACAGACTCAGAATGCAGAGGAAGCACAACGACGGCAGAAGAATAAAGTAATAAAGGATAGGTGGGTGGACAGTAGTTAGTTGCCTTTGACACTTCAACGTACGCGGTACCGGAACGATGATGCGGCGCTTACTGCAACTGTGCCACAACCTTGTGGCGTCTGGACAAGATTAGTTACATAATCCACGTAACTACATGCAATCATTCCAAGCGTTTTCTTTTCTTCTTCTAACGCTAAACCGTTTTAAGACCTCGGGTAGCTTTGGTGCCTGGCACAGCCTATATTATTTCTCAGTCTGAGCTTGGTAGTAGATACATACATAACATCAGTCTCTTGTTCGTCATGAACCATACAAAGTTGATGATTTCGTATGTCCTACGTTCATACAGTCTGTACTGTTCAAGTGTGCTTTCCCAAAAAAGCCTCGAAACAAACGAGCCCAGCAACTGGGATAAATCTGTGGAGCGCCAATATCAAAATGTTAAAATCTATGTTAATGAAACTGTTCTAACCCAATTAAAGTGCGCTCACATACAGATTTTCCTCCAACAAGATCCCAGTTGAAGTTGTTGTTTGGAATCACCGCGATTTACTGAATCTCTCCCATTCTCATGCTCTTAGTTTGACAATAATGGACTCATACGCAACAGAACCAGAACATATTCCGGCCACTGACTTATATGCAGATGTTCCACTTTACGGGCGGTATCACCCTGCGCAGAGTGATTTTTGTGTGTGAAACCAAAGCCTCATTAATATACTGGGAACCAGTAATCGACTTATATCATGAATCTACCCGAATTTGCCCTGCAGATGAAGGTGCCTGCAGATGAAGGTGTTCGTGGTGTGTTTGCTCTTGGGAATGTCGTTGCCAAATCAAGCAATCAGGGGAGATCGACTATTCGTTCGCTGATTTCCATGGGGTTGATGCATCTATATTGCTAAAAAGGTAATAGAGACATCAGAGTACCAGAGATTTACTTCACTGGCAAGACTTTGATTATTCTCATGGGCTGTTTTACGCTCCACCCGAAATAAGATCCAAGGCTGCCAAGTTATAATTCAAGAGAGGTTCCCTGGTATTGACGTGTACGGAGTATTGCAAGGCCATGACTTTCACAATGCCAAAAGTAGTCCTTCACACAAGCAGACATGGGTGTACTTCAACAGCTACATACTATCAAATTTGATGAATGCTAGGTTTGGGCCCATTTTACCTCAGATGCTAATATGCTCAGAGACAGTCAGATAAATCCTCTCAAGAGAGAGATTATAGAACTATTCCACACCAGCCCTGAGAAGTTAAGTCTGAACCTAGCATCCTTTCTTCTTTCCTTTACAAATCCTTACTTTGTGATTGATTGTAACAATTTTTGAAGAATTTTCTTGTACATTCTTCAATTGAATTGTTTTATGTCTATACTGTATTTGAAAACTTTCAAAATTGCACATAACACTTGTCTTTTGCACATCTGGTGGTATGAGGGGATTCTGATTGTTGCGCTCTGTCACAAGCCCTCTGGCTTCTGTTCACCCCTTTCCCACTTCAGATCAACTTGCAACATACAGAATACGTGCAAACCACTGTGCAAGCATCGCCAGAACCCGGCGCTTAAGGCGAGATGAGGTGACTTACTCCTGAGGACGAGACTAATATTCTTATTGCCCTTAAAGACCATGAACAAACAGTCAAATAATACTCTCATCTCCTCAAACACTCAACCTTAATCCAGAAAGCCGCTGTCCATCACCTAGGTTTATCTCCAGAGAAATGTGAGACTGATGGTCTCAACAACTTGCTGTCTGAAAGCTTCAATGTCTATATCTCTATCATTGTTTGCAGCTACAAAGTGATGTTGATGCGGTTCTCAATATTGCATCAGGTTGGCAAATCATTTTGATTAGGCAATGCAGATGAAAAATATGATGTGAAGCAGTCACTTATGCATGGATGAAGGAGAATTGTCCTTCCATATTAGTGTCTAAGCTCTATGAATTTGCTCTATCAACAGGCCAAAGTGTAAGTTTTCAGACCTGATATGCATCATCTGATCAGGAGTATATGACTCACAGAAATAATAGTTCACAGCTACTGAGAGACTGCCAGTCCTTCCTCAATATTTTCATTATCTTTGATGTTACATGCTTAAGCTGTTTAGATAGGAACCACCATCTAGATATGTTCCCTGTCAGGGCCCATGTTTGAGTGATCTCAAAGCTGGGTATCTTCTAATCTCATACTGGCTCACTGACTAGAGTGTGAATGCAATTGACACGAGTCTCTTTACTCCTCTCCATCAAGAGTTTGTGGGCATTCTGAAGCAGGAGGAGAAGCAGTCTTACAAGAACATACAATATCATTTTCAAAGAATATGAGTCCGAGATGGAAGAACAAGATGTTCTGGTTTTTGTTAGTGCTCACGTCACTGGCTGGTCTTTCTCAGATATCTTACAACCACATCTGGCCGGAAGTCGCAGGAGACAGTGTTGACAGGGGGTGGTTTCTGAAGATCATAATGCACTTTTGGATGCAAAATATAGAAGCTTTTATAGTGAAGAAACTGGGAGACAAAACTGCCTATGATAAGAAGCTACAGGAGGAGTTTGATATTGCGCCTACCACCTAGGCCATTCTGCCTCAGCTTTCTTGGTTCTCCCTTTCTATTGCCTCAAGAACTTCTCGATACATGTTTTCTTCCCCGTTCCTCTTTCGATGGATCTGAGTGGCTTCTCCAGACAAGCTGAGCAGGGCTAATATTTTTCTATCTATTGTAGTCGCCTCCTCGACTGCCGCGCTGTACGATGAAGAGGAATATCGATCCGCAGTGCTTCCTGCTCTATCAGCCGCCGCTACATGCAGACTCCTTTCGGATTCGGACAGGTTTTCTTTCGCTTCTTCTGCCGCCATCAGGATGCGTAGATCATGCTTGGCCTTTTCCATTCTTCTTTGGTGGGTGTGGTGTCCCTAGCAAACCGATAACAATCGTGCCACTTTCAGGACTGTTGGCCCAATTTGGAAAGTTCACCGAATCGCGATTGTGGAGATAGTAACATAGTAACTGTAGATGGTCGCGAAACTCTCGCGAGCTCTTTTGATCTTTTGTCTTCGTGCTCATTATAAAGCGGTCACAAATCCCAACCTGATAAGCTACTCTCCTTCGTCCACCATTGAGTATAACTAGATAACTTGATCATACCTAATTGCGGGAGGCTAGAATAGAAAACTTAACTAGACAGCGGGCTTGGGCAGTCTGGAGTGGATTGGCGGGGTAACTGAGTATAGTAGAAGATATTCAAGTATATACTCATGAAGATCTGAATTATCTGGGTATTGGTGTAGAATATCTATAGTGAAGTAGCAGCAGGCATAACTCTATCTGAGGATACCGAGCTTGCCTTTCATAAGTTCCTACCAGAGTTGGCACCTCAACACGAGTATTTCAAGTAAATGATCTGGGAGAGGAATTAAATCAAAACGCGGTGGAGGGAGTCGCATCTTTAAATTCTAGATTAATATCTTTATACTCTAGCTAACGAACTCGATCTATCTAGTCTTGAGTAGAAGAAACGTAACTACATGCGCCGGGAAGACTTTGTACAGTACATGGCAACTGAGAAGAATTCTCGTGTTGGTTGCTGAGTGGAGAATTTAGTTTCCACAGCTGCGATATAAGAAAAGCAAGCATGGTATGTGGGTAAAATATGTTGGTATCGACAGCTAGAAAACCAAGTAAAATATACATGGAAGAATTGAAACGGTCAAGTAGGTATTGGAAACCATTTTGCAATGTAGATTTCCTCGTAAATCGATTGAATATCCCTCAAATAGATAAGTTTGATTACTGGGATGATCTTCAGATGGTATATCGATTGAACTTTATTTGGAGACTTGAGACGGTAATGGCGAAGAGGAAGACGGTTGCGAAGAGTCACTCAAAGGTTTGTATGCGGATGAGGAGACAATGGGACTAGAGTAATTGCCAGTCTCAGGAGCAGTCGTACTGTCGACAGTCGCTTTCCTGGGCCATTTAAAATAGCCAACAACCTGAGATATCCAACCAGGCTTTTCGATCTCTTCCTCCTCTTCATCAACATCCCAAACATCCCGTGGTAAGATGCGTTTTATGCTTTTCGGCGACTGTTTCTCCAGCCTTGCTTTCAGCTGTATAACTTCCCGCTCTAACGCAACGAGACCGCGCCGCGCCGCCCTTTCGGACTCTTCCAATTCAGCGAGGCGTTCTGCTACATCCTCTCTTCTTGATGTTTCTTTCCTTCGTGCTCTGAACGCCTCGAATACTATCAAACCACCTGCAACCAGAAACAGAAATGTTTCACTAATAAATGTTGCTCCAGAATCAATGGCTTTCGCTTCTGAAAGTGGTCGGATTCGTATGGGCGGAGGCGGTTTCGGAGGCTCTTGGGCCTTTTCCTTTAGTTTTGCGGCAAGTGACTCTTCAAGCTTGGTTTGTGCTTCTGTTTTCACGGTCGTGATACCATGCTTTTGTTTGGTCGCGAGGGCTTCAGCAGCAGCCTCTCGCGCCACCTGTTTTTCTATCGCCGCAGCGTTCTGTAGGAGACCCAGCCGTAGGCGCATATCCATCCGGTGGAGGGACTGGGCAAAGGAAACACATAACCGTCGGAATCGCTCATGTTCACGCGCTTGTGCTTTGATTTGGTTCTTTGGTTTTTTTCGGTATCCAGTTAGCTTTCAAGGTCGCTAAGAACAGCGCAGATGCGCATTTGCTGGCTCCAGCTTACAGCAATAGGTTTTGACAATGTTCGGATGACCAGCGAGGATATTTTAAGAGTCACGGACATTCTTGGGTGAGTGTACGTTGTAAGTCTGTAGCTTTGAAGAGGGGTTCCACGATGTGCGGAATCATGCTAGTGAAGTTGCAACAGCCTCCATTACTTGGAACCGGAGACTACACGACGTCCAGGGTCCGGCTGATGAACGGGATATCGGGCGATTTTAGGACGAGAGTCGAAGTTCCGCTGCGTCAATGAATACTGCGTCGGTCGTTGCTGATTGGCTCTGAGCCCTCAGGTGGATTACATAAGGAGATGGCCTAAAAGGGCTTAGTCTGTGTTATCATTTTTCCGTTTCCGGGCCAATGTTTACAATATTCCACTTTGAGAAACTCAATCACTGTTCGATGTCGATTCCTTCACGGCTCCATGCGACAAGGCAGTAAATCGCTGCTACGGCATTCAATAATAGCCCAGCGTGTTGTGGCATTTAATAGAACACATCAAGGTTGCGGTGAATACTATTCTTTACTCTGCATGTTAGTATTGTGGATATCGCCTCGTCGCATCTTTGTTAGTTCTGTCAAGTCCTGCTATCCAAACTCTATGAGACGGCTAACCAAAATCACCTTGATTCAAACCAACAATATAGCCCGTGGCAAACTTCAAACCTGCTCTATGAGAAACCGAATTTTTGCTCTAAAATATATCACTTGTTAATATAATTTGAACTGTCCAACGATTCCTGCTTGTCGCGATCGCATGAGCTCGATAAAGGAGGTACCCTTGTACATACCACGATGGAGGCATTGTCACCTCGCTCAACCAACATTCTCTCCAAGCCCAAGACCGACCCTATAATGAAGGCGAGCGCCAAAGATGCACCGCCTCAAAAGGCGCGGTCCGCCAAAAACCACGCCCCCCCACCTCCTGCTACGGTTCGTGAGCCTGAAGATGGGGGGGAGGAATACATCACTGGCAAATTTTTAGGAAAAGGGGGATTTGCCGTATGTTATGAAGGGAGGCTTGCGCGAAATAACAGGGTATATGCGATGAAAGTGGTAAAATCGGAAATGAACCAGAGGAAAATGGAGGAGAAGGTATGAGATAACAATTTGGGGAACCCGACATTTTGCACCTTATGGTGTCTAACTTTCCGCACGTACAGTTCCGGACCGAGCTCCAGATACACTCAAAAATGCGCCATCCCAACATTGTTGGTTTCTACAGGGCATTTGCCTTCGAACAAAACACTTATGTCATTTTGGAATTGTGCCCCAATGGCTCGGTGTCGGATATGGTGAGGAAGCGGAAATACCTGAGCTTGCCCGAAGTCAGGAGATTTATGATTCAGCTTTGCGGGGCGGTTAAATATATGCATAAGAGAAACGTGGCCCATCGAGACCTGAAAATGGGGAATCTGTTTCTCGACCGGAATATGGACATCAAAGTTGGAGACTTTGGCCTAGCTGCTATTATCCTGTCGGAGAAGGACGAAAAGCGACGGAGAACACTATGTGGAACTCCAAATTATATTGCGCCGGAAGTTTTGGATAAGAGCAAGGGAGGCCATAATCAAAAGGTTGACATATGGTCGCTTGGCGTAATTTTGTGAGTGGACCTTACTAGCGGCTTGAATAACGTCAGTTCTGTGAATTAACCGTTGGTCCTAGTTTTGCCATGCTCACGGGATACCCCCCATTTCAATCGAAGACGCAGGACGAAATCTACAAGAAAGTCAAAAATCTTACATATGTCTGGCCCAAGGAGTCCGAGGGTGCTAATTACATTCCAGTGGAGGCAAAGCACTTGGTCAGCTCCTGCCTGAATTTGAACGAGGATGAACGACCGGAGCCCGACCAGATTGTTGATCACGCATTTTTCAATATGTACAATGGCTGTATACCACGTCAACTGGACCCAGCCACACGCCTCGCTCCACCTACCTGGCTGACAACCCAAGACCCTCGAGGAGACCGTATGAGTCACGGATATAGTCTGGACCATGACTCGAAGTATTTGGGGAAAATAGCCCATGCGAAAAACTCCAATGAGCGATATCTTATTTGCAAAAACGAGTTTTACACAGAATGTGGGGTTGGTAGGACTTCTACTGGATCAATTAGGAGGCCAGCAGGGAAACGGTGTTCCAAATCTGCCTTCGCTGAATGTGCTGCTGAAGAAGAAAGGGGGATGCAGCCCATCGTCCCCATACCAGAAGATCTAGTCTACAGCTATTACACCGGATCCAATGGAGATTGGAGCCATACAACGGAAGAGGATGATGCTCGGCCCGATCCTGATAGTCCCATTGAGGGTGAAGTGCTTCCCAAAACGCGTAACGCATCGTATAAACAGCAAGCCGCCACAGTTGCTCGCATAACATCGGCTTTGGCTGCACAGATTCGCCGCAAAGAAGCTCAAACCCAAAGCCATGCAGCTCTCCTACGGCAGCAAGCTGTGCCACAACGACAGCCAACAATGAACCCCTCGTCTTCCCAACACCCTCAAGGTGATATTAAAGACACCGCAGAAAATGGCATTCAGACCGAGACCATTCCTCCCCAGCGGCTGCTGAATGAGCGACCAATCCGGGCACGGAGGGTAGTGTCTGGTTATTCTGCATCTGTCCGCGACAGGAACATATCGTTGACTTCCGCCTTGCCTAAATCCAATTCGGAACCAATTAATTTGACCATCGGAAAAACGAGATCACAGTCGAGGCTACAAATGGCAGCGTTGACGCGAGAGAGAAACGAATTAGCACTGGAAGCCAATGAAGTGAACCCGCTAGATATCAGAAATAAAGACATGTTTGCTTCGGTTCGCGGGATGCCTGCGAGAACAGTTAGAGTCGACCCGCGCGAGACAGAAAGACAGCGACCGTGGGAACAGCCAGTGAACTCACAGCAACAACAATCTCGTGATGTGAAACTGGATGAGAGGTCCAGGAGCGCTAACAGTAGTGGAAGTAATGGCAGCAAATCCACCAGCTCTTCTAACAAATCACGATCCACACTTGGGCTTAGTCCTCTAATACATCCCGACGAACATGCAGAACTTATGCCGGGGACGACCGCCAGTGAAGTTTTGACTGATTTGAGAACATACCTTAGAAGCTTTGGGCATCTGGAATCATTGACAGCATCGACTTCAAGGACACGGCAACGGCAACAATTTTCATCACTCTCCGATCCACATCCCTATGTCGTCAAGTGGGTGGACTATACGAATAGGTACGGTATCGGGTACGTTTTGGACGACGGAAGCGTGGGCTGCGTTTTCAAAGCAGAGCACGGCCGCCCAGCCAGCTGCGTTGTGGTCCGGAATGGAGAACGGCATATCCGTCGGAAAGCCTATGCGAAAGAAAATCCTCGTAGTGCATATGCGGATGCCGATCAACTCGTGCCAAGGAATGGTCAACCTGTGGAATTTTATGAAAATGTTGATGTACAAGACAATTCATACTCTGGCGGTGGAACGAGAAGGGTGCTTGTTCAGCCGGATGCATTTGAAGTGAGGAATCAAAATGGCCCCGGTGGGCCCGGCATAAAAGTTCGGATGAATTCTGGAGTTGACTGTGCAAGGTGTGATGCGGAGAAAGTCAAACGAGTCAAGCTTGTCGACCAGTTCGGCAAATATATGATTGGAACATTGGGAAGGAGTGTGGATGAAAACTGCCCTCCCGAGGATGAGAGAAACTATAGATTTTCCGGCAAAATCGGTCAATATGTCAAATTCTATCAGCGACTAGGGAATGTTGGCATATGGGGTTTTGGGGATGGAGCGTTCCAGGTTCGTACTGCCTAGAGCAATCTGATATCGTGGAACTATCTAACTTTCTCTCCTATTCAATTATAGTTCAATTTTCCGGATCATACTAAACTTGTTATTTCACTGCCACGACATGGATCGCAAGGCTCGTCGGAGCCACAGCCTTGCCAGGCAGATTTTTATCATCTTTCTCCATCTGCGGCACGCTACCTATCAACCAGGGGCAGAATGCATCCAGCAGGTTTTGATACCAGAGCCGTTATATCTGAAAACCTGAACACCTATCTCGCCGCACTCTCAGGTCATCCTATCCACCCATCCGGAATTAGCAGCAGTCGGTTTTGCGATATATTAGAGGCGAATGCGTTCCGCGACAAATTAGACTTCGTTCAACAGGTTCTGCGGAGCTGGTTTGAGAGCAGGAGGTTAGGTAACAGAGTACTGCTACGGAATACATCATCGACGACCATTAATACTGGTCCAGATAAAACCATCCCTGACAACTTAACATCCAAACGAGGCTACCGCGGCGAAATATTTTGGGACGGTGCTCAGGAGAAATCCTGGTTGACGCCGTCTGGGGGTAAATTTGTGTGGGTTACTGTTGGCGCCCATGGCGGCGACGGCGAGTATTTTGCCGTACAGCTCAAGGGAAATCCTGAAGGCGGAACAGTCGAGTGCGTTGGCGCTGAACAGATACAAGATCTGCAAGATCAATTGATGGCGTTAACTGTGCGGTCGGGTTAAAAGGAGCTGGTGCTGGTGCTGGTGATACCATTTAATTATTTTCTTTTTTGCCCCTTTTTTGTGATATCCGAATACTACGTTCCGCTATGTTGATTGTTATCCTTTCTTGTTTTCTTTTCTCCTCTTTGGCTTGGTGTTTTGGGGTTCTTTTCTACTACTCATTTTTTTTTCTTTTCTTTTATATACACATTCTTCTTCAACTCAGCGTTTTGCATTTTTACTTCTCTGCATTCCCTCGCTCATCGAATGCCTTTGACCTTCATGGTTCATTTTAACGAAGTTACGCAGCGCCTGTCACTTTCTCCTGGTTTCTAGCATGGTACTAGGCCTTTCCGTTCTCTTGTTCATTTAACTGGCGTGACTGTGCTCTGATTCTTTGATTCTTCTGATCTTAACTTCTACCTTGAGTTGCCCATCTCCGGTCACGGATATGGGCATTCTTACTACTTTTTTTTTTTTTTTTTTTTTTCTTTTTTCTTTTTTTTCCTATTCTAGTCTACTCTATCCAGCGACCTGAGCGTGTAAATGTGCGAATCATTCTGAAATTGGACGGTTTCATTGTTCTATTGGTTCGTTCTCGATGTTCCCTATCGAGTTTTGCTACGGCGGCGAGTATAATTGGTGATAGTTGACTTGTGGTTGATGCGATGAGCAGTATATATATAGCATAGATATTCTCTATAGTAATTGAAGCGATGACACGGAATGTGAATAGCCGGCAGATATCTGAATTCATATCCACGCTTTTCCTCACCTAGAGCCGACGTAACGGGAATAGCTTATACCATAGAAAGCAATTCATAGTCATTCAAACTGAAATGTTTATACTCTATTTTAAAAATGATCTACACTCTACACTATCATAAAAATGGACGTAGACATATCAATCTACATACTGTATACTTTATTGCGCTCAGCTGTTCATGTTCAACGAGACTAGTATCCCGCTTTTCTCCTGTAAAGATTAATCAATGGCTCGCCCTTCTCCAATCGGCCCAAATTCACCTTTAACACATCCAAAGCCCTCTGCATATACTCAATCCCTAACGAACTTATATGGGGTGTAATATGCAAATTCGGTGCATCCCACAGCGGATGGTCAGCCGGCAGCGGCTCTGGTTCCGTTACATCAATCGCCGCCCCACCCAGCTCGCCAGACTTCAAACTCGCCATCAACGCGTCCTGGTCAATCACCTTGCCCCTGGAGATGTTGGTGAGGAAAGGACGGCGGGTGGTGCGGGTGCAGGATTTGGAGAGCAAGGCCATTTCTTCTGCACCGATGAGATATTCCGTCGAAGGCGTCAGCGGGACCGCCACTAGGAGGTGGTCCAGGTTCTGCGACAGGAAGTCGTGGAGAGCGGCTTTGTCGGTGCCGCTGTGCCAGGATATCGGTAGGCTGCCGTCGGGGTCACCGGTGTTCGGGACTATGTAGCCAGTATCTCGCCGGGATTCAGGGGTCGGCCGCGGAGAGACGGTAAATGCCAGCACTTGCATGCCCATGGCGACAGCGACACGGGCGACTGCGAACAAGCTGTGTTAGCGGTGGTATTTTTGCGCACGGGGAATATTGTACTGGCCTCGAACGTTTCGCAATAATAGAAATGTAAAGAAGTCAAGGTGGGGGTAAGAAAAATTTAGAATTGACCGAAATTGTGGGGTTAATACCTTGCCGCCCAATACTTCCATACCCCAAAATGCCCACTCTTTTGCCTACATTATCCTCCATCTTGTTGATGAGGCTCTGATTATGCGTCCAAATATGCTTCCTTTGCCATTCGGAAGTTTGGTCATACATCTTGGAAGACACGAGCCAGTTCATCACCACCCATTCGGCGATCGGTGGGCCGTGGATGCCGGAGGTCGTTGTGAGATCAATATTAGTGTCTGTCACCAGCGGGTGGTTTAAGTAGCGGTCCATGCCCGCAGAGATTACATGGACCAGTTTCACACTAAATGCAAAAGATATGGTCCGTTAGTAATGACTTCTCAGGCGCAAGTGTTTAACTGGATTGTCGCATTGTCGCTAGTAGCAAGGAACAGGGTCGTTGCGTACTTGGGAATGTCCTCGAGTGTCGGCGCATAATGTAGCATACACAAAATGGTTGCTGAATTCAGGAGGTCTGCAAAAGCCAGAATAATTAGCAAAATTAAATTCAAATTGTTCCCAACTGAACGATGCCGAAGAAGGGAGCCATGAAAAACGAACGAAAAGAAATCGTAGAAGAAACCCGGATTACAAAATATACAACAAGGAGCGTATCAAATTGGGTATATAGGTTCTTCATACTCAACATTATGACCGAACAAAAAAAATAAATATGGTTGGATCATCGTACTGTACATTCACGTCTGGCAGCGCACATAACTAGTGGTAAATATATCGTGGGAGCAAGTTTACATGTTAGGATTAAACCCACCTTTTGGCACAGCACCATTGACCTGCGTTTCACGCTGCTGCTCAAAGTAAGACACTCGAATATGCGGAAAGCTTTTGCGGATATCATTTATCAAGGCGGCTGGTTCGGGGAACGGAAGAATCACCACAAGGTGTTCTTGCGACGAGGGAGCGTCACCCATTTGTTGACTTCGAGATTTTTGCTTGCTTGAGCCAGTCAATGTTCAGGCACTCTATTTATTTACATGCACTGACTTTAGTGTAGATGAAATGGTAGGAGCTATGTGCTGCGATGTGTTTGAGTGCGCAAGTCAAACAATATGACTTATATATTAAGTTAAAATGTTCCAGGCGCACACACTCTGGCAGAACAAAACGTATATATGTTCCTCGCGTCACAGGGCGGGACCTAGGGAGTAAGTTATATAAACATTAGCCTTTTCTAACCGCTCTCATACTCGGACACTTATTAGAGTTCTGAATAATAGTTAACTACTCTGTAGTTAACCAACTAGTTATCTAAGAACCCCTGCCGAACGTACCTAGGGACGACTAATCAGACGCCCCATTGCGGGGTCTCTGTTTAAGGAACGGAACAGAGGGATGAGGACCCAGGGCTACGAAATATCACGATATCCGTATAGAGGTGTTTGTGAGCGAGTGCAGTCTAGATTGTTGATACCTATAATGGTATACAACGTATTCAGACAATAATGCAACGGCTAAACTTCCCTGAACCGTTATATATATTTGGCCAGTCAATTCATTTTGCCACTGTAAAAGACCCTAAAATGGGCCGACAGACAGTTTAAATCTGCTTATCATATAATGAACGCCCTCTGAGTCTCTGACCTCGGGTATCGAGTGGAGCATTGAAGAAGTGGATTAGTTTGAAACTGGAGGATTCGGCTTCGGCAGAGGATTATTATTGAGAATTTATTCTGAAGCTGCCGAGGGCGGACGGCGTACAGGCATAATGATCAATAGTTAATCGGCACCGGTAGTTGAAAGATTTAATTATGCCATGTCGGAAGCCAGTAAAGCCGAAGAAGCAAAACGACTGTGCAGAAGAAAGGTGAATTTCTCGGGGCTTGTAAATGCATCTGGATAGGGCTGTGTGTGTGGGGAAGAGATGAACGGGCTTCCAGGGCAAGGATGGTCAGACTCTAATTGCACATCATCTCTAACTATCGTCAGATGAAGAAGCATTAAACGCTACTGCGTACGCATAGTACTGTGTACATCTCCGGCGGCTATTGGCCTGGCCATGCATGGCCTTGGGCTAGTAGACAGCCCTTTTTTGGTCGTGCTATGCTTTAAGCTTTTTATCTTCATTGTACTGGATATCTGGCATTTGGAGCATGGACGTAATGTCGCGTTACTAGAGAATGATGGCTGAACGAGCCGTATGGCCTATGACTCTTGGTCAGTTTAAGTGATGTCGGAGGTAGGAACAAGAGCGAAAGAAGCATGATCAGTATGTTAATTACAAGGTCATTAGGTGGAGCGTGAGCGTCATTTGAAAGAGCTGACTTGAGAAATAGATAGGCAATGAACAAAATCAGTTACATTCAAAGTGAAACGAAGAAGGCAACAGAATCAGAGAGTAGAGAAGAGAGAGCTACGAGAGACGGAGAGAGGCAGAGCGGGAGAAACGATGCTAGAGCACAAATATCCGCCCGAATGATAAAGCGTACCTTTACGGCTTCCAATCCATGGATTATTGCTGAAACCACGAGAGATAAAATCGGAAAGGGAGAGACATTGAAAAATGGAAAGGAATGAAAGGCACGAAAGACAAAGGTTCAAATGGTGCCATTGAATGTGGTAGCTAGAAAGGGGTTGGGGGGTTGGAATTTTCTCGGAATTTGAGTATGTAGTGTCAACGGGAGAAATATCGTCAGATGGCCTGTTAATGGTTTCTTTTATTTGCAACATGCAATACTCTTTCTCACAGGGCTCTGAAAGTGAGTCAGGGTGGGAACTTGAATAATGCGGTGATGGGATGAGGATAAGATGGCTGGAAATAGAACTTAGAAGAGGATGCACGTTGCGATGCGGTCAGACACTTAAAAAGTATGAGTAGGAGATAAAACAAAAAACCTATGGCTAAATTCCAATAGCGGTCATCGCAGTTATGTGTCGGTGATTATTTTCCTTTCCCGGTCAACAGTGGACACTCCTCAGTCCATCCCTTAGCAGCCGTTCATCAACCGCATTGCTTTCCCCTCACTTTTCTAAATACGTCAACCTCAAAGGGCCTTTTCGACAGCCACCAGCTCCTTGAAGCCTTCGGAGTATCTCAAAGCCTCCTGTTGTGTCGGACTCGGAAGAGGCTTACGCGCATATCCACCGTATCCAAAGTGAGATAGCAGGCCACTTTTAGTACCAACCACGCCTCCTTGAATTGCAATCCAATCCCCCTGGGCCACAACCGCTTGTAGCTCTTGGGCCTCAATGTGTTTCCCAGCCTTGTAAAGCTCAATGATCTTGACGCAGGCTTTGGGGGCGATGTTTGCTAGGCCGCAGATAACCCCTGAACCGCCGCCAATTAGAGTCTGCATGGTGAAATCTGCAGATCCACCCATACACATAAATCCTGAGCCATCATCTGATACTCTGCTAGCTTTAGTCCCTGCTGCTATCCGATTCAGCTTTCCTGTATTGCCACAGGTAAGCTTGCAGCCAACAATATTTGGGTGTTTTGCCAGTTCGATGATTGTATCAGAATCCATGTCTATGCCCGCCGCGCCGCCCGGGTAGTTGTAAACTAATATTGGGATCGGGGATGCTGTTGCCACATCTGTAAAGAATTCGATCGTTGACTGAGGTTTGTAGAGGCCTTTATAATATGCTGGTGGAAGTACCAATGCATAGTCGCCTCCAGACGCTGCAGCCTCCTGACAGAGGCTGATAGTCTCTCGTGTAGATTGCGCTCCACACCCCACCATTATAGGAACAAGAAGAAACCCCTCTCTATCAAGAGCTTCCCGTGTTGTTTTGGTTACCAAGTTTCGCTCGTGGTGTGACAGATGGACTGCTTCGCCGTTCGAACCTTGGGTTGCCAACCCAGCAACCCCTGCTTTGGCCATACGAATCGCATGGTTGGAAATGGTATCTAGGTCCAATTCTTCAGATATTTCCTCGAAGAAGGCTACCGTTGGTACGTAGATTCCCGGTTTCAGTGGCCGTGATTCGTGATTATGGCTTTGGCCAAGGGAGGCGTTGGAGAAGCCATTGCTGTACCGAGCAGCTCCATGCCCTATAGGATACCCAGCCCGGCTGTGGTTGGGACCAGATGATGGGGCGTCGTTATGAAGGGGCATCTAGTTCGTAGTGGTATAAATATGGTTTGGCTGAGCTCGTTAAAGCAAAGGGGCACGCACCCCTGAGAAGGGAACAGGTTTCGGAAGGCTTGAAATCTGGAGAGACTTCAACGGCAAAGAAGACTGCTTTTAACGTGACTTGTGCGATGTTGAAGGGGGATTCATGTAAACATTCAATTAATTGAAGCCCTAGTGAAGGCAATAACAGAACGATGCAAAAAAAAAAAAAAAAAGACATCTGAATCCTCAACACCGATGAAGGTCTACATCAACTAGGGTATTAGGGGGTAGGGGTAAAAATTCCCGTCCGCAGCGGGCCTGTACCCTGCTCCTCAAGCTGCGGTGTATTGATCCAGCCCCGATCTCCAATCGCATGCTTGGGCTACGTTCAATCTGCCCGATTGCCTCCATCATTGGCAACGAGGAAGACGAGAAACATTCTCAATCTGGGCGGTAGCTAGAGCTGCAACCACAACAGTCTGCGAAGTTCGATGTATCCACTACCTAGGGAAGCTTTGATAGAGCGGCCATTGAGGGGTGGTGAAGCAAGATCATCTGCTCGGTGTGAAATAGTGCTGAAAAGCCCGCATCTTGATATTGGTCAAACCTCGCAGCAGCTCGTTGAGAGTTGCATGCTTGAAGCAGCTGGGCTGTCGAGGGTCGGACGTGTGGGGGTTTGTATGAACCAGTGCGGCTGTCAGATTCCGATTATGAGCGGTTTGCAAGGCCCTATTGGCGTGATAGGCTCCAAGACCGCCAGCCAGCCTAGGAGGCAGGCTGGTGTTGGTACTCCTGGATCGTCGCGACTCTCGCCCGTCGATGCCCAGCAGCCATAAGAGAGCTCGGCAATTTACCACCGGTAGGTGGTTCTGTGAAGGGGAACACCTTAAATCCAGTACCCCATACTCAGGGACCACCCTGGCCCATGCAGTTGGTGTCAGCCAACAGTATCTGGGCTTAACGCGGTATGTAGAAAATTTGACCCCAGCGCCCCAGCCACAGACTCGTGATGCCTCTACGATGTACGGAGTATGCGACTAACGATCCGGGCTGCTACTATGGAGCACTAACCGACTTTTGACTTTCTATCCCACTGCAATGTCGCATGTTCGCCTGCTGGTCGCACATGTGGAATTTTTGAAATACGAACGGTAGCCCATGGTTTCTCCTACCACAGTAAAATCTTGAAGATATTGATACTGGTGTTCTGGTTTGTCCGGGCCTGTCAGCGCTACGCCCACCTTTGTCTGGAATCCGGCCGAACGAAGGAGGTCTGCTAATATCGGGCAAGGCAAAGATTGAAGGATAGAAGACGCGCGGGGTGACTGCGATGTACAGTACATCCCCGGCGGCGATGGCGCGGTGACAGTTGGGGAACTCCAAGATTCTCAGTCTAGAGCTGCAAGGCCAGCGTCATAATTGGTGAGGTGTTGCGGCGACCCTGCCAGTAAGAAGGAAGCTTCCAGGACTTAAATATTGCCCACTGTTGGTCCTAGTTGCGTCCCACAATCAACTTATATCTGGAAAACTGTTGAACCGCACGGACTGATGAGCTGCTTGGGTGCCTGGTGGAAATTCCCATTATTGTCCTTCTTTCTGCCTTGTATTCTATTCCATCTTATCCTTCGCTTTGATCGAGATTATGGAACCCTGGATTGATATCACTACTACCCTGTGCCACTCCCGGCGGAATTCGGCTCATTCTCGTCTACAATTTCTGCCACCATTTTATCCGTGGCTTAGTTCGCAATCGACTTGGTGACAGACGTAAGGTTCGGATCTCCAGTTGATGCGCGACGAGGAACAGAAGAACAGTCTGAGAGGCTCGCGAGGCGGTGCTTCAAGATCAGGCTTTCTCTCAATGTCTGGCGGTTGTTCGGCCTTAGCAATAACTGCGGCCATTGTAGCGTGGGGAGATCATTCTGGTTTGACCAGGAGTGTGTTAGGATTATCCAAATGCCGGCATTTTGCTTCTAGTTTGGATTGATGGCTTCGTAGTGTATTATTGATTCACTTTGGATGCTAGATAGAATCAAACCAGACCCACTTGCAAGTGTTTTCCAAAGGCTGAATTTCGTTAATGTGGCACAACAGCTTTTCGAATGGGCCCGTCAGTCGCAGCCGCCAACATCCCGAGTGCCATGCAGTGACTTGGGGGTTTCTATCTTGTGGCTTTCTTCCCTGAAAAGTATCGTCTGTGCAGAATTATCCCCACGGCTCATTATCCAGCATAATAATCGAATTTCAAACCCATCTGCTGGAGACGACCATGTCACTCATTAATAAGGGCTATTAAATCGAAACTTTGGAGAGCACTGAGAAATGCTTTTTTGTGTTGCTTTTCTCGACTCTCATGCCCGTAGCTAGTAAACAAATACCTGTCTTGTGATCAAACACCAGAAACAACTAGGTGGCTATGTGCTCCTTATTTCTGACATGCGCATAGTGATCGAAATCAGAATATCCAGTTCTCCTGCCACCTTACTCTTCGAATTCGATGGGAGCAACACTCGAAAATTGACCACTCACCCACTTCATTTCCGCCTGGATTCCAATTAAACGCATACATACCCATTATTTCCCTACCCATGTTTCTGAAACGTCGCATTTTGTCCATGCGCTGCAAATAGTTAATGTTCTTGCAAATTGATCTTGGTTTTTCTGGTCGAAGAGGATGTGCAAAGCATCTGAGACTCAACTTGCAACTACCGCTCTCCTTCGACATTTTGAATTACCTGAGGCAGCCCTGAAATGGGTGGGCCCTGCATAGGTTGGTGAAGATGTTCTTAGTTTCATTTTTTGGTCCATTGATTAGTGGGGAAAGGAGATGAGGCAAGCGCGTGTATTCAAACAGTATATTAAAGCATAATCAATGAAGTGTATAGCTGATTCGTGCTCCTTTTGAGGTTGGTAGAAGGGATTCCGTCGCTTCATTATTTCACTTCGTTTTGTAGTCACTGAACCTCAAAAAGTGAAAAAAAAGACATAAAAGTAAAAGTAAAAATAAAAAAGTTGCTTAACAATCATCTTGATATTGGCAGACTTCATTCGCACATTGTACTGTGGAAGTTGACAGAACCCGCTGCTCCCCTATTCTGGTCTTCTTGTGCCCTGTAACCCGAAATGCTGGCATCAGAGTTCGTCTTTTAGCAAAAATACGTACCCCTTGCTGTAACAAGGAGAAAGATCAGTGTCATAGTTATGCGAACAGACGGGGTCAGAGAACAAACGTAAGCATTTGTGGAGCAAATAATATTATTGGACCTCGCCTTGTTGACAGAGTGAAAAGCTGGGACCCAGCTCTCAATAATAATGAACCAACCCCGGAAAGTTGCAAAAAACGCGGGGGTAAGCTTATCAATTTTTGGCAACCCAATCTGTTGAATGCCAAGCAACGCTGTCCTGTGCCGGAGGTGATGCAAGGCTGGCTGGAGAAGCTCGGACCCCGCCATGGTATTTCTCCCCGCAAACAAATACGATTTGTCCCAGCTCCTGTTGGATGGAGTATGTCGACGGGGGTTTCACACCCTTGTTAATCCCACTCTTTTTCTGGGTAGAACGAAATGAGGCTTTTCAATTCCCTCGTGTTGGCTAACTGGTTCTTTCGGAATAGATGATGGCTAATTTTGACGCATATTCGCTGGGGTGGAGTGAGGTATCCAGACAACTCGACATTGCATTCGTATGCACGTAGGATATGCATGCAGGTTTTACTGTGGAATTCTGGGAGAAGGGACGCGCATGGCTCGGCAACGACTTGCCGTTCACAACGCTGTCGAGGAGCCATCAGGGGAGTTTACGCTTGAAGAGGTGTGCTAGGCTAGAAGCCGCCATCTTCCATGGTTTGTTCTCGTCCAATCGTCTTATTCCGAGTTTAGGCCGATAAATTGCGGATTTTGACTGATCGGGGCCAATGATGTGGGATCTTCCAATATTGCCAGATTCAGCAAGAGAGCACATGTCCAATTTTTCAAGTCGTGCATTTGACTTGGGCTTGCCTTCGCCGAAGAAGCTCTGCAAGCGGGATATCGTCCTCATCATAGAATTCAACCTCTTCGTCAACCCCAAAGTCCCGAAGTCTATCACCCTCCGGATCTCTCCAACCTTCTTCACCGCTATCGGAGTTTCCCCCACTTTCAGATCCACTCAAGTCAGCAGAGTCTGTCATCTCCACATTTTGGATGTACCGTTTGTGGAAGGGGGTTCGACGTTGAACTTCTGACACAATCTGTCGGCGCTTGAAGTCTTCTCTTTGGCGGCGTTTAAATGCTTCAATTTCTTGACTTTGCGATGCATAGTTTTGTTCACCACTGAAATCGTTTCTAAAGTTGTTCCGTGGCATCGACTTATACATTCGATCTGGGTCGGGTGGTGGCCATGACACGGTGCTTTCTAAACATTATTGTTAAATTGACCATAAATGTATGAAATAGAATACGATAATAGCCCTTCGTTTAATTCCGCCCACGTACCTTCAAAACCGTTCACCTCGAACTCTAACCCTGAACCTTGACGTGGAGTTGAAGCAAGAGGCCAAAACCAACTAATGATCTATATATGTTTGTGAGTTAGAGACAGCACATATGAGTGTGGGATGGCCTTCTGCATCTATGAGAAAATGGACTAACATTAGCGCTTCCTCCCATACCGGATTTTATATTGTTCCAGATCCCAATGTCGTATGGAAATTCCTGTTTTTGGATACGCACAGGAACGCCGTCCGGGCCATCAAGATATCCTCCAAGGACACGAGCTCGTCGAAGAAGTGTTTTATGTCTTTCAATCTCCCAAACCTCGATGGTAGTTGTGTTTCCCCCCAGACACCACAGTGTTCGTGCCAGCAGGATTACGAGTGCGAAGAGCACCGTAGAATTAAGCACAACAAGCAAGAACAGGTGAACTAGCTGTGGAAGGCTTGGCCCCAGATACTTTAGCACGAGTCATTGCATTGGGTGTTAGTAGGCGCATTTTACTTGGGTGGGATACAGAGTAATTGGGAAGCCGGCAACTCACGCTCGGCAGATGCCGGTTTTTCCAAACGACAGCAACACGGGGGTAGAGGAGACATTCAAGGTATGTCATAGAACACACTGCATAAAAGAGAAAACGAATGAAGTGGGGGAAGGTAAAATGAGAAACGCAGTTTTCTGTCCAGGGGCAGTGGTGGTCCATTTTGGGTATGCATCTGTCACGTAAGCGTTAGTCATGATAATAACAAATAAAGGTCGGGAAAAAAGAGGGCAAGGAAGTAATAAGAAGCTAAGAAGCCCTCACCGCTGGCAAGACTTGCAATGGTGAGCCCGAGGAGGCTTGAAAGTATCACATCGCCGGCACCATCGTTGTCGAAAGGATGAATATTGGATACCATTTTGCGCCGTTTCTCCCGTCTCAATGACATCATTTGCGACAGACGGCTGCCAACCAGCAGGCACTTGCCCGGGATCTGTTGTACAAGCACGGTAATAACAAATCCAAAGACATGCTACCAAAACGTTAAACTTAATCAGTTGGTCCTTTCTTAGCGGCGATGGCTCTAAGTATAGAAATATATACTGCGATGAATATGCAAGGAATGTGATAAGTAAAGAGACGGCTGGGATGGCGAGGCGGGAAACGTTAATGGCAACCATCGTCTCGTGTTTATCGTACTCATCCTGCTGATGCTCCCTCGTCGTGAGTCTGTTCCATGATGCTCGATGGAGATGGACAGCGACATCTTATATCATGTGATTTATCCAGCTTAGTAATTACAGCCGTTAGATGCCCCTGAACCAAACGACAACTCTAATCCAAACCTCTGTCATTCTTGAAACTTAGTTAACTGTCAATTGCGAGATATCTAGAATCTAGAAGCGTTCATATATAATTTATAAGGTCGTGTGTATTTTCTACAAATTTGACAATCAATACATATCAGTTGCAGTGTTGTATGAGCGCACAAGCTTTTTAAGTTCAGCTGCATAACATCACTGTTTCTGAGAATGGACAATGTCAATCGCACATCTTCCCCCAGATACTGCGAGGGCAGTTAGGTCAACCTCCGCTATTTCTGACCCATGCTCTCTTGTTAAAGAGCTTATCGATAACAGCCTTGACGCTGGGGCCACCTATATCTCAGTCGAAGTGTCTGCTAATACCCTTGATACCATTCATGTCAAAGACAATGGCGTCGGCATCCATCCGAATGATCGTCATCTGGTTTGCAAACGCAGCTGTACCAGCAAACTTCAGACTATTGATGACTTAAAAAATATCGGCGGAAGCACTTTGGGTTTCCGGGGAGAGGCCCTCGCGAGTGCTGCTGAGATGTGTGGTAGCATCGCAATAACAACAAAGGTAGCTGGAGAAATGGTCGGGGAAACTTTGAAATATGATCGCACCGGGCTACTGGTCAGGTATGCTCTGCTCTATTCAAGAGATATATGCAAAGCATTTCTTCTAAGCAGTTCTGACTACGTGCGTTAGTTGTACCAAAGCAGCTCATCCGACAGGGACCGCTGTTCGAATTTCCGAGTTCTTGAAGTTGGTCCCTGTTCGGAAACAGATAGCTTTAAAGAGTGCTCCCAAAACACTCAATCAAATGAAGAAAGTTTTGAACGCATATGTGCTTTCCCGCCCTGAAATTCGACTCTCTTTCAAAATCTTAAAGACTAAAAGTGACTCCAGTTGGGTTTACGCGTCGACGGAAAATGCAACAGTTTCCACTGCAATGTTGAGAGTTGTCGGTGCCGAAGCCACTTCTCAATGCACCACAATAACATGGCCTCAAATCCAGGGTGGTGATGATGATTTCTTGCCGGAATCCTTAGACATAAATGAAAGTAATCCTTCAGCGATCCGGATTGTTGCTACAATCCCGAAGCCTGGTTCCGGTGAGTGATATCTCGTTTTATTGCCAATGATAAAGGTAACTAATTCATCCAGACCTCTCGAAAATCAATCATGCCGGTCAGTATGTTTCCATTGACGGGCGGCCTATGTCAATATCCAATGGCGTTGGGAAGGAGCTTGTTAAGCTATTCAAATCTTATCTTCGTTCTGGATCACATTGCGTTGGCAGCCAAACATCACTAGTGAACCCATTCCTTTTCATGCATCTGCATTGCCAACCCGGCAGTTATGATGTCAACGTGGAGCCATCTAAAAATGATGTCGTTTTTGAAGACTCGAAACTGGCTATGTCCACGGCGGAAAATCTGTTCAAAACCGTATATGGTGAAATCGAGTCGAAACATACTCATCAGAACAATCGCCAGCTCGAAGACCAGGGGTTATCTCCGCAGGTGATACGCTCGCCTCGCAGTCGGTCGGCCAGTAGCCGACGTACCCACGAAGCCAAAGATCCGCCATTATTTCTCCATATTCCAAGCCATGCAGTAAAACATTGCCATTCCATAGGTAACGCCCTTGTTAGCTCAACACAAGGGAAGAAAGACAATGTGTCAGTAGCAAGTTCCGCCGACACCACCTCCTGTCCACAGCTAGCCGAAAATAATCCGACCCTTTCCGATAGTTCTCGATTGACCAACCCATGGATGCTTGCTAAAAGGCAATATGTAACACCCCCGAAGAAAAACGCGCAGTCTCGCAACTTTAACTCTCATCTCCTCACCCCTGCGTACGAGGATGAGAGTTTCCGTTCTGATAGCACAATGGTAGAGAATTGTACGACTAATTCTCTGCCTGCGAGCCCCGCAAACCTGACACCTATCCCTATGCAAACACCCGAAACGCGGTTGGCGAAAGCCGGCCACAATATATCTCCGACAGGTGTTAGCAAGTCACAAATGAACGCACTGAGCAGTCTCTCCGAACCCTCAGTTAGCCATGGAGGAACTCAGAGGGTGTTAGGGGGCTCGGGCAGCTTGGACGTCTGGATAAGAAACCGCCGAGATGCTGCTAATCATCCTGCTGACGAAGGCCAAGATATTGGGATACCGCGGGATAGGGAAGATTGTGAAAATCGGCTTCCAGAGATAGCTATTGCGAGACGCTTTGGTAAAGAGGGAAATGGCGTTTCCACTGGGCGTAGTCATGCATATTCTCCAGCAGGGCTTTCGCCGCGTGCATTGCTCAGTTCCCCAGGTATCCATCGGAACTCTACTCTCTCCAACACAAGGGGCTACCGCCCACCATCGATTTCATTCGAAGTAGATGATGATCAAAATTACCGAATACGTGAGTCAACTGACAACCAAAATTCTACGGCAGAGGAAGTGATAGGCGAGGCATTGGACTTCGAATACCGGAAGAAAGCCGCCACGCGGCTCTATAGGCAACTGCAGCAGCAGCAAGAGCAGCACCAAATGCCTGCTCAGCCGATGTTACTCTCATGGGCGGGAGCCAATCATGTTAAGACATCACAGAGCTCTCCGCATCAAAATCGATACAGCAAAGCCAAAGCTGATCTAGTCAGTCATTCGCCTAGGCCCAAATTACTCAGTCATGAGATGGCGTTCTTGGTGCCCGAAATGGATTCGGAAGATCCAAGGGAATATTTTAGGCGTCATAAAGATGATTTGTCTCACCACGCATCTACACACATAGGGGTTAAGAATAAACGTATACTAACAAATCAGCTACCATTGGAAGTGATACCAAATGCGTTTGCACTTCATGGACTCGCGCTCAACTGGTCGAGGAAAGACGATGTAGCGTCGATACCAGGTAATGAATTGTTTAAAGCGGATGAATACATTCGAAAAGGCATTGTGCCTCCGTCCCCTGCGTTTCTCGAGGTGCAACCGACAGATATCAGCCTCTGGACTACCCGATTATCAACCCTGACCCAAAAGCAATATCGATCCGAACATGTGGGCGGAGAAGTGGGAACCAAACTCGTTTTTGATACAGTTCCGATGTCACATGCGAGCGCTCCGTAGAGTAAGAACTTTATTGCAATCTCCCAGTTTCTCACGTGGGCGTTTCAGCACTGTTGTCCCAATGCCTCCATTTCTGAGGCGCGGGTTTACCTCAGTTTCTCGAATTTTCGCCCACCTTAGCTGATTTGTTTGTATTGTCATATATATTAGTACAGATTATAGACATCATGCATACGTTTGTATTTTTAGATGACTCTAATCATACGATTTCCATCTCCTAATGTATGGGCTGACTAGTTTTCTTTCGTTGTCGAAATTCACCGAAATTATTTTTATCTAAATTTCTTACCCTTTTTGATAGCATTTATGCACGCACACATTGATTTCAAGCTGACCCACACACTCCGCAACTAGCTCACATTTTCACCAATATGAAGTTACTTCTTAGGTTTTTTTTTTTTCAAGCTCTCTGAGATTATCTAGCCGCACTGCACTTTACCCCTCTAGGAAAATTCCACCCCACTACAAAGCGCGAACCACCAAAGCCACGGGCAAACCTCTCCGCTGTGGTCGAGCTACCAAACAAAGCGTAGATCCAAGTACCTAGGTATGAGAAATTGAATACTTCGGAAATATTACCTAGCTCTTCTATCCTTGTGAAACATTGAAATTCACCCGAGCTAATACTGAATCAAGGAAGAGAAATTCCAACGAGAGAAATCTATTATTTTGTTCCCTATGTCCAGGTTAACCCTGAACAAATTACCATTTAACTAGGGCAGAGAGGGCTTGATGAAACATACAGAACCTAATTCCCTTGCTCCGAATTTCGGGTCGGACCGAAGTCGCCCGTATCAGGGCTATCAGTTGCTCATGAACAAAATGGCTTGTGACAATCGGACCATCTCATTCTTATATGTTTGGAACAGAATGCAAAGCCTGAGATAAAGAAAATAAAAGAAAATAAAAAAAATATTACACCCCATAGAACCTGATGACTCACGGCGCCTCCTGTCATTCCTAAATCAAATCTTGAACTCCTTGCAAAATCATCTTCTCACCATCCTTCCGCCGAAAGCTGTCTTATCAATAACAGACCATGACAGTTGCAACCACAGAGCAGGCGCAGGTGACGCCTACGGCTCAGCCCGTAAAGCAGACGTGGAAGCAACCATCGCACCCAGACGCCATCACAGTCCGGTCTTCGCCTGCTCTCGCCTCGGGCTCAGAAGCCGCCGTTGAAGGTCCCTCCTTCAATCTCACTGCAGTGGCCAGCAAGAATATCCCAGCTAATACCCTCATCGCGAAGAACACGTCCACCACTCTCGCCTCAGAAAAGGACTACTCCACCGTTCAAATCTCAGCAACGCATCATATCAGACTGAACTCGGATCTACTATACTGCAACCATTCGTGTGACCCCAATGTCCGTTTCGTAACGTCAACGCTCGCTTCACCCAACGTCGGGCTGGAAGAACAGGTTTCCGGTGCAATTGAAGTTTGGAGCACGAGAGATATTCCGGCTGGAGAGGAGCTTCGATTCTTCTACCCAAGCACAGAATGGGAGATGGCACAGCCGTTTCGCTGCTCATGTGGCGCGGAGAAATGTCTGGGTTTGGTCGATGGTGCGAAAAAGGTTTCTACGGAGGTGCTGAGGAGGTACTGGCTCAGTGGACATATCGAGTCCTTACTGAACGAGAGGGATGGACTGAATTGATTTTTCTACCGAGCGACGTTCTACCCCTCTTTGGGCCATCTGGGAATGAAATATTTAGGTGCTTTGAATATGGACGGGGGAAACTTTCGCCGCTCACTTCTTTCTGGGTACATGAACAAGAGGGCCAGCGGGAAAATAGGGAAACAAGAGCGAAAATAATATATATACAACTGAGGCTGAAGCTATGGACAACTAAATATATTAGGAGGAGTGCGCGATATATACAACATACATAACTGAATAGAGGGCATTATGTACATACATGTACAGACTAGACATGACTATAGTGGTTTTAATACAAGGCATCTTCCACCACGCTTCCAACACCATTTCAATAGCTTGTGTACTCATTACTATGTTTCTCTACCATGGCAAAAGAAATCAGCATAATGCCTGTAAGGACACTGAAACTACGCAATGCAAGCGTCTCTCGCACTTGCACCAATGGAGCGTTGTTAAACGGACATTCGCAGTCTCATCCCCTCCTCATCTAGGATTGGGGCGTGGACAACTTCACCCGCTGAAGGAACAAGCCCTTGATACAATGTTTCTGCAGCCTCAGCTGGAGTCGAGTTAGCTTTCCGGTTCATCCCGGAACCAGGCTCAATACCGAAAGTCCAAATCAGTCGATGAGGGGCACCGAGATAAGAATCTCTGGGAGGAATAAAGAAGTACATATTCTGGGCATATGCGTGTTAAAGTTAGTGCGAGAGAAGCTCTTGTATTCCTTGGATTTGGTTGAAGATGCTCCGCGACGAAAGCAGAGCGGGAAACTGTTCCCTGGAACAAACTTTTTACACTTTTGTAATTGACTCCATAAATTACCAGACACTGATCAATATAGCTATCCTCCGTACTTGTACATGGTAATGTAAATCTTAGGGAATGGTTTCTAAAAACATTTCTGTAGCCAATGAACAAAGGCTGATCAAATTAGGGTTGCTGACTCAGCAGAAAAAAGGTGGCGGGAAACCCATGACATCATCGTCTCCCCTCATTATTTACGGTTGATTTATTGCTAACGAACTGATCTGACCAGCCATTGGAGTACAAAGGACGAGTAATATCCGATATCGACGCCCATAAACAGATATTCGTTCCCTATCCATTCCGAACAACAGCAAGAATAACAACCATGTCCCGTCCAATTCCCGTCACCATAATCACAGGATTTCTCGGCGCGGGCAAAACAACCATCCTGCTCAATCTCGTCAAGCAATTGCCCCCAGACTACCGGCTAGCACTCCTAAAAAATGAATTTGGAGACCTAGCCGTAGACTCACAGATAGCCGCCGCGAACTCCATCTCCGGTGTCCGCGAGCTCCTGAACGGATGCATCTGCTGCAACCTGGTGGGACAACTAGGCGACGCCCTCCTCCAACTCCGCGATGAAGTAAAGCCAGACCGCATCGTCATCGAGACAAGCGGGAGCGCATTCCCAGCCACGTTGGCGATGGAAGTGAACCGCGTCGCGCGCGAGAATAATGGCCAATTCGTCCTGGATGGGGTCATCAGCGTGATTGACGTGGAGAATTGGGAAGGGTATGAGGACACATCGTACACGGCGAAGTTACAGGCGAAGTACACGGATTTGATTATTTTCAATAAATGGGAGGACGTGCCGGAGGAGCGGTTTGATATGTGTTTGGACCGCGTGGCTGATCTGGAGCTTGATACTGCCTGGGTGAAATCGACGAAGGGTTTGGTGGACAAGGATGTCCTACTGGGGATTGACGGGGCGTTGCTGGCCAAGGAGATGTCGGATCGCGGACATGCATCGCTGGATTTGGTTTTGTTAAATGGAGGCGATAACACAGTGGCCAAGGATGCTTATGTGCAAGAGCATAACCATGGGCTTGGTGAGCCTGGGGAAAATGAGCACCAATCCGAAGTGGACGTGCTCTCCGTCTCGCTCACCAGCTCTCAGGAGTCTGATACGGTGAATCCGGAGGCATTGATCACCCTCCTCCTCTCTGCGCCCAAGGATGAGGTTTACAGGATAAAAGCCATCATTCAATTCCCGGCCGATTCGCCTCCGGAAGACTCGTCAGGTGAGAAGGCTCAAGTGCCTACATCACAACCAACGCAGGAGGGAGACGTGAATGTCAATGGAGCTGCCCCTTCTGGCAGCGGAGCAGGTGGCATCAAGACGCAGAATTATATTCTTAACTGGGCCTTCGGCCGATGGACATATACCCACTCCCCAGCCTCGATAGACAGCGCTTCTAAAAGCAGTGGTGACGGTGAAACAGCAGCAGCAGCGCCGCCCGAGCAGGCCATAATTGCGCGTATGACGCTTATCCTTGCCAGGGGTGAATCTCACAAGTGGTCGCGGAAGCTGGAGAGTGGCGGATTGCTGGAGGTCGCAGGCGACTCTGGAGAGGAGAAAAGAGGTGAGGTGAAGGTGGAGCGTCTTGCTTGATGTTTGGCGTATACGGGTTTATTGGGGAAAAGGGAGCGTGAAGAAGAGAAGATGATTGATGTAAATGCTGCGGTATACCATGCCAACCGCGCTATTTTGCTATATGGAATGTATATATTTGTGTTTATAGTATTTTCTTTTGTTGCAGGCAGGGTACCTGCATTTCACAACATCTGGATAGATAAAAAGGAGGGGAAAGAATGAATAGGAAGACATTGGAACTGGCAGAGAGATCAAGGATTTTGCTCTTTTACAAATATCATTCCTCTACACACGCACTATTTCAAAACATCTATGCATCATTAAAGCATAAGAGATTGAGTTGCATGCTTTTCCTTCAATTACTCAAAGGGACGCAACTCCCTTTTCCTTCCCCTCTCATTCCGCTCTTCCTCATGACCTGAGACGACAGATATCAGGGGTTTTCATGCTTGACAAGTAGTTATCCTATTTGGGACCGGGGATACAAACTTCTTTACGAGTATTCTGCAAAGTACCGTGAAGAAGTAGGACAAAGTAGTAGACAAAGAAATAGATAGGTCAGTAGAAAGAGGAGGACAATTGATTAGCTGCACATTGTCTTTCACCCCATGTTTATTCAGAGTGGACAAATGCAGGGAAATTGTTCGGAGAACAGGGTTGAAAGATGATGGCGATTGCACTTCTCATGATTTAGGGTCTGGTTCGCCTTCATTCACATCCTTCTCCCCGGAATAGGAGTGCATGTATCTACCTGCTTGAGGGGAATAAAGGAAGTGGGCTGTAGAAAAGTGTAGAAAGGGAATAGAGGAACAAGAGGAACTAGATAATATGCCAAACTTTTTTTCTCTCACTGTACGTGAAACTAACTCTGAATATAGATGATAGGTAAATGTATTAATTAAACCAAAACAAATCGTCCAGAGATCTAACCAAAAATTATCAAGTTAGAGAGGGAAGAATCCCGACAAAAACAAGACATTATATTATCAGAAAAAAATATTTTTTTTTGGTTTCTTTCCCTTTTCTTTCCTTTTTCTTTCTCTAAATGCAAGAATATAAATCAAGCAATCCCCGATATTACTTCCAGGCTGTGCCTAAGAAAAGAAAGCTCACATTCTCATGGCATAATATTAACGACAGTAGCCACCATCATACTTCTTTCCCACTTCGTTACTTGCATTTTCATTGGTTGAATTAAGCCGATAAACGATTCTCTCAAATATCGTTCGAGTATTCCAGTAACGCGGTAGCACTGGGCTCAGTGGAGATGTAAATGACTTCATGTTTATCGGTGAACCCATTGAAACGCGTTGCGCTGCACTTGGTATATGCACCCATGTTCTCGAAGTAGAGCCAATTGCCGACGTCGAGGGCTCCAGGGAGGGTGGTGCGTTCCGTGATCAAATCGATGCCGTCACAGGTCGGGCCCCAGATTGAATACTCGATTGGCGTGCAGACTGGGCTTCCCATTGTCAGAATCTGCGGCACCGGATGCTGGTGATCGAAGATGATGTTGGAGAAGTTGCCGTAGACACCATCATTCAGATAGATCATGTAGGCTTCGGTGGCACTATCCGTAGAGGCGGAGTCAGACATTTCCAGACTGACATCACGACGTGCAATTACGTTCGCAGCCAGTGTGAACGCTGACGCGACATAGTAGCGCCCAGGCTCAGCGATGACGCGGATATGGGGAGGAAAATGCTCATCAAGAGCGTCGCTGAGGGTAGCTGCAAAGCGTTCAAAGGTATCCTCAGAGAAGCCCCCACCGACATCAAGGACTTTGAGATCGAACCCAGCTTCAGCAGCCTGGTCAAATACGTAGCGGGAATCCTCCACGGCCTTGACGAATGACCTCGGGTCCTCAGCTCCCGACCCGACGTGGAAGCTGACACCAACGACATTGAGCTTGAGCTCCTTGGCCAACTCGAGCAGAGAGCGTGCAATGGAGAGGGAGGCTCCGAATTTCATGCTCAAGCGGCACAGGCTAGCAGAATCGTCCGTCAAGATGCGGAGATACAGTTCGGCATCAGGGCACATTTCCTTGATCTTGTACAATTCATCGGAATTGTCAAAGGTCATCTGCTTGACGCCCACCTGTGAGGCGTAGCGGAGATAGGACTTCGTCTTGCACGGCTGTGCATAAATGATACGGCTCGGGTCGACGCCAACACCAAGGGCCAAATCGATCTCCGCTTTGGACGCACAGTCGAAGCCATTGCCCAGTTTCGCCATGAGACGCAGGACTTGAGGGTCGGGGTTGCATTTGACAGCTGAAAATGGATTCGTCAGCATTCAATGGTTTTTCTTTTTTCTTTTTTCTTTTCTTTTCTTTTCTTTTTTTTTTTTTCGAAAATGGAGAAAAGTAAGAGCAGGTTCAAGACATACCGTAAAACGGCTTCACACGTCCCAGATTCTTCTTCCAACGGATATGCTGGCGATAAACCTGACCCAGATCTGCGACATAGAATGGGTCTTCCTCGCCGGGGTGGCAGTTGTGGATATCGATCTTCGCGACTTTCTCCTTTAAAATCTCAAAGATCAGGTCCTTGGAGGCTTCCCTAGCTTGAAACAAATCGAACCCGCCATGATTGTGAGAGGACTTGTAATTATTACTGTCGTCAGGATAATTTTGGTGCACATATATATCATGGGGTACGAAGGCAAAAGGTGCCATAACCATCCAAAAGGATAATGCCGGGTTGAGTTTTGGTAGGTTGTAAGTGTAAAGAACTTGTATATATATATGAGTTTTTTCTTTCGTTTAGGATAGATGGGTAGACCTTTTAACCCGGGCGTATGGATTCGTGTTAGGGTGGTCGGAACGTCTCAACACAACCGAAATTGACTGGACCTAGCCTCCTCGACTCTTCCTCCTGAAGAGGAAGAACCTGTAGAGAAGTCCTATGCGGCAGCTTAATGTTCTGGGGAACGAGGGGGTTGTGCGCTGAGGGATCAACGAGCACAAAAGACGGGTTGCGGAGAGCTACTTGAAGGACAGCCAAGCGCGTTAAGAGGATGGAAACGCTGGTGAAAAATGGAAGAGGGGAGAGGGGACGTAAAGAGGGATGTTTGGCTTCGGAAGCCGTTGTGGGCAAAGTGCCTTTGGGGGTGTTCGTCCCAAAGGCGCGGGTTCTGTTGTGGGAAAAGTTGGTGAGGCGAGGGCTCGATCGGGCTAGAATTGCAGGGAGTCCGTTAGAAATGACAGATTCTTCAAAAGAGGAGCGGGAGCAGAATGCAGTGAAACGGGGAAGAGATCAAGAGCATCAAGGACAGCACGCAGTCACACGGGTTTGTTTTACGAGTGGCACAGAACGGGCATCCATCGTGGACTGATGGAGGAGCGCTGAATTGGAGGGGACTCACATTTGAAGTGGACACTTGTCGTGCAGGAGGGACAGACAAGTGGACGATGGGCTCGACGAAGATATTAATAAAGAAGGTCGAGAGACAAGGGTTTGAAACAGCTGCTGTGAAGTGCTGAGCTAATGATTTCTGTCGAGTTGGTAGTGGTAGTGGTGGTGGTGATGGTTGTGGTGGTTGTTGTCGGAGTTGTGGAGGTTGAATGAAGAGAGAAAAAAAAAGAGGGCGGCGGGAGTGGGACAAAAAGTTTTTGTGGTGACGAGTTTTTGTGCGGGAGCGAATAGCGCCGACGAGGGTTGCAACCACCACCAGAGCTAGCTTTGCGGGCTCGCGTTCGACCACAGCCAGGGTAAACAGAGGCTAACTGCGCGTAGACGCAGAAAAATGGATACAGAATATAAAATATAAAAGAAAATCAGAAGCCAAAACAAGCCATATGTCCTATCCAGCCAGCCATCCCATTGGCACACTCCTGTCGGCGCAAACAATGGGCGGACATTGATGCCCTGTCGCCCTGTGCCTTGTCTGCTCTAGCTCAATGCATCCTAGATTCCTGGAAATTGAGATTCTCATCTTTCAGACGAGTAAATAACGAAGTTCTGCAATAATTTGTGTTCCTTTTTCCCGTTCCCGTTGCCCCTCCACAAGCTTCCTTTTTAATTTACGAGCTAGAACTCCCCAAGGGTACGAGCTAGAAATTTACATGGCGGAGAAGGATGGAAGACCATCATCGATGAATCATTTCACCCTCCCCTAACTTGGATCGCCTTGATTGTGGCTAAGAATTTTGGATCACATTGACGTGGCAGTGACTGGTCTCTGGTTAGTTACCGCACATTTGTCCTAGTAGTAATAATAATCCTGTGGTAGTAAATACAGTAGCAAGCTTCTGGCAATAGTAATAATAAAAGTGTTACGGAGGTATAGTACTCAATGCAAATTACAAATATCAAGGCAACGATAAGCCCATGCTGGAACCGCTAAATCTGACTGACCTGCATATGATATTCTCAACATTCCTCCCTCTTTTTCCCCCCTCTCCCCACCTTGAAGAGTCTATCAATAGGCGTAATGTAGCACTTGCAGCCGCTCTGCAGAAAGCCGAGAAGACGATCAACAGGAGCAAAGCTGCAGCCTGTATCACCAATGCTGAGATATATGCCGGGGCTTCTCCCATCCTATTCGTCTGCTCAGCTCCTGCTAAAAAATGGGCTCTCAAACTCAAATCCTTTGTGCCGTGGGGTGTGCAGATTTATCCGTGTTCTCCACAGGCAGCCACACTTTCAAAAAAAAAAAAAAAAAAAAAAAAAAAAAAAAAAAAAAAAAAAAAAAAAAAAGGAAAAGAAAAGAAAAGAAAAGTACTCTCCCCTTTGCCTCTTCAGAGTCCCCGTGGCCTCCGTTAATCCATTATTTATGTAAGCTACAAGAACGAGAACGGAGCGGTGAGCTGCACCAGCAGCCGATGTTCCATGTTCTGGCGGGGGTTCCTCGCAGACCTCCTTATCTCTAGCTGTGTGTTCTGGCCATCTCTCCCTGCAGTCGTCGTGGCCCCAGCTATCGCAATTCCAGCGGTCGATAAACAAACAAGGGATAGACCTCCACTGTATATATGAGGGATTTTTTTTGGTCTGTTAAAAGAATAGCCGGACAGGCTTAATCGTTATTATCATCGTATGCTGTAATCTCAAATTCGTGTCTTTTTTGTCCGCTGCAAAGCGAGAACACCACTCTCACATCATCAACTATCTGCCGGGGAATTTTTGCGAAACGCATATAGTTCGATATCGACTGACTCATTTTCTGAACCAAGGGTGGGCAGCGGGGCAACGGCACGGCTATCGATTTCAAATCCTGCGTTCTTTATAAAATCAAAGAACACTTCCTCACTATCGTGCCGCCTTTTTAAGGCCACCAGCACAATAGCACTAGGAGAAATTTGCACCAGCGCTGTAAGCATTTGAACCAGGGCTGGGAGGCTGTCTGCATTATAAGTGCAATCCGAAACAACAATCAGATCATAACCATGTTGAGCAATTTCTTCCGGCACAGCTTCATCCCAGTCAAGCACCTGGAATCGAGCACTGGACAATCTAGCAGGAGTGGCAAACTCCAAATTGCGGCTGATGATATCCCGCACCTCTTCAAGGTCGGTGAGCAGTACTGAGCACTGAGGAACTATCTGGGCTATTGCGATTCCGACAATCCCGCATCCCGTACCTAGCTCGATGACGCGAAGTGGTGCGCCCTTTCGCTCATAGAATAGTCTTTGCAGTGTGGGAATAGATCCTCCTAGGCGCATATATGCATTCTGAATTTCCATCACACATCCCAACGCAGCGTCCCTGTATTTTATGTCAATGTTAGACGGTTTTTGGATGGGTACAGATTAGGTGTATGGGTAAATATGTATGCACTGTACATATACACAGCGACCCAACGAAGCATAATATTTTTGCTAGTTGACTGATAGAGAAGAAACACTTTTTTTTAACTCACCATATATGCCGGGCAATACTATTGCCCGTCTCTTCCCACGCCCTCAACTGCGGTCCAATTTCCAGCTTAAAACATCTCTCAACTAATTTTTCCGCCTGCGGACCATAATTTCCCCCAAACTCAGCACTCCAGGCAGTAACAATGCTGGGAGCCTTGGAAGGTTCCAAACGGTCGACAAGACCAGCGTTGGCGTCCCTCACACTGAGTCTCGCAGCTTGATTCGTATCAGAGATCTGGCATGGCCCGAAAACGATCTTCAACTCTCGATTCCCCGCATTCCACGTGAATGTCTCGTCGAATGAAGTTGTTAGCTCGTTATCATTGTTGGTAAACTGCAAGATGGAAAGAAGCTCAGCGTCTTCTGCAAGGAATGTGTCCCCCAAGTCTGTCGTGATGGTGATCAATGCTTCCACAAAGCACTGTCTATGAGAAGACGCCACTATTCTGGGGGTCTTGAGAAATCGGATGTAATGGGGCATAATTCAGAGTGATGGTGGGGATATTAGTGTTTCTGGAGAACGGGTGCCAGAGAGAGAGATATATATATATGTAAGCTTCTTAAAGAGGTCATGCCATATGCTTCCGTTTTAGTTATAGGGAGTAAGTAATATAAGCCGTAGAATGGTATGGGATAGTTTGAGCGGAGGTTGACGCAGTCTCGCGTTCTAGCTGCACTGCTTCTTTTATGGCTGCCTTTCCCTCGCCGGCTTAAACAAAATGGAAAACGAATAAAGGAACCTTTCCAGCGCTGCGATTTCTTTCTTTCTGTCGGCTGCTTGTGGAGAATCTCAATACCAGCCTTGGAACAAACTGGCGCTCTTTGGTCGCTCAAGCAGCCAGCTCTCCTGCAAACAAGGCAAACTTCTGGGGGCGGTTCACATCCCATCCCTAACATCTCGTCGTCCCACCGACATATACAGAGTATCTTTCCCGCGATTCCTTAACACTTCTTTCTCATGCTGCCGCGCACTCCCTAGACAAATGATGAAACTGAAAACTACTATCAACCAAGGGATCATACTGGATACAAAATCCCGCAGAAAGAACCCCTGGTTACAGCCCTACCTTTCTAATTTGCTCAGCCGTCCTAGTATCCGCTCCATGGAACTGGACAGGCAGGATCCTGCCATTCGCGATTTGCTCGCTCAGCCTGCCGCATACAATTATGAAACCGTGCATTGTTCTCCAGCAGCATCCCTATAGAACCGTCCATCTTGGCGAGAATGCAGACTCAAGCCAGCCGCACGGATTTGGCGCATGCGCAAGGAGTCTTTACGTCAAGTTTCCGCTCTCCTGTGGCGTGATACGGATTAGGCTACACTTATCATCTATTTCAGTGGATGGCAAATTGTTCTCCTATTGGTGCATTTCCACTCCTAACATACCTGCAGCGCCACGGCTGCTGACTTGCTGGTTGCCTGGTTGCCTTATGGTCTATGGACAATATGTACAGTACATGTACATACATGTACGATTTTCATTCGCCCAACGCTTCAACCAAAGTGCAGGGCAACCACTGAATAGGAGGAGACTGTTAGTCGATGTTGGACAGCTCTTTGATATATCGCGCTCAGCTTTGCCTACGCGTTCGAAGTTCGTGGGGATCAACGTATTAGACAATACTGCTCCAGCTTCAATTCCGCTCGCTGTTTGTCAACTGGAGTGTAGCTCAATCGAGCACCTAATGCTTCACAAACACCGCTATATTGACGTACGGACAGACCCGAGCGGATTAATTCTGCTTGTCACATGGCGGGATTAAGGGTTAAATAAGCGACGGCCAAATGCGCTGTTTTGTCTTACCATAGAAAATTTTCAAAATCATACTTACTTAGTGCTCCAGTGCCTCCAATAGCTTGGAATTGGAAGCCCTACCGACGAGGGTATGAAGCGTATGCTGGAAGCTGAAGTTTATCTCGTTCAGTTTAGACTAGCCTCAGCGTTTAGCCGTAGAAGAAGTGAACATTCAGTTCAGTAGGAGGAGAAACGCGAAGACTTTGTTTGGCCAACTGGTTTTGGCCCAGTTAGGAATATTCAACCCCCACCGGTTCTTCCAAGGTTGCTTACCGTATGGGAAAGATGCGAGGAGGAGGAGGGGTCCCTAGTCTGTATATTTGGCCTGTCAATAGATCAGGCATAGTAATGCAATTCCAGATATTCTCTCCAGACACTAAGTAAACCGCCGCCTCAACCCCCTCGACTCCAGTTTGATATTGGCAATTAGCAATCCTCAAGGCCGAACTATAAATAAAAATTGATGAGCAAATCACGTGGTTTAGGTGAATACGCCTCCCGTTAAACCATTCCCAGAAAGGCTTAGCGTCACCCTGCTCCCCCCCATATGGCTTCGTCCATGACGCTCGAAGGCGGATGGTGGTTGATGAATGATCTTGACATCCAAACTCAATTTATCGTCGCCTGGCAGAGCATAAGATGCCACTGCCCGCCGTTTTACCCACCCTTACACTGCGATTTTAATATCGAACCGAATCCACACCCATTGACTGTCGCCCAATGCGCCCGCAACCCCTGTCATCCGTCTAATCATTAAGGACGTCACTTGGCGCACCATTCCAGACGCCGCAAACATGATGCGCCCAAGTGATCCACGATTCCGCCAGACCATTAACCAGATCTCCCATAACCTCGAGTCTGCCAATGAAACCGCTCAAGAAGGGATATATACCTTTTCGCACAACTATATCGGCCCGTGCTTCGCGGGCATAAAGAATGGCATCAAATCCTGTACCGCCCTTTGCTTCCCTAGTCGCGAGGACCAGTTACGTCGTCGCAGGCGCGGCAGGTCAGGTGTTCGAGCAGAGTTTGACTTCGATTTTTATGACGACTGGGACTACGATGAGGATGCAACGGGGGATGGGCTTTTAGGCTGGGGAACCGATGAGTTGGATAGATTACTAGCTGGAAGCGGCGCTGCGCGCAGCTCCGCCGAGCAGCCCCGAGGTCATCCCCGCATGAGCTATGGTGCTCGTGGTGGCCGTCGAAAAAGTGCTGCGCTGCCAAATGATGAGAGGCGTGACCCTACAGTTATCCCTAGTTCTTCATTCCTTGGATTTCTAGAGAGGTTCCCCTGGAGGATAGGTGCAAAGGGAATAAGATACAGACCGTCTGCGGCTGATTTGCAGGAAAATCCGGGAGGTGCACGACGGAATGTCATGGAAAGCGAACGTTTAATTGAGGGGAGTGACGAGAGCGACATGGATGGATCAAAAGATGATGAAGGCATGCGCGCGACCAAAACTAGATTACGGAGCGGTACGCAATCGTCACGAGAAACTAGCAATTCTCTAAGCTCCCGCGGCGATCTCCTACCGAGTGACGATGAAGAAGATGCAGTACCCCTTGACGACGAATTTACTATGACATTAGGCCGCAGGGACACAGGGGGATCAGGGATACACGACCCTTCACCCACAAGTAGATCTGCCTCCGGAACATCAATGAAAACTACAGAATCTTCCAAAGACTCGAAAACATCAGGCAAAGGGAAAGGAAAACGCAGGAGGAATTCAAGGAGAACTATCTCTTCCAAGTCCCAGAAGTCACCAGTATCTGACGGAGAAATGATAGAAACAGCGCAAATTCCCTCTATGCTAGACTTGAAGAGGGAGGAAGAGCAGGCTCGATATGAAGAAGAGATGGAGATTGAGCGGAAGCGCCAGGCTGCCCAAAGGCTCGCACGAGAACGCGGTTTGAGCGTAAATGAAGATAATCGAGAGGTAAATACTCCCTCTTCCCCACAATGTTATTCTTTTGTTTCATCATCACCTCGCTAACTACGGTACTACTAGCCTGAGAATGAAAATAACGACATCCCACAAGACCCGCAACATGAACAACAACAACAATCTGACGAACACACTCACGAAACCCCTTCTACCCCTGTTCAAGAACCTCGTACGCCCACTGAACAGGCAGTACAATCGCCTGACTTAGATAGCTCACCAAAGCCCTTAGATAATCGAGATACGCTCGACCAAGCGTCATAACGTTTAGACTGTTATGGCTAGCGATTATAATGCAAACGCCGCAAACCTCATTGACATAAAACCCACTCTGAGCGACTTACACTTTCATTGTCTTTCCAACCTTCTATTATAGATACCCCGTTTACCCTTCCTGTTCCCCGAGAGGGATCAACCTACTACAAACCCCCTCTCCACGACGGCTGTTCCCCTTTTACATACGATACCCGGCGTGGTATTAATAGGCGGGAACGAAAAAGGAAACCCCTTCTGTTTCTCCTTTCGACTTGGCAAGCTTTTATTTTTATTCTTTCTGGATCTTGGCTAAATAATTATTTCTTCCATTTCTTCCATTTTCATCTTTCTTTCCGCTTCTTGATGTATAGGTTTCGGTTCTTTCCACATTTTATCAAATTTCCTTTTTTTTTTCCTAGGATATATGACGAATGGAGTGATTGTAAGATGTTCTTTTCCGTATATATAGTATACTTTCTCTCTCTCTCTCTCTCTCTTTTTAATTTTTTTTAATTTTTTTCCTTGCTCTTTCTTTCTTCTTTTGTTTTAAACATGCCTTATTCAATTCACGCAGAGCCTTCACCGAGTAACATCTCTCCCACGCAATGATGGCTACAGCGACAATGAACATGGTGAATTAGCAGCTACACGCGCCATTCTTCTGCCGAGATACTGAGAGAATAATCTATAATAATAAGCATGTTTAGTTCTCCGAGCAGCTGGATATCTTCAAATACACACACAAGTGCCAGTTATTATGACCCTGCAATTCCCATTTCTACCTCACATCATCGCTCTGAACCCCTGATCAGCAGTGGTCTCTAAGCCCAGAAACGCGGCCACCTGGGCCATACGATCGACGCCCCAGAAGCACTCCGTCTCGCCACTGCTATTGGTACATTCGAACCAAGGGATGCCAAAGGCACCGGTTTCCACCGCCTTATCGCTATTGGCGATTAGCAGGTCTTTGATGGGTTGGGTGTTGGACTGTTGATTTAAAATGTTCGTCGCCATTAGTTAAGATGTCTCCTGTGTATTATGTATTATGTATGGGAAAAGGGGGAGATTCATCACGGCAGAATTTTTCCTTCCCCTCTTTCTTTTTTCGTTGACTTTGTGTATTGATTTCTTTTTTTTCTTTTCTTTTCTTTTCTTTTTTCTTCTTGGGTTTAACATACCTGTTCCAACGCATTTGCAGCCATCTCCTTGCCCACGGCTGCTTCCAGGATGGGGAGGAAGGTTTTCGGGGCGTTGAGCTGTGAGTTGCCTTCGACCCAGAGCTCCTTGTATAAAGCGTCGAAACAGGCGGGCAACTGTTCTGCGGGGATGGCGCAGAGGGCTCGTTGGACCTGGGTGTAGGGTTTTTGTGTGAGTTTCTGAGGTGGCTCTCTCCTTTTGCTTTTTGCACCCTTCTTTGCAAAAGAGTGGACTGCAAAAAAAAAAAAAAAAAAAAAAAAAAAAAAAAAAAGGTAATTGATAATAGCTTTGACATACACTCATCGTTAAAATGGGGAATCCTTTGGGCATGTCAGGGTACATGGGGACATTGAGGAACTTTGACCAGCGTAGGCGCTCGGTATTTGTCCATTTGTTCTTGTCTATCAGTTTTCGAGAGGTTAGATGAGTTCAAACATCATGAGACAAAGTGAAATGGTGGAAGGGGAGAAGGGACCATGGCACGTTGCGATATGACGAAAGCAAAACATACTCTTGACAAAGATGGGGGAGGTATTGTTGCATGCTTTCAAGATCCCACCGAGGAAGACGGGCGTATAGGTAATATGGCAGTTTGCGAAGACGGGGGAGTGCTAGGCAGGAGTTGCTATTATTAGTTCTGCGATGTTGAATCCCCCCCGCCCTTTTTTTTCTTTTTCTAGGGGGTAGGATATGGAATGGCCCCGTTGGAATAAAAATAGAAAGCATAATATATCCCGTTAGAAGAAATAAATCAACATTAAATCATCTGAAAGGGTATCACAGGGAAATATCCTGGAAACATTATTCCGCGAGGTATTGGAATTTAGTTTAGTCGGGGATGATGTGCGCTGCTGCTGTTGCGAAGAACAGAAGAGCAAGGTCCAGCCAGGCTTTTTTTTATAAAGATCGCAGGACGAATATTGCAAGTTAGTAAGAAACTGCTCGAGGATTATAACATACTCTTGTCACAAAATAGGCGATGTAGGCGAAGGGACTGACGACGTCCAGATACAGATTGATTTTCCGAGCTGCCATGCTAGCTAGTTACTATTGTGGAGGCCGGAGCTACTCTAGATGTGATGTGCAAGTATTCAGTGAGCAAAAATGCGCTTTCATCAAGCTTATTGTCGATGTTGTTCATGATACTGACCTCAGTATTTGTTTTCGAAGGGTCGGAAGGCTAGCCCAAGGCTTGAGGATAGACATGTATCTATCTCCCTTTAATCCTCGAAGGGGTATTTATTGTAGTAACTTATATTTCAACGGGGGCTCGCTCTAACCGGGCCCCCTCGATGATTAGTAACTAAACTAGTTAAGTTAATTTAGTTAAGTTACCAACCAACGCTCCTTGCAGCCGCTGGTTCAGACCTAGATTCCATTTGGTTCTGGTCCGGTTCCCAAAACATGAAAGAGATCATCATAGTCAACCTCTAGTTAGTTAACTAACTTAAATTATATTATATAAGTTACTCCGTAACTACTCCGTACATACATAATAATTAACTCGGGGATAGTTAGTTAACCTAACTAACTTATTAGTGCCTGGTTGGCTGACAAATGTATTTCTACGTTAACTAACTTACGCAGTAGTTAAACTTAGCCGTGGCTGAGCCGAGGTTCGTTGCTTGATTGTTTCACTACTCCGTACAAGATCGTATTCTTGTTGATTTCTCTTCTCAACCAACCCAAAGACATTTTTTCTCCTTCTCCCTCCTCCACATTTAACATTTATTGATTGGTGCCAAGTAGGAATACGGGAGCATTGACCGTGTTGCAGAAGAATGGTCGTTAACGATGGTGTTGTATTATTAGTTGTCACTCATAGATGACCCCTCTCCAACACAGGGAGCATCACTTTCGTCAGGGGAGCAAATCCCTCTGACGAACTCTACATCTTGGTAGTCTCCCTCATAGAAACTAAACTAACCAACTTATAGGGTATCAAGCTGAGCTCACTGATGCTTATGCAGCCGCAGACACGGCTCAATGCCACCGTTCACCATGCCACAAGTGCCCGCTGGAGCCGTCGAATGAACGCGGACAGTATTTTTGCTGTGCGAGTTGGTCTGACATTCAACATATATTCGTAGCTCAGCAGGGCTCAGTAGGGCTCAGCAGGGCTCAGCAGGGCCCTTCAGTACAAAAACAACGTTTTGGAACGGGGTTTTATCTCTAGGAGGTCGCGATTACTCTCGCCCGCCAGAAGGATATGGACTTGCGCTCCACCACCCACCACCCAGCGCCTGTGGGATTGTTATCTGCCGTGTTTGCATCTGCGATTTGAGATTGCTGAACACGGCCGTCTATCATATCTCGATCCGATGCCGATATTCATCACTGCATCATTGGATGGAAGCAGAAACGTCCATCTGGCATCTGGCATGTCTTTCCTTCCTTTGGAAACAAGAAATCTTCTGCCATTGCTGGGTGGCTTCCCCTGTTCTTCTCCTCCTATATTCCTTCCCTCCAGCTCTCTTCCAGAACTGGGGTTTTTATTTTTATTTTTATTTTTTATTTTTATTGTTTTATTGTTTTATTGTTTACTTGCCTTTTTATGTTTATTTTCTTCAGTGAAAGAAATTCTCTCTGTTTTGTTTCGTATACATTTTTGGCTTAGTTATATGAAATTTAATAGCGTTGCAGTCGGTTAGATACAGCCTCCGTTTAAAAGTTGGCAACATCAAATCATTCCATTCGCATCATCTATGGGTATGAAGAAATCCAATCCAGAAACGCCCATATCTGGGAAAGACACCTGTTCTCGGGGCGACATTGAACCTTTCGCAATTATTGAAGCTCCCGAATTTCCCCTTCATCTAAATAAACCACAAGATCCGTCTAGGTGGAAACCTTTGATAGAGGGTGCAGGCCTTAATATTACCCCTGAGCCGGCCATACTCGTGCCCGATCCATCTCCGACCAAGACGCTTCACGACAGTGACGGAGATACACCAACATCAGAGACCCTTGGAGGATCGCTTTCGCGGAGGAGGCGGCATGGGGAGTACCACCATCGTCCTCCAGTCTGGAACATACGTCCTCTAGACGAGGACATTTCTGTCTCCTCAAGCATCAAAGTCGAGCTCGATTCTGATATTCTTGATTCTCTGAACGGATTGAAGATGGACAGTACCTCGTTTCACTCACAAACATCATCCAGTAATACGTCGTATAACCTTATTCCGCAGCCAAACATTAGTCCTAACGCTATAATATCTGATTCTCTTCTCGAGGAGCAGCTAAATACGACGGCCTCCACCTGGTCGAGAGAGCCGTTCATAATTGCCATGGCCGGAACGGACGTCGAAGATAGTAATGGGTCAGATGGCGATCAGCGTAACCCAGCTATAGGATTTGCTGATTCTAGACCGGACGAGCCACCACCAGATTACAGCCGTCTCAGCCCCAGAAGTCGCATTACACCTTGGCCAGCCAGCTACTCAACTCAGTCAACCGATGAGGAGCCCCCTCATATGGACACATTTGCCTCTTCCGAGCCGGGAAGCGGAATTTTGCATGTTAGCGATTCAGTTGGCCCTTCGAGTACAAGTGGCGGTATCCACGCACGTTCCCACGAGAAAGAATCTAACGATCGGGGAGGAGAAAAGGAAAGTGGCCACTTTCATTTGTCAAAATGTCCTTCTCTGTCTCCAGTGATAGAACAACCCCAAGATGAGAACTCGCCGCCTAGAGAACTAGAAGGGGGTCTTGGACCTTATGAGCGTGAGACGGTTTGTTCAGTGACCCCTACTACGGTAGAGCAACCTCGAGATGTCCCCGCACCGCTTTACCAACCATATAGGAAGCATGGTCATTCCGAGCAAAACGAATCTGCTCCACCTGTCTGGGAAGCACAACCGAACGAAACCGGGAACCAACAACTTGGTCAACCTGAAGAGGAAAATGAGAGCTCTGAAAATATCGAGACCTCCTCAACACCAGCCAGAATCCAGCCATCCCAAGGTGCCAACTCCCCGGCCGGTACCCCCGAAACAGGCGTTGCAGGGCCATCTCAACTGCTTCCACCGTATCAACAACAGCGCATCGAGTACAAACATTTAAGCACTTTCAGAGATATTCGTTGTTTACAGCCAAATAGATTCATTGGATATCCGCTTCTACCCAAAAGGAAGTTCGGGTGGGCAATTGAAGCCGGCTCCAGGGTAATATGTGTTTGCGACACCGTTGCAGACTGGGAATATAATGATGTTTTTCCAATGAGGTTAGGTGATGCCTATATTGTTCTTAAAATGTATGGTGATTTCTGGGCTTCATGCTTGAAATTGACTCTCGATGATCAAACCTGGTCTGCGTACCCAATTTATGAGAGGCATAGAGATAGGACAAAGTCTACCTATATTTGTCCAGACAAAAATGTGCAATTTCTCCCGCTGTGCGCTCTTACACTCGATGCCAACTTTGGAGACTACCTTGCGCGTCATCCCAGAAACGGGGGTCCTTGTTATTCACCGGCAACCGGCCAAGAGGTTGTGCCCCCTGAGAGAACTTTTAGTCACCCTAGAAGCCTTAGGTATCAATCTGTGGTAGTACCCAAAAAGATACTTCGCCAAGCCAAGTATCCAAATATGCCACGAGATACTGCTGCTATCCGTGCACATGATTTCGTAGCCATGGATATCGGGCACGTTTGTGAATCAAAACCTTCCGATTTACTTAACGTCGATCCTGATTATACTCATATTACACCTGTTGACAATATTTTGAGGTTTAAGACCAGGATTGAGAAGAAAATATCACGTCTATCTCTCCGAGAAGCAAGCGCAAAAGTTCAAGAATCATCTGCGGCGATTGGTGGCCACTTAAGAAGAAAATTTCACTCCGATCCGGGTTCTTCTGGTATCCGGAGATTCTTTACAAACCGGGGGGCATCGAGCACGGATACGCCAACTGGGCCAAGCGAGAGTGATTCTCATCAGACTACAGAAGGTGTCGGGGATACTGCAGATCAAACTGAAGCTGTCGGAGGAAATCCTGACCAGGCCACGGAAGAGACCGCGGATTCTTTGCGAGCAACTGCTGAAGGAAATCCCAATGATGGCACCGAACGCACTCCTCAACCTACCACCACTAATCCTCAACAGAGAGACCAAATTACGACAACAGTAAATGAAGTTAAGAGATAATTTGGAACACAGAATATGAATAGTAAGGCCAAAGCCTCGAGAATTAAAGCGCCAACTTGGCGTCATTCATACAATAGCCCCTAGCCCGATTATTGTTCTTCCTCCTACAAATTGGCTCGATACCCTGTCAATATGGATAACCTGGATACATTTCATGTATGCTTTTTGGCTAGCGGGAGGTTGGTGATTTATATCTTATTGTTTTTGGACTGTAGTGGAATGCTTGCACTTATTCTTAGACGTTTCACCCCCTTAAATTTCTTTCAGTTACATATTTTTATATCAGACTTCTTGCTTTTAGGAACGACAACAGTCAATCAATCAATGTTCAAAGCATCTCTCAAGCATTACTCTACTTTCATCAGTAGGTTTTTAGGCATTTTGGCTCTTTTCTTTTGCGGCCTTATCGGTCTATTCGAATGAAATGGCGGGAAATGTCCTAGTTCACTTCAAGTGGCATCTAGTTATTGGAAAGTACGGAAAGGAAAGGCATTAAAGTAAAATATTCATGAACAAGCGTCTCATTGGTAGTCAACTAAAGTCGCGAAATCCCATCACGCGTAGGGAACAGTGCTTGCCCTTCGCGGTTAGGACATAGGTCAAGAAAATGCTACCCACATGCTGGGATGAAGCACATGGATGGGCTCAGTCAAGAGAAGAGATAAAAGGAATGAAAAATGAGAGCTATTGGCACCCAAGATATGGTTTCAAAAAAATCAAAACTCAGCCGGATGGAGCGTTCGCGGACACCTCCCCACATCTCCCTCGAACGATAATCCCCCCAGGAAAAACAGAATTCAAAGAAACGGCGATCGACGTAAGAGATATCATATGCCCATCAACCAGTTCCCGGTTCCCGGTCCCCGGTCCCCGATTCCCTGCGCTCTGCGTCGTCTACATGTTTCATAGATGGCTGTGAAGTCACTGCGGCGTGTCTTCTTCGGTAGCCTCGTCGTGAGAAGTTGTGGTGGTGGTGGCGGAGGTGGCAGAGGTGGTGGGAGTCACTACTGCACGCCCCGGACAGACCTGGACATTTGGAGGCGTGCCAGCTGACAAGTTTGGAGTGGCGTGGGTATAATATCTGGGGATCATTCCTCCACTAAGTCCCACGCGGGAACTACAGAATACAATACTGACCCCATCCAGAAGTCCTCTACGGGGCTGAGAACTTTGATCACTCGAGTTATCGTTCTTAGATTGGTCGCTCTGACTGGATGACTGGGCGTCGTTGACCAGATTACTTTCACCGGAGTGGTCGTTCCCGGCGGGGTTGTCGGTGTTTTCATCAGCGGGGGATTCGCTAACTACAGTATCGGGGATTTTTTGGCTCGACATGATTCAGAATGAGAAGGTAAATTAGACGGGCCTCGGAAATGTACGCGTGCAGCGTGCGTATGGTATATGTTGTATCGGGGAGGTGAAAGTACTTGTAGGAGAAAAGGATCCTTCGTGGAACTGAGGAACGATGTATCTGATGACGTGACTTTGATTGCTTGATGGAAGACGGATGACGTTCGAGTGACTGGCGATGGAGATAGAGAGAAGAGGAATCAAAGGCAGTGGAGGAAAGGCAGAGGGGCCTTATGTATGTCTTTTTCTCGCCATGCTCACCCTCCACGGTACATGCCAGAGAGGAAAAGGATGAATGGAGAAGCCCATGAGATGAAAATTGGATCCATCGTAGACTTCATGGAGAGTAGGAAGTGGCCACTAAGTTCGTAAGTGCATATTTCGAGAGAGGGTGAGGATGGGTTGGACCGGCAAGATAAGTAAGGAGAAATCCCGAAGTAAGGATGTTACACACAAGAGAGAGTACTCTGCTCGTCGAAGAGAAACGGTTACATTCCGAGTAGACACTGAAACTTCCGAAAGAAACCGTGAGTCCATCAGAATATGCAAGGTGAAAGAAAGAAACAGCTAACAACCCATGGAACCCTGGAATGAGTTGGCAAGTACAACAAAGATAGGAACATAACTTCATGCGTGGGGGGTATATTTTGAAGGAAAATACTACACCATAGGGGGAAAAAAAGGAAAGGAGGGAAGAAAAAATAGGAAGTGCAAGAAAAAAAAAAAAAAAAAAAAAGAAAATTAAAACTGAAGCATATGCGCGCAGCGGATTGGAGCGCTGAAAAATCTCAATAGAACAGGAATATAACACAACGGGCTATATCCGTTAAGGGTTAAGGGGTAGAACAGGTAACTTAACGGAAATCTAAAACTTCCCCCAGGAAATATGCACAGCCAGAAATATACAAATTCCCGAGATACGTGAAAAAAAATAAAAATAAAAAGAACGATGAAAATCCTAAATCCATAAAACCCATCTAATACCAGACACAGTTCCCCTCCACAAACCCCTAAAGATTTTGAAGACCATCACGACTAGCCACAACCACCACATAGCCCCGACAAGCACCCATTCTAACATGACAAACCCGACACGGCTTACCCATCGAAACCGGCGTCTTCGTTTCCTCAAGCCCTTGTCAAGGGAGTTGTTGAGCTGCTTCAATGCCAAAGTATTTGTCGTCGCGAGCTCGCTGGTCAGTTTGTCAGCTTCGACAGTGAGTGCGCGAATGCGCGGGCTAAGTGTCGATGTGACCAGAGAGTCCAAGTCATCTAATCGCGACTTTAGAGCCGGTGAAGTCGATGATGAAAATTTCGACATGGCATACTGAACTTGGCAGACTTCACGGTCGAACTTGCACATCAGGTGCCTGGCTGTGGTGGTCACTTCTTCAGACCGCGGGACGCGCGGCACATTGCCGTCCGCCTTGGGATCGGTTCTAACCACGAGGACAGGAGGAGAATCCCGTATCGTGTCGGTTTGACGGCATATTTCCAACGCCTTAATTCCCGACGAGAGCAAATGAGCTCTCACTCGCGAAATTTCACGTCTGTCAATGCGGTTAAGGCCATTGATACTAAGGGAGGACATGCTCCAATTTCTTGTGGACTCTGAAATTGTGGGACGGCGTTGGCCAGTGGGTGTGACGGTCAGATTTGTAAGACCTGTGACGGGAAGCCGATCTCGACTGACTTGGCGGTAGAGGTCGTCATTGTCATTCGATGCTACAGAGCCAACAAAGCTCCCCTTTCTCGAGGTATCACCGTCCGCATCAGAGCCGGGAATAAATGGTTTCAGCAGACTGTCACTCTGAGAGGTATTGGTTAATTCGCTCTCGAGCGGCTGTGATCTGATTTTAGATTGTGCGGGAGAGTCGAATTCGGATGGTGGCTGCGATTCGTTTTGGTCATCGTGTCTAGGTGGAGAGACGAAGACAGGCAGATTCGATGTGTGGTACTTGGGTAGATCCTTTTTGGAATTTTTCCTTGACAAACCGCTGGGACCGTCGGATAGGATCGGAAAACGAGGCAAGTATGGCTTCTGTTTGCGCCTTACCTCAGCGAAGTCGTCATCCGCATCTACATAGTCTGAAAGTACCTCGCTCGATGCCGTAGATGACTGTCTTGAGTGGCCAGATCCATCCTTTTTCCAAATGTAATCACCAACCTTGGAAACTTCATTCCCCACAAGCTCAGCCAGTCGTGCCGGTTTGAATATTCCGCGTAGTTTTGATTCTTGATGGCCTTGGTGCCTATGGCCTTTCGACGGGCTTTCAGGATGATAAATATCACTTGGTCTGGATTTGTCCTCGCTATATAAGGCCAGCTTAGAGTCGGAGTTAGAGACGGGGGCGTCAGAAACCGTCAATTGTTTGTGAGGAGTTAATTCAGGAGCACTATGATCTATAGGAACAACAACACCTAATCCACTACTATTTGATCTATCGTACGCTAGCGGTTTTCCTGGGTCAACCAGGCGTAATACCGGAGACTTTGTTGGCGACACAGGGCGACTTACAGGAGGCGACATGTTGAGGGTAATGTCCGGAATTTGGGGCCCGTTAAAAGAACCAAGGCTACCATCAATAGTCGCAACGGATGATTGTGGGATGTCCTCTTGTCTTCGTTCGCTCCTTGGTGATGGTGATCTGATACCTTTGCGAGGTGGCGAAATGTGCCGTCCATGTCCCGCATTGGTGTCCAAAAATGGTAGGACGGGGGGTTGTGCTTTACTGCCCGGGGCTGTGGCATGGTCCCCAAGTTGAACGTAAGTGGCGCCGTGAGCCAGAGTAGAAGAATGTGTAGGTTTTTGAGGGGTCTTATCCGACGAATGTGGGATCTTCTGTGGTGGAATGTTTAAGTTCTCATTTTCAACTGGCTTTCTGGAAAGGCGTGGAAATCGTCTTCTTCCCCTATGTCTTTCGTGTTCGTCACCGCTAGATTCGCTAGACGAATCTGATGAACGTGACAATGCCTTTCGCCATCTTGACTTGCTCGCCTCTCTCGAGGAAGGCTCGGCAGGGGAACGATGGACGGAACTCGTGATCCTGTGTCCGCGACGGCCGCGATCCGCGCCTGTATGAGCGCGAGAGGAAGCAGATTTGAAGCTAGGGAGACTTTCATGGGGCGAAAGTTTCTCAGCTGGTGGCATTTGTTGATCCTCTAATTTCCCCGTTGTCGGTGCAGGCTGCTCAATCGGTGGTTCCAAGTCCTGTAAAGAAACGCGCTTCAATGGCGTGTCTTGGTTGAATAGTCGCTTGCCGTCTCGGTCTTCAATTTTAAGCTTATTAGACCCCTCTTCAAGCCATGCGGCATCTGCCAAAAAGTCCGCTGGAGAAGTTATCCAGTCCACCCGTGGCCGGCGGGGCTTGCCGCTATCCCCACCACTAAGAACTCGGGTAGCACTGGGCGTTGGTGTAGCAGCTTGCGCCCGGGTATCTGGCCTCTCATCGGGGTCTAGCTTAGGAAGCAAAATGCAGTCTTCAGGCACGTGGTTCGGGGCCTCATCCGAGCTTGTAATTAAATCCACCCAACCTCGTACGGCCTCCACGTTTTCCCATCCGTCGGCCTCTGAGTCAATGGGGCATTTCTCGCGGAATCTTACTTTGCGATTACGGATGTATTGGAGAGGGTTATATACCCGGTTACGGGAGACTGATTTTCTAAACGATGCAGATGAATTCCCAGCGGAACCAGAGGGTTCGTTTTGACTGGGGAGAGGAGGAAGATGCGGAAGTAAACGAAGATATTCGGCAAAAAGTTCAAAATGCCTTCGAGTCTTCTCAGCCCTGGCGAGGGTAGCATTGGATATTTCATATGGCATGTACTCGTATTGTGTCGAGTCTATATCCGTCATGACGGAGCCCGGAAATCTTTCCATGGATTGAGAGTGTGGCTGGCGTGTAACCCCTGAAGGGCGTCGACCAACGCCAGGAGCGGCTGATATTTTGCTGGACATTCGTTGATCCTGTGGAGCATAATGTTGGCTATCCACCATATCTTGCTGGGGGAACCTATAACTGTCCCCCGTTAAGTCACCTCTCGACAGCACTCTCGCAGATCTCTGTGCCTTGCTCGAAACCACTCTCCCAGAGGCAATTCTCCTCCTCGAATCACTAAGGCTTAACGCTAGGTTCACTATCTGGGCCGGATCTGTATCAAACCCGATCGATTGCGGAGGACGCACGGATGGAGAGGCTGGGGAGGTACCGGGGGACATGGCTTGTGCGGCGCCATCACGGGAAGATTCTTCACGGGGAGAAACATTCGTCATCGAAGTCGCCAGCGGTGAACTACCCACGGATTGTCTATTGTGCTTGCGATCAATGGTCGCATGGCGTTTAGGAACCGCCAGGGCGAATTCATCACTGGTCCTTTTACCTTTCCTGTGGCTTGATGGACTAGTTTGCGGCAGAAAGCTGTTCCCGCTATAGCCAGGTTCTGATCTCCTTGCTAGAGTCAAAGGGGATTCCAAGAAAAATGTACTGGAAGTCCGATTGCTCCTATGCCTCCTCGATCCACGATGCCGCTCCCCATCCCTTGACCCGCTGTCCAGTGTGGTGCCTTCCAAATCACCACAGTCCAGATTGGAGTCCTTCATTCGAGAGTCGGAGGATTGCGGATCAGACTGCGGCATGGCTGATTTGCCCATATACATGGGCATTCGAAGGCATCGACGAGGTTAGGCTGCGTGGGAGAACGTCTCAATATAGGCTTGTTAACCATTGACCGCGTCGGGAGTATGATAGTGGCTTTAGGGTTCAAAATTCACATGGTATGGGGCCGGGTAGGGAGTTAGGGTGTAATTACTTGCTAAGCCAGGCTGAAGTGGACAGGCCAATGCTGAGTAAAATATAAATCATAGCTCGTAGAGGCGAGAAGCATGTAGTTAGATGTTGAGCTGTTATTGCGTGCTGCTTTGTCTCTTGATCTGAATGTCCGGTGACGTTGGTTGGGGAGAAGCTGCGATGCAAACAGTGCAATGTGGCGCAGCCGCTGAGTGGCTGCGCTAGCGACTTTTTAAGTTAGGTTAAGAAACATCCATGGTGGCGTGGGAAAGAAGCAGCAGAACAAACTACGCTGTAAACAGCGGAAACAGCATATCTAGCATTGATTCTAAGTAATGGTGAAATACTATATGTATACAAAAGCGGTAATTTGGTGGGAATACAAGAGGGAGATAAGTTGTCCCAGGTCAGGGGTGTATAATTTGATCTATTCAACTTGCAAGCACCGCAGGCGGGCTTCAGTTTCGATGACCTGTGAATTCAAAATAATAGTAGTTAGTAAAACTGGTGAGAAAATTTCCCCGGCTATTTTTTTTTTTTTTTTTTTTTTTTTTTTAAAAAAAAAAAAAAAAGATAAAACAATTTAAAAATATGAATACCAACGTACCTCAAGAGCCTGTTTAACTTCCAGAACCCGCCGGACATCCGCAAGCCAGTCCTTACTCAACAATTTCGCCCAGCCCTGCAGACTGTTCATTTCACGCGCAGCCTCGTCGAAATTACCCTCTTCGAGCAAGTTCTCAGTTCGTGTGAGTATGCTCTCTACATCATTACCGACAGGCGTCCCCTGCTTCTTGAGCATAACCTTGCTCAAAACCAAACTCGCAGCGTGGCTCGTGATACCGGCATTTTCAGGCAATAGGCTAGCCTTGCGGACTTCGCTAGCTACCCTTCGGAATCTATCAACAAGCTGAGCCGGCGATGGGATTCCGCGTTGGTAGGCTGTGGGGCTGATCGAGGCGATGGCAGCGGCCACAACTTCATCGTTGGACGCAAGCTCTTTGACGGCGGCCAATTCGCGAATAAAGGGGCGGGGTACCTCAGAGTTCTCAAGAGTTGTTCGCACGGAATCAACAGCAACCTGAAGCTGTTGGGTTCTCAAGTTAATGTCAATCACGTCGCTCCAGCCGGCAGTGAGTCGTTCCAGTTCCGCGACGTTGGCGGTCAGTTCAGCTAACTTGCTTAGGCGGCCCTCACGCTCATTCTCCACGAGAGTTTTGACATCAGCGAGGAATTTACGGTTTAACTCAATGGCCTGCTCAACAAGTTCATTGCGAAGGCGTTGCTCGGCAACTTCATGAGCACGCTGAAGCTCCGTAGTGACTTTTTCTTGGTAGGATTTGGAGATTTTCTCTCGTTCGGACTCAAACTCTTCGCGGAACTCAGCGGCATCCTGGGCACGGACTTCGTTAATGTGTCGAACGAGCTCTGCGGCAGACTTGTCTAAGGCAGCTTGCGCATTTCTAATTTCCTCCTTTGCTGATTCCTGAGCATCATTCTTAAGAGCGACGATGCGGTCTCCAATTTTTTCCAACTCTTCCTTCGCTTTGGCAATCGGGACGGAGAACTTAGAGGCAGATTCATCAGCGCTGATCACGGTAATTATGTCATTGAAGACTTTCACTAAGTCCTGTACGACTGGTTCATCCTCGTTATCCAGACCCAAGTGCTCGATAGCAGCAGCGGCCGGAACCACTGGTTGTCTTGGGGCTTCGAGACTTGTGTTCTCCTCCGCCTTCGCAGGATGGGGTTCGACAACCTTAGGAGATGATTTGGGTTCAGCCGCTTCCGCTTTCTTCGCCACTGGTTTGCTCTTTACATCCTCCTTGGCCTTCTCTGCAACCTTGGTTTCTTCTGTCAGCTCATTCGCATCCGTAGCACTTATATGCTGCCCTTGTTTAGTCACATCAGACGCTTCTTGTTGCTCTTCCGCAACCTTCCATGATAGTCCGCTTCTACCGGGTATCATCACCTGGGCACCTTCATCCCTTGGTGCTGAGACGCGCCGATTAATCTGTCTTGCGATACTTGGGAACCGACTCCGGAAATCGCGTTCTTCAAGATACAGAACTGCCTCCTCGCCATATGGAATATATTCGGTGAAGAAATCGTAGAAGTTATCCGACCTGAGAGAGTACCAGACACCTCCAGCATATGCGAGGCCGGTGGTGAGAAACAGATAGAGTAGTTTGCGTAGCAGTCCGGTTTTGGGGGCTGGCGGAGGCCGCGGTGGTGGGGGGGATGGCTCATGCTCTGGTGGTTGAACGGATGAGCCTGGCGAAGTCTGACCTTGAACGGCAGGAGATTGGGGCGGCTTGGAAACAGTTTCCGGATGGAGAGTTGATCCAGTTGATGGAGAGGCTGGTGATCGTACGTCCGGGTCATTCGGGCCTGGAGGCTTCGTGCTTGTCGAGTTTGTAGCTTTCTGAGATAACTCTGGGGTAGCGGCAGCATTGGGGGTTGATGAGCTTCGAACGCCAGCATTGGGTTTTCTAGCAACAGCATAATATCTCTGCGAGGTGCGTACGAGCACTATTAGCAACTATATTGACAACAGTGGTGCCGTAGGATGGTATATATTCTGGATGAATTTACTCTACTCGCGGCGGCATTTACTCGCCTGGCTCTCGAGGTGTGTAGCCATTGCACAGACGGATTGGGACAGATTGGGGAGGAGAGCACCTGACGGCTCGACGCAATTGAAGTGCGCAGCATGGCGTGCGACACTGTCGAAAAGCTGGTCGACTGGCGGGGACACGGGGGAGATTGAGTCAAGCACAAAAATACAGATCAAGTGCATTTATCATTTATTTTTGTGGGAGATTTGAGAAATTTAGCGTGGCTGACACCAGCCACAGATTGACGTCGGAAATCCAGAACACTCTCCAGCCACACTTTGATGCTGGAAAAGAGGATTCATATGTGCAACCAGATGATTTTCTTTCATGAACTCCGCATATTGTTACATGCAACCGCAAAAGGGGCGCGTTTCTATTCGCAACTGGCCGATCCAGCTGATAATAATGGCAGCAGCCCCCTACAAGCCCCTAAAATCGATATAATGACTCCAGAATTGTAAAAATGGAACCGTAGAGATTATCTAGCCAATGTTTAGGTTTCATTATCCAGCCCTAAGGAGGCTAGTAGTAGCAGCTCGTGTAGGCTACTGGGGCAAAAGAGCTCAATCACCACCAGCGCACTGCTGGTAGAAGGGCCGATCAACCGCGGGACCCCCAACAGCTCGTACATAGTTTTCTTTGATGACTAGACGGGGTTTATATGTGATATCTTCCTCAGCTTGAAAGTGGGCTTATATCATATTTTTCTATAGACTAATAGGGTTGTAAATTAAATAGAAAAGGTCACTAATTACTACGTACTACTACTTGCATATTTGACCGTAAAACTGTAGCACAAAAAAAAAAAAAAAAAAAAAAAAAAAAAACGAGAGTCAAAAGGCACGGAGAAGAGAAACGAAGGCAGGAACAATGACGGATGGGCGAGCCGTTACGAAAGCGATGGGCGATCCGTAGATGCAAACAGGAATATATGGAGGGTAGAATAATGGAGTAAATAAATGAATACTAAAGTAAAAAACGACGGCCAAGATAACACCGGGGAGCAGGGCAGCGCAAGAGGAAAACACAAGGGACAAAAAAAGAAAAATACGAGAAAGCATAAAAAAAGCGGGAGGGAAAGAATCCGCCGGACATGGATCTAATGAGATTGTAAGACGGAACCGTAAGGAGTCAATTCGGATGACATTATGGTTGGTTCTAGTGCTTGGAAGGAGATGATGGGTGGACGCAAGGGGTGGAAGATAGGGACATGAGTATGGGAAGGAAACATAGGGTAGCCCAAAATCTGCTATCGAGATAACCGCATATTGAAAAGCACATTCGACCCCTTTGATAGAACATGCCCGTATTATCAATATAGCCGTTTCTCTTAGTCGTTTTTCGTTGCGGTTTAGAGATATATCATTCCGAACAAAAGGAATACTGCTCACACGTGAGAGAGCCGAGTATCGAGGGGGAGCTTGAGTGGCAACTAGCAGACGGAGACACGGATACTCGTATAGAATGCCAGTGGAAGAATCGAAAAGCGGACATGAAAGACAACTTAAGGCAGTATCAACTTTAGCATGAACAGCCGTTTGCCTGTGGTCCAGCGGCCTCAGGGCGTAAATCAACCCCTGGACGGGGGTTAGACCGTAGATTCCGTGGGCCAGCCTGGTCCAATGGTAATTTCTTCGCAATGGCTGTGAATAGCTCTCGCACGTTCGTCGAAGATTTAGCTGAGGTCTCGAAGAAAAGTAGACCGGCTTCGCGCGCATAAGCTTCGGCATCTGCGGTCTGGATGGCACGCTTATCCGGACTATCCGTCACCAGATCTAGCTTATTACCGGCAAGGGCGATAACGATATTCTCGTTTGCCTGCCGCTGGAGTTCCTTTACCCATGATTTTGCCTTGTCGAGGGAAGACTGGCAGTGGAGAACGAAGACAGTCAGCCTTGTATGTATATTCAGGTTATGAATGGAGGGGGCGACATAGGTTGGAGACATACTGCTTGGGTGATATCATAGACAACAACGGCACAGTTTGCATTCCTATAATACATTGGCGCAAGCGACTTGTACCTTTCTTGGCCAGCAGTATCCCATATCTCGAACTTGACTGTCGTATTTTCATCTAGGGATATCGTCTGGGTGAGAAATGCGGCACCGATCGTCGATTCCCGATAGTCATCAAATTGGTCCTAGGCCACAACAATAACAGTCAGTACACCGTCCAGCTAAACACAGTAATATCTTCCTGGTTATATACGGGATAAAAAGGGTTCAGGCGTACTTTAACGAATCTAAGGACAAGAGAGCTCTAGTAGGCAACAACACAGTTAATATTAGCATGGTCCTCCACCCATCATACATAGAACGTCATGTGGTTTCAGTGCGAACCTTTCCAACAGCAGATTCTCCTATAAGAAGCGGCATGCATCAGCAAATGGTCTTTTTGCAACAGCGATAGGACATATTGGAGCAGAAGAAGAAACTAACCTAGTAGGACAAGCTTGAACTGGGCGAATCTGGCACCTGGGCGACCGCCGACAGCAGCTCTTGAAGCCATGACTGCGGGTATAGCGGAGACGAGGGAGAACAGCAACGACAGATAGAGACAGAAGGTTAATAGAGCGGAGAGAAGGATGTGCAGACAGAGAGATATTAATCGTGAACAGCAGCCGTAGTTGGTGGTGTATATTGGGTTCCAATGACCAAGGGATGGTGCGAGTAAATCGGTATATTTAGGTGATGATGCTCTGCTTGTTGCCGTTGGGGGATTTCGCTTTGCCCAGGATGACGAACCTGGCGGCGGAACCAACCACGGCCGCTTCCCAGCGCATCAGCCACACTCTCTCACTAAGCCGCATCGCCGGGACTTCGTCGACTTATCAGGACATCCAAGTTACTCAAGTTTACACCACACTACACTCCTCATGCTCCTCCGTTTTGCAGACTGTTACTACCAGAGTATATTAGACTAGAACATAGCAACCACTAGAGAAAGAAGAGGTTGTATTGATTGTGCATTGGCTTCATTATGCGCTGGCTCTGCTTGAAGATCTAATCACCCACATCGATCCCTTTTCTATAACAATAATACACTGGCATCGGACAACAATGTCCCCTACACTCCCATTCCGCGATATTAACCTGATGGTTTCGCCCTCTCACTATGCTTTCCGCTCAGCTTCTTCGTCCTCTGCGCCTACGCTGGTTGTTGAGCGTCCAACCGGGGATCTACGGCTGGAGAATGCCTCTGCTCATGGTGCAAAACGTGTCTCCAGCATTGCTGGAATCCTCGGCATGATCAAACTGAAACTAGGTGAGTTAAAAAGCACACAAAGTCACGGACTATTTAAAGTTGATGCTGCTGCTGCTGTTGTTGCTACTAACTTCCATTAGACAAGTACATTATCGTGATTTCGAAGACACGGCCGATGGGCAGGCTGCGAGGCCACATGGTTTATAAAGTCGTTGCAACTGAATTCCTTCCTCTGAGAGAACGACCCCTCCATGACCCGGATGAAGATGCGTACCTCAACTTGCTCAAAAAATTCCTACGGGCGGGCCCCATGTACTTCTCCTACTCCCTAGACATCACCAACAGTTTCCAGCGTCAGTCCCAAAGCGATCCGTCGGTTCCATTGTGGAAACGAGCAGATGATCGATTCTTCTGGAACAGGTTCATTCAAACAGATTTGATAGACTTTCGCTCGGGAGTGGGTGATGGAACCGGTGTGCGATATGGTCAACTATCGGACGTGGATCCGTTCATTCTACCCGTCATGTTCGGGATGATGAATATAACCACAACTAGAATCAAGTCTACGCCGTTCACCTTTGCGCTGATAACACGAAGGTCTAGGCATCGAGCTGGTACCCGGTACTTTTCCCGCGGAATCAATGAGCAGGGAAATGTTTCAAACTACAATGAAACCGAACAAGTGATTATCCTGAATGACTCCACCGGGGGGATGGCAGGATTCGGTGGTACTGGAATGGAAAATGGAAAGGCTGGCAGCCATGCTGGTAAAGACCTGCAGGTATTGTCGTTCGTGCAAACCAGAGGTAGCGTCCCGTTGTACTGGTCAGAGGTGAACAACTTACATTATACCCCGCGTCTCCAAGTACGTTCAGTGGACGCTGCGTTGAACGCTGCACGAAGACATTTCTCAGAACAAATACGTATCTATGGCGAGAACTACTTGGTCAACCTGGTGAACCAGAAAGGAAGAGAGGAGAGGGTCAAGAACGGCTATGAACAGATGATACGCACATTACTCACATCCTCCACCGAGAAAAGAGTCGCCGATGCATTTTCTTCTGAAAAACTGCACACTGTTGAGCCGACTCAGAAAGCTCAGGAAATGGATCGCCTTCACTATGTATACTTTGACTTTCACAACGAAACAAAGGGGCTAAAGTGGCACCGTGCTGAATTGTTGCTGGAAAGGCTTACTGACGGTTTACTAAAAGGCCAGTATTTCCGTGGAATCGAAGCGCCTGGAAATAGTACTGGTCCCTTGGAAATCCGAACGCTACAAACCAGCGTTGTACGCACAAATTGCATGGATTGCCTGGATCGAACGAATGTTGTCCAAAGCATGCTTGCTCGGTGGACTTTGACACGCCAGCTCGTTGACGCTGGGGTTCTCCAACCAGGAGAGTCAGCCAGTAATGACCCGGAGTTCGAATTCCTATTCCGCAATATATGGGCAGATAATGCAGACGTTGTCTCCAAGTCTTACTCGGGTACCGGAGCCCTGAAGACTGACTTCACTCGAACTGGCGAGCGGACAAAGGCGGGTATTCTCCAGGATGGCAGAAATTCAATCACTAGATACGTCCGGAACAACTTCCTGGATGGCCCAAAACAGGACGCCTTTGACCTTTTCCTTGGCACCTATTTACTGTCCGACTCTACTGCCGGAGATAGTCTTCTTTTGACAGATAGAAGACCTCTGGCTATTCAGTCAATCCCATATGTGCTCGGCGCGAGCATCTTCTTGATTCTTATTGCTCTATTCAGTCGCCGTCTCCCGGATTCAGCAGCCTGGCCGTTGAAGATATTCCTAATAGTTTGGCTAGGAGTTGCAGCATGGTGTATGCGATTCATATATGCCCACGGGATGCTTTATGTAAGTTGAGTTCTCACAAATTTCATGCTTTTTCTTCTCAGTAGTTTACATCACTGACGATATCTCCTCGCACGAAAGGTAAACTGGCCCAAGCTCAACACACCCGCGGCGGCGGTGGAGGGCTATCTAGATGCCCTGGGTCGCGCACGCAACGATAAAATCATTGGCCAATTCATTCCCGCCGGGAGACATCAGCGCGGATTCAGCAATGCACGCGTAGGGTACATGGAAGAGGGGAAGAAAAGAATCGAATAGAAAGCTATTATTCCCTTATCAGGTACACCTGACCCCTTTATATCAACATTTTTAATACATCATTACCCTCAACTTGTTTTGGTATCTTAAGACCTATATTTGTATACATATGTTTATATGTATTGTTCTCCCTTGTTGAACACTTTTGTTTCCCCCTTATTCTCCTTTAATCAATACCAGACACTGTTTCTTACTATACTATAAATACCGACTGCGAAAGAGTATTAAGTTAGTGTTTTATTTATATCTTTTAATCTGGAGAGGTGGATTACCATGTGTATTGGGTTAGTTTTACACTTTTCAGCTTATTCCTCCAATTTTACTTCTACTATTCTTTACAATATATACCTAGTCAATTGTTGGAAAGGGAGTATCATTGGTGTCGGCGTCCTAGATTCGGCTCTCCTGGCCATGCCAAGCCATCTGTACTACGTATACTTTTAATCTATCAACCGTCGCCCAGAAAACTTCATTCCAAAACCATTCACAATATAAGTATTGATCCAACCCCAATGCGTACGCCCCTCAGAGGGCGATTGAATCTCAGACCTCAAAGGTTTCAACTCCCGGCTCGGTTATTTACGAGGAGCTTTGTGAGAATGGCTCGCAACTATGAGGTTTGTCGCTCATCTTTTTTAGCACAGGCCCTTCGAATGACATGACTCAAAGCACAACAAACAAAGAACCAAAAGCAATGATAATAACATGAATCAATTTAGGACGCCATCGCGGCGCTTAATTCTCTTCAATCGAATTTCTCAATCGTCAATGCGATCCGGCAAGCGGGACGGAATATGAACCTCCGGGCCATACCTGAGATGATAGAGTGGTGTCAGAAGATAGGATATCAGGTGTGCGGCCGCCCTTCTCCGCTCTAATCGGTTCCATACATACATCCCCGTACTTTCAGCATGGCTACTGTTTGTGTTTAAGATAGATCCTGTCGTGGCACCCGTACCTCATTGAAGAAGCCTACAGTTACTAAATAATATCCCGTTTGTTGGAATCAAAATATAGCCGTCAGAACTCAACCGGTTGAATCTAATTCACGTCGCGGGAACGAAAGGAAAAGGATCAACGTGCGCATTCATCTCCTCGATTTTGAGCCAATACTTACGATCCGCATCCGAATCCCCATCCCCGGCAGATACCGAGCGGCCAAAGATCTCAAAGGTCGGCCTGTACACATCCCCGCACCTCCGCTTCGTCCGCGAGCGCATCCAAATCAACAACGAACCTCTCTCCGAACAGCAGTTTGCGAAATACTTTTTTGAGATCTGGGACAGGCTGGAGGTGGCTGCCAAAGCCAATGGTATGGATCCGGAAGATCCAGCATCAAAGCCTGTCTACTTCCGTTTCTTGACGCTCATGGCCTTTCACGCATACGTTTGCGAGGGGGTGGATGCCGCGATTATCGAATGTGGCATTGGTGGCGAGTACGACACCACGAATATTATCGATAAACCAGTTGTAACGGGAATAACGAGCTTGGGAATTGATCATCAGTCAATGTTGGGGAATACCATTGAGGAAATCGCGTGGCATAAGGCGGGGATCATGAAGAAGGGCGTCCAGTCGTTCACGGCTCCGCAGATCGAGCAGGCCATGGCCGTGCTGAAAAAACGCGCGGTGGAAAAGGGGGCAGAACTCCATGTCGCGACTAGCCATCCGGAGCTGACGCCCGACAATCCAACGGCTGTGCGGTTGGGTCTGTCAGGGGAATTTCAGTATACAAATGCAAACCTTGCCATTGCCGTCGCCGGGTCCTTTCTGAGATCCCAAGGTTTCGCAGATATCCCAGCCAATCTGAACAGTCTAACCCTACCTGACAAGTTTAAACGTGGCCTGGAAACAACCAAACTAGGAGGCCGCTGCGAAACGCGCCGAGAGAAGAATATTGCTTGGTATATCGACGGTGGCCACACACTAGAAAGTATAAGGGCAGCGGGGAAATGGTTCGCTTGCCAACAGCGTGCCGCTGCGGGATTACCAGCGCCATCATCTTCCTCAAAAGACTCAAATCCAAGCCCCCGCATCCTCATCTTTAATCAGCAAACCCGCGACAGCATCGGTCTCGCCCGTGCCCTCCACAGCACCCTCTCCTCTGCTAGCCTCACTTTCACCCACGCCATATTCTGCACAAACGTAACCTTGAAGCAAGCCGGCTACAGACCCGATCTCGTCAGCATCAACACAGATGCATCGGACGTCGAGGCGCTGAAAGTTCAGCGAGCGCTTGCGGGTACCTGGCAGGAGTTATCGCCGTCGACGGAGGTGCTTGCGAAAGCTACGATCGAAGAAGCTGTGGAGGTTGTTAGGGAGATTGCAAAAGCGAGGGAACAGGAGGATGAAGCAGGGGGTGAGGCTGCAGTATCTGCTCTTGTGACTGGGAGTTTACATCTTGTTGGTGGACTTTTGGAGGTTTTGGAGACGACGGCGGCTAGTTGAATTGGGACGACTAAAACTGTTAGGAAAATGAGAGTGGGTGCAATCGGAGGTGGTAGCAGATGGTGAAAATAATGATACTTCGAGTTACAGTTTCATTTTCTTGAACGTGTTATTCGGGGCGAGCTTATCGGACTCTCTTGGCCTCTGTCGGGCATACCTTACCTTTGGTCATTTGCTTTTTCGCGAAGCATTTTCAACAATCCCTCCCTTCTTTTTTGCTGCTTCGTTTCCTATGCGATACCTTCAACGGAGCCCCCCAGCGCTGTACAGGATGCAACTTTACTGCTTTCTGCAGAGATGACTTTTTGTAGCACTTCTACTCCACGTTGATGGTCTCGGGTCCTTTCAGCGGCATTCAAATTGTATATTATGAGAAAATTGGCCCCATCCCTGGATCATTGCCCCAGAAAGGGATATAGATGTTACATGTACAACATATCTACTATATCGTATGTGACGGACAATAGAAACTACCAGCCCCTATGGCAAATGTACTCCTATAAATTCCCCGTCCGGTTTGTGAATATCTGTATTTATCATTTTTCGCACATGTTTCTGCGCTAGGTCCTCGAATCCAGCAGGAATGCTGTTGAGCAAACGAACACATATAAGATCGAGTGGGCGATGAATCAAAACAAAGTTGGTTGCTGACAAAGCCCAGCGTGAACATTGGTTGGGACAAAGCTCCAACTTCCCCCAATAATACCCCTCACGTAAGCTTTCATTTGCGCTCCTGAACGGACCCAGCTTCAACAAATCCTTCCCTATGACGCCGTCGCTATTCCTACTCCTATAAACACTAGGCAAATACTCTTCGGCACCCTAGAGCCGACATCGATGCCTTTGTAATCTTCAGTCTAGGCCGAACACACCCCACAATCGCGTCGCCAAACCCGCTTTTCCAGCGGCATGTCGGAACAAGAAGAGAAGAACGCGGAGAGCATAGGTGACGCAGATGGCACATCACCTAATGAGACTCCGGTGAGCTCCGAAACAACGAATGAGTCTACAGGGAAGAAGGGGAAGGCGGCCAAGAAGTTGAAGGATGGAGACTCCGCTGCGACAAACCCTGCGGCAAAGCTCACGCCCACCATGGCAGAATCGCTACTCGAACTGAACCCGGCCCTACGGAGCGAACTTGCTGGAATGGATAAAGAAAAGGCAATGGAAGCTCTTCGCCAGATGAATATTTCGGATCTCCTCACGGGTCTGTCGGTCAACCCGAAGAATCAGAAGGATATGGCGTCGTTTAAATTCTGGCAAACACAGCCTGTTATCAGGTTTGATGACAGGGAGAGCAAGGAACCTGACGGGCCGATCAAAGCCATTCAACTTGACCAGGTTTCCCGGGAGACTATTCCTCTAGTTGAAGGGTTCGAGTGGGTTACGCTGGACATCGATGATGAGGCGGAGCTGAAGGAGCTTTATGAATTGCTGGCGAACCATTATGTTGAGGATGGTAGTGCTATGTTCAGGTTCAACTACTCGCCTGCCTTTTTGAACTGGTGCGTTGCTTTCCTGCCCCCCTTACTGCGTGGTATAAAGTATATTTTGATTACTAACTTTGGTTTGTTTTCAGGGCACTCAAAGCTCCAGGGTGGAAGAGAGAATGGCATGTCGGTGTCAGAGCTTCCAAGTCTCGAAAGCTCGTCGCATCCATATGTGGTATCCCTGCCGAAATTGCAGTGCGTGGGAAACCATTAAAGGTCACCGAAATCAACTTCCTCTGCGTACATAAGAAACTTCGCTCAAAGAGACTTACACCAGTCCTTATCAAGGAGATCACACGGCGTTGTTACTTACATGGTATTTATCAAGCCATATATACAGTTGGTATTATGTTGCCTACGCCAGTCAGCGCGTGTCGTTACTACCACCGTGCTTTGGATTGGCTAAAGCTGCACGAGGTTGGCTTCTCGCCCCTTCCGGCCGGCTCAACCAAGTCCCGACAAGTTACGAGGAACCATCTACCAGGCCACACGTCCACGCCTGGCCTACGCCCAATGCAAAGCAAGGATATCGACGCGGTTCAGAATCTAGTGAACCGATATCTCAAACGATTTGACCTTTCCCAAATTCTCAGCCGAAAGGAGGTGGATCATTTACTGCTACATAAGGAGAAACCGGGAGTGGAACAGGTTGTTTGGTCGTACGTTGTCGAGGAACCGGGAACGCACAAAATCACGGACTTTGCCTCTTTCTATTCCCTGGAATCCAGCGTCCTTCAAAACTCGAAGCATAAGAACGTTAGAGCCGCGTATCTCTATTACTATGCGACAGAAGCTGCATTTGCGGAAAAGGAGAAGGGGCTCAAAGAGAGGCTTCTGATGCTTATGAATGATGTGCTAATTCTCGCTAAGAAGGTTTGTTCACACCATCTGTGAGGCTTTTTTTGATTTCGCTCTCTGTGTGTTTTCGATGGAAATTCTAACCGTTATGCCAGGAACGTTTTGACGTTATGAACGCATTGACTCTGCACGATAACCCGCTATTCCTTGAACAGCTGAAGTTTGGGGCTGGGGATGGCCAGCTTCATTATTACCTATTTAATTACAGAACGGCACCCATCGCTGGAGGAGTGAACGAGAAGAACTTGCCTGATGAACGGAAACGGGGTGGGGTTGGGGTAATCCTCGTCTGAGCTGAAAGTGGCCGAAGGCCCAAGATTATTGAATATGGTCCATCGATTCAAAACGGCGATGTACCGTGAGGGTAGGTAAGGGCTGTTTTTCTGATCATCACATGAGAAATGAACGGATATTAAACATCAGTGGCCCATGGATATTATTGCATGGATCAGGGTTACTTACATACCTCTTTGGTTCGGGCACCAATTATTATTAGATGTGTAACACTATGAATGCCCAATATGCTCTCCATACCTTATATTATTCCCCTAAAACGAGGTGCCTAGCCAAAAATGTCAGATAATCTTCAGATCTTTAAAAATTCTTCCAACGCTCTCCTCCCAGTCCATTCCAGCACGATCTAGACTCCTGCCGTGTGCCTATAAATAGCCGGCCACGTTTATGCCAAGACTAGTTTACAGGCATCGACAATCCGCCGCCATCACGTGCACCTGACGTCGTTTCGCCCTAAGCCGCAACTTGGCAGTCGAAGCGTCTAGCCCATCGAACTTGAATTGTCAATGTCTCATCCCCTTTGACCCCGTCACTTGGACTCCATGATTCAGATATATAGCTCTTGATGACCATATGCCTGGTTCTGCTTGCATCTCAAGGTTAACGTCCCATATTTCCCGCCAACTTTAGCTGCACCGTCTACTAGCAATGTCCATGCCAAGCTTGTCGCGTTTTCTTTGATCTATGAATCGGGCTGCATGAACGCTCCTATATCTTATCGCCTTGCCCCCGCCTTAATATTACCCTCGCTTTCGTGCTACTTGCTGGTCAGAGAACGATATCTTCTTGTCCAATAAAGGCCTCTTGTATTTGCATGACCTGAAATTGAACATCATTCATTGCTCCTGCCACGAACAATGGGTGGTGCGCTCTCGACTGAGGCCCAGAGGGCTTCCTCAGGTTAGCTCCCTGCTCCCTCGTAGATTTGATCACTCTGTATTTCTAGTTCCCTTGTCGTGAATCTCTGACAGTATTACTTTTGCTGTTGGTGGGGTGGCCGTGTTTAACAACATATTAACGATTTGAACCTGGGCTTGACAGTGGAGGAGCTGAGCCAACGCCTGGCACACCGATTCGCAACCAAATGCTTCACCCCTCTTGAACTTACCCATTTGAAAGACAACTTCTTCTCTAGAGCTCTAGAGCAGCGCGGTATTCGCTATTGGAATGAAGAAATATTATCAGATTTCTTGGGTATCCCCGATGGTGCGGGTTCCGCAGCCACTGCAACGAGTGATGGATCACTCGATGCGGGGCCTGTCATCTTCCGCATGGTTTCATACCTGGGTGCATTTCCCTTCCAAAACACCATGGCACCCACCGTATTGACATTTGAGGCAATGATAAAAGTGGTTGTACTCTTAACTGAGAGATATGGGAAAGTCTTGAAACGAGGGAAGAAAGATCGGATTAAATTGCTTTTCGGCAGCCTCGCGGATGTTGGGCGAAGGGATATTATCACGCAGTTGAAAGAAGCTGCGGAAGACTCATTAGAATCGATTGGCGTCGCCGATCCCAACGGTGGAAGCACCTTCGCTCATAACGGGGGTTTCTTAATTGATCAGCCCATTAACGATGGGGAGGACGAGGACGATGACGATGACCTAGCCCTTGCAGCCTTGGAATCCCTCGATGCGATTGAAGTATTCAAGCAAGATCAACGCATTGATAAAACTGTCTTCGAGTCCAAAATATCTCTAACTACCTTTCGACGACTACTAACGTTGCTTATTGTCACAGCGCCGCTGCGACCGCTGGGAACAGTGTCCAAATACACAACAGGGTTGAGCAAGTCTTCGCTAGATACTGTGCATGAGCAGGTGGACAGCATTCTAGCGGCATTGGGCTCCGAAGTAGCAGAGGATGGAATCGGATATAAATCGTTCTCCGAGTTGATATCGACGTCTCTCCCGTACCTTTTTGACCCACTAACACCTCTATTTGAGCATCTACTTTTCAGCAAGAACCTCAACCTGTCACGGAAATCTGAAACTTCCAATGGTCAGGCAGATAAGCCAGCCCCAACACCTCCTTCAACGCCTCCCCGTTCTCCTCCTTTATCGCCAGTCATTTTAACTGGCGGCTTTGATTCCTGCATTCTAAATCCCGTCATACTGTCCCACCTATCGTTCTTCATTTCCACCAGCCCTCATATACCAAATATCTTCCGCAATCGTACTCACCTGCACCCAGTCTTCTCATCGACTGAACACGGTGAATCTTTAACCTCTTTCTCCCACCATGTCATGACATGGCAAGCCCCGACCATCCTCCTAATTAGAGGAGCAGTGACATCGGAAAACAACGAAGAACAAATAACCACGATCGGTGCATATATCCCACAACCCTGGAAACAATCTTCATCATATTCTTCCCGCCGGTCATCCGAAAGCGTCCATCCTTCCACACTCCCCTGCCTCTTCGAAATCTTCCCAGTTCACACAGTCCTCCAAGGCTCCCCATCCTTCTCATCACTAAAATCCAACATGCCGGTAAGCCACTTCTCCACCAAAACCGGCATAGCAATCGGCTGCATAATCCCACCATCATCCCGAAAATCCCTTGGAAGCGATCTCCATCCCAAGCCTGCCGGTGGCGGCAGCCTCCTCATTGACTCCGCCCTTGAAAACGCCACCTTCGTAGTGTCCGACGGCCTCAACGGCGAAGGCGTGTTTCTACCCCCCGGCGTCTCCCCCAGCGGCACCACCACCACTGGTACTACCTCTACCAAAACCCCATCTTCCACATCCCCAACCGCGTCAGCAGCATCCGTATCCACCTCCAATCACAACACCACAAAGTCCATATCCATCTATAACCTTGAAGTATGGGGCATTATCCCGTCTCAATCGCTAGCCACCCAATCCGATGGGACAGGATCCCCCATCGAGAAACAGGACGCGATTGCCTTGCAGCGTGCACAATGGAATTTCGAAGCGCGCGAGGCGGAGCGCCGGCAGGCGATTAATATGAAAGTGGGCGGTGGGGAGTCGGAGGCACAGACTGGGAGAGCGCTTCTGGAGATGGCTGGGATTATTGGCGACTCACAGTATTCGGCACATCCTCATCATTGAATAATTGAGTCAGGAAGGTGTTTGGGGCGGGATGGATGTGTCTGGTTGGCTTAGGGCCATAATGATATTAGCAAATTGTATTCTTTATTACGGTTGACAACCCAATTTTTATGTTGTATATGAGATGATTGTATATGCGAGTCAACCTCTCTATTTTCTTTCTACTCCGGATGGCCGTATTCCCTCCTCTCTCTGCATCACGGATGAAAATTCTTTCCTTTCCCCCCTTTCCTTTCCTTCCTTCTCTTTTAATCTCGTTACTCTTTTCTTCCTGCCTTTTTTTTTTTGTTGTTGTTTTCTGTACTATTTTCTATGTCTTGGCGAAAAGGAATAAGGGATAATTTGTGTTCTGAGGAGTCTTTAACGTTATAGTGGCGCTTTCAAGTAAGCTCTTTCCGTCAGGTTTACAATTATTCAACGCACACTTACATGCCAATGACCAATTGCCGCTGGCGCAAAAATAATCGCTTTTTTGGTTTTTTTCTTGAAAAAAAAAAAAAAAAAAAAAAAAAAAAAAAAAGAAAAACACTCAAATTCTGCTCCGAACATTATCTCAACCTGAGCCATTATAAACAAAAATTAAAACGAGACGTGCATGAGGAATGATGTGGAAGTGGAATAAGCAAGTTACTGTACAGAAATGAAACCCCGGTATTAAATCGTATATCTAGATTTCAATAGCCCATTCAGAAAAGGGGCATCCGGGTTGGACTGCGAAGAAACAGCCATCCCAGGCCTCATCGATGAAAATCGCATCTAAAAAATCCTTCGTCGAAGCGGCACAATACCACTAGGCACATCGTAAAACTCCTTCAACTCCTCCTCAAACTGCACGTCCTCAACACTGCCCACATCGTCAAGCAGAACTCCACGATTACCAGAACCACCCCCAGTCTCTTGCGTTACAACCACGCCATTTTCTGCCCCGCTATCCACACCCTTCTCCCCACCCCCTTTGCTTTTACTCCTAGCACTGCGCGCTTGCTGCTGCTGCTGTGGTTGTGACGGCTGTTCGCCCACTGTCTGCCCTGCTTCATCGCCAGTACCATTCTGAGGAAACCCCTCATGTGGTAAGCGGAGAGCGAGGTATTCGATATCAGCACGCTCCATGCGGTCCATGATATCATTCATGTATTGGCGGACTTCGGCGGGCGGGTTGACGACGCGAGCTAAGGGCTCGAGGGTGCGTGGGTTGTTGGCGTGAATGCGCATGGTTACTGGTTGGTAATATTCTTTTATTTTTGGCTTGTGTGGAGAAGGTTTTGTTTCTGTTGTCGTCGCTGTTGATGGTTGTGTTTCTGGTCCAGTGGTGGCCGAAGTGGGCTTATCAGACTGGGGAGGGTTGGTGGCTGGTTCCGGGGTGCCTTGATTGGGTGCAGGGGTAGGGTTCTGGTTTGACGTATCTATAGGTGTTGGAGTCCCAGTTGCGGAGGTGACTTTGGATTTTTTCGACTTTGCCTTACCACTCGTTTTACCAGCAAGCGAGTCTGGTTGCGGAGCCGAGGGATCGATTTTCTTTATAACTAGAAATGATGCAATGACGGTTGTGCCACCAGGGAAGTAATCGAGGATGGTATTCTTTGGGAAAAGATATCTATCTCCAGTGGATGCGTGACCAGAACTGCTACCAGCAGGAGAGGTTGTCAGAAATTCAAATACAACGGCCTTTGGTTCTGGTTTCGGGGGCGCAACTGGAGGCTGAGATGGTGTATGTTGGTGGAAGTAGGTATTATGCGGTGAAGGTTGCTGAATGGCTTTAGACCTTATTGGCTGTGGAGGGAGTTGATTTGGGTACGTAGAGTGCGCGGAGGGAGACGCGCGAGCATGTGTTGACTGACTAGAAATGTTGGGGCCGTTTGGATGAAACGGATGAGAGGGGTGTGATTGCGTGGGTGCTGCTGGCGTAGAGGTTGGCGTTGATGAGGGAGGTTGGGGCGGTCCCGGTGTAAAAGGTCGCCCTTGTTGATCGGGCTTGAGATGTGGCGGGATATTTTGACTCTCATTTTGCCTTCTACTCGCGAGAATAGCATTGAGCTCGTCGATGTGAGCTTGGAACGTCCGCAATTGTGCCTGGTTCGCCTTGCTTGACGCTACAATCCGCATTAATGCCTTCAGCTCCGGGTTCGAGGCAGCTCGCGTGGCCAACATCTGGATAACTGGATCCGGACTTGTTTTCACAGGTTGAGAGGATTCTGGTGGGGGTTTGGAAGGAGGATGTTGCATAAGCTCGTTTTTCGTAGGGTAATTTTGAGGATGATGCGTTGGAGTTTGGCTTTGAGGAATGCGGTTTTGCGGAGATGGAGCCGGTCCTTCAGGTCGTGACTGCCGGACCGGTTGCGCGACAGGGGGGGCCGGATTACTATGAAGAGATGGTTCAAAACGGTTCTGTGGAGGGGGCTGCTGGTCTGGCGGAGGGGTAGCAGTGGGGGGAGCATGGGGACTAGGGGAGTAGGGCTGGCGTGGGTGGCCCGGAGGTGGTTGATACTGGTGGAAATTATTTGGAGGTGCGTATTGCACGATTGGTCGCTGCGGAGGTGCATATTGGATTGGTTGTTGGGCTTGCGGGTTTCGCACGGTAAATAACATAGCTTCAAAGTGATGAGGTTCAATTATGATACTGCAAGGTCCCAGTTTACTCATGGATTCCCGTGGCGGGTTCTGCGGTGGTTGGGGTTGCGATTTCTTCTTGGAAGGTTTAGTCCAGTATTTCTCAAATACGCAGTCATTGAGCCACTTTATCCTTGACCGCTGGAGTGCAGCAGCCAATACAGCACTGAAGAGGAGACAATAATCAGTAAAGAGATATTCCCCTTATACAAAGCAAGGTTCAACATGAAGCCTAAACCATAAGCACGTACCTCTCCGCGTAGGACTGATATTCCTGTAGTGACAGCGTGCTTGGTTGCGGTTTGGTAAGAGTAGGCAACGGGTCTCCATCTTTAATATGTGTGGGAAGTATTTTCTTTTCAGGCTCCGGCGACGGAGGGATAGTAGGCGTAGCAGATGCTTTCCTCTTCGCTGGTGTGGTGTCCCGTTTCAGCGTTGATTCTGAGAGCTTTCTCTTTGCCGCGGACTCCCCGCCGCGAGGAGGAGCTTTCCGTTTCTCCCCCATGGCAATTGTGAGAGAGAGGTCTATTTCGGCGGTTGGAATGCGCAAGACTTCATTTCCAACTTGTAGTCGTACGAGATAAGAGGCTGAGGTCCTAGGTGATGTCACGGAGGTTAGGAAGAGGAGTTGTCGCAAAAACTACCTAGGTATACCGTATCATGGGGAATTGCCTTCCATGGTTTAGTGCTATCCTGATTGGGTTTAGCACAACATCACCGCTTTCTGGACTATATAAATCCCTCCCCCCGCCGCTTGAACATCCTCTCTCTATCATCCCTATTTTTCCTTTCTTTTCTCATAATTCTCTTGTCTTGTGTGTGCTGTGCCCATCCCCTCTTTCCCCTTGGGCCCCACTGCTAGTGTCACCTGGCCCAGCTGTGCCACAGCTGAAACTGTTCTTGACATGATGATCATGTCCACTTTTTCTTCTTCTCAGATGCAATTTCACCTCACTCTACTGTCAAGTTACTCTAAAACCATGCACAGACTGAGGCCTGCTACTGGGATATCTAGTCTGCCCGGGACTGTGGCTGGCTGAGGTTTCCTGTTCACTTTGTGATCTCATTTTTTATTGTGTACATGACAAGCGTATTGCTCTACATTCTATATTTGATGTTTTGGGGTTCTGCACACCTATTCTATCAATGCTGCCAATCCCATCCTGTCTGTGCCTTGGTGCTTGTTGTTCTTAATCTCTCCCTTTCGCAATTGGTCAGCAAACCCGATGTTTCTCACCTGTGGTGCATGCCGGTGATGGGCGGCCTTCACTCATTGAGATGGTATGTCAATGGAAAAAAAAAAAAAAAAAAAGGCCTTCACATGGAAGAAACAGTATCTGCCTTGCTGCGCTGTGGAACCATTATGCATCAGGCCCTGACCAGAGTACAAGGTCTGAAAGGTCTGATTGATTGCAAGGGTGACATGTCCAGATGAAAAAAAAATCTCCCTGACAATTCAAGCCTCGCAGCATGGCTGATGTGTGACATGGACATGATTCAATCTGCTCCAGTGCAGGTGAATTCTCAGTCACACTATATTCTCTCTTGACTAGTAGCAAGGTACTGAGTTGACAAAGATGAATGTTCACTGAAAAAGGGACTTCAGTCTCAGCCTCCTGAGGGCTCAAATTGACCAGAAGAGAAAGAGGTGATGTGACAGTGTGATGCAATGTCTGAGTTTTCTCATTTTCACAATCCACACTTCAATGAATTAACAGACTAATTCACTATTGAAAATTCATGTTCATGCTATAAGACTGTGCATTGGAGCAGCTATGATCACATGACAATCATCTAGCACCCTTTCAGTCAGTGTTACAGTTTAGGAAATAAAAAGTGAGAAGGGTTACAATCTTCCCTTGCTTTCTGTGTGGACGGTGGCTGGTGTTGCAAGTTGATAGGTGACACTCATCTTCCTGTCTTGTTTTACCCAGGATTTGGCCGACCTCCCCTCCGTGGCGCCGTGACAGACCCTACAAGAACAACCCAGGGTACTGTAACAAAGCCAGCTAATCGGAGGGTTCCTTCGCGCATCACGTTATGGGACACCTTCATTGACGAGCAGATGATGGTGTGGGAGAGACTCTATGGTAATCCGTCATTTTTGACTGAAAAACTGTTTCCGTCGAAACATCAGCTTGAGTATGTCCGCCAGCTCATCACCCCGAATGTTATCGGTCAGGACTCCGATGATGTTGAATTCTGCTGTAGAAGGCTCGTTGTTGTTGTCACAACTCAGCTCTGCTCTTACATGGTTCACAAAGGCGTGTGTTACAGCTACATATGCACTGGAGAAGCCTTTATCTTCATTCACATCCTGGATGATTCATCTTCAGTTCAATGTGCGCTTTGCAGACCAGAACTGAATGTCAAGGTGACTGGTGAGAATGAGCTACAGTTGACAGCTGCCACACAGGTTCTGGTGTTCACAATCCAAGCATTGATCTCGCCAGCAGTACCCCAGGAGTGGCATGATGCTGCTGCAAGGTTTGATGTTTGGCCAGTGAAGTATTCTGAAATACTAGAGCAGACTCCACCCGCTGCTCACTCAAAACATGCATCCCCCCTGTACTGTGGCAGACAACTCTGTAACCTTCCTCCCTTCGGGATGATGCTGTGATCCAGATGCCGGCCCTCTGAAGACAAACACCGATTGCTGAGCTCTCACTCACTGTCTCCTCCCTCATCTCCTCCTCTTACCCCGTCACAATCTGGCATTCATGCTTGAACATGAAGGAGAGGGTCCGGTTCAGCTGCAAAGTCGCGAGGCGCGCCGGGATGCGGGGAAGTCAGTGGCACCTGGCGGACGCCCAATGCCATTAAAACACCGGCCATCAAAGCCCACCTGTACTGCTCCCAGCAATGTCTCCTTGCGCTTAAGGGATGGTAGCCCTCTTGATTCATTGTGCCCCAATTACCAGGATCACCAGAAGTCCCGGATCCAGATACATGGCTTCTGTGCTCGTATCCGGAAGCAGCTTGCCATGGATCGTGGCCCGGACGCCGACTGCCGTCCTCAAGGCAGGTAGCTGTGGTGCACTGTTCAAAGTCCGGCTCTCATCGCATGGATACACTGTAGTCGCCAAGGGTGTGGAATACAAGCATGTGCATAAGCTCGAACATGAAAAGCGAACGTGAGTTTCCCTGATACCTGTGGGCTGCAGAGGGCATATATTAATGGATACAGGAGGCCTCGACTGCGTTGGCAGCGGCAAGGAGAATGTTGAACCATAGCCGCCACGGTCCATTTCCGGTGCACTGCCAAATAACATCTCCGAGGATGGACCCTCGAAGGAAACCCATGCGAGAGTCGGCGACTCTTTCGCACCCCACCTTGAGCCAGACACAAGCGGCCCCCATATCCTGCTACATCGTGAGGCTATGGAAGGGCATCTTGAATTTCTCCTGTGGGCACCCATATGGCAGTCGGAGGATGACATTGCGAAGGTCCATCCGGATCAGCTCAAGTGATACAAGGAGAGGTTGGATGTCGGCCCTGCAAGAAGGGCCTCTCAGGCGAGAAAGCGAGCACGGTCCCCTTTTTCAGAGCCTAGGAGATCATCACATCAGAAAAAGCCGCGGAAGTGCTAAATATAGGTTCAGTCAAATGAGAGTCAGCAAATTACTTTTGTTTAATTGTTGTCTTGTCTTGTATGCTTGTCTTGCCGGTATATCTGGCTAACTTGAGGTTAGAGGATCTGGAATGTGAGGCCATGTATTTATCCAGATTGTATTGTCAAGTGATTAGAATCTGCCCAGCCAACACTGAACACTATGTATATGATAGTCATTTTGGATTACATCAAGTACAAAAATTCTAGCAGAGCACTGGTGACCCGATTCGGTCACTAGTCAAATGTTAAACCCCTTTCCGGACTATCCCACACCAGTACATCTGCAACTGAAGCAGTCCAAATACAACAATCCTCCAGAGACAAGATCACATACCGGAGGGCGGGATTTCGGCGCGTCGACGCGTTGTTGATGGAAGATATTGTGTTCTTGACGATAGGTTCTATGCTGTTGATGGTGTTTGGTTGCCTCCTCATGGTCACCATGACAGTTGATCTATCGCGCTTGTGTTCTGCTCAAATAGGGTTTGCGCAGGCCTGGGATATATGGAGTGACAAGCAAATGCCACCTCATTCCTGGTGTTACCGGCGAAGACGGGTTAAAGGTGAAAGAATAATGTAAGATTTTAGATAAAGTTATTCGAGATATCAATGCTGCTAAGACGAAGTGCGGTAAAGAACAAAAGAATTCCAAGGGCTGGAAAAGTGAGCGGTTATCAGTGCGAAGAGAGTTCTATCGCCTGTAGGGGATAAAAGGGGAAGTTGGGAGGGAGGAAAAGAGAGGTCAAAGGGGTGTTCATAACATTCATCAAGTGAAGATATGTGCCGCTTGTGTTGCCTTCTTGTCAAGTTTGACCTTCTAAAATTGGATTCGCCAAGCTTACAGCAAAGAAAGGAAATTTGATCCACTTCTCATGGTGCATTGTGGGCGCATCGTGGCCCTTGTAATTTGATGGTGGTGTCAAACCTATGCGCAGTAGTCTTCACACTTCTACAATGAGGAATAGAATATATACATAGCAAGTGAGGAAAGATGCCTCATATCATTTGTACAGAAGAGCAACAATGGAGTATCATTAGCCATTTATCAAATACAAAGATGAGATGAAACAAGTATAATCAATACAGGAACATGCTGCTGCTAGAATGTAAACCACATCTTTGATGACGCCCTGTAGGCTCCCGATCTCTATATGTATATGTGAAAATGTCTGGCTGAGGGTTGGAATTGCTATCTCCCTTGCTCAAATTCAAGCCTCCTTTCGGCATCTTGACAACACTGCTGTTCTCGAGTGTAGGATTGTTGTAAGTTCAAAACCTGAGTTGTAGTTTCATTTCCATGATTCATTTTTGTGTGGAAAATACAGCGGTACATCGCTATGTCATGGCAGTTGCGAAATATTCCATCCCAACGGGTGAAGAAAAATCTCAAAGTTCTTATCGCTGTATTTGTTCCTGGTACTTGACCTAGATTCACTTGATTCATTCAAGCTGGTCTTTGATTTTGTCCGGCGGAGGGAAGAGGTCCCATGCGTTAGGTAGCGGCTACCCGTTACTAAACATAAAGACACTGCGCACACCTGCTCTAGCTTCCCGTGCCCGTCCCTAATTCAAGTTGTCAGGGATTCCGCAAAGTCAGAGCCTTCGGGATTCCACACCTGACTAAATCCTCACACGATTTCCTCCGCGATGAGAAGTCGTCCGCAGATATGGGTGCCGAACACTTAACTCCTTCAATCTTGCATCTGAAAGCCTCACTGCCCATGCCGCATAGCCTTTCTGTATCTGCCGTCGCAGAGGCCCACCTTCGAGGAAGTCACAGGTGAAAAGTGGAGGTCCCAATTGTATGTTGAGAAGGGTTGATAGTTTGCCTAGTAGTATTTTGTGTTGGGAGGAAGACCCTGGTTTTGATCGTCTTGCTAATAACCTTGTTAGATTCTCTTCTGTACGGTAGCAAGATTTAACTAACCAAAAGCTCCCCAAAGCTTGCAACAAGCGCATCCTCATAATCGCAGTATTTTAATTCTTGGCAACCCATTGATTCACGATGAGGAAACGTTGTTGCGACGTCAAAATCTATCCATACCACCCTTTCCGGGGTACTGGGAACAATTAGGATGTTTTTGGGATAGATATCATTGTGGTGGATTAGGGCGCTATGAATCGCTTTCATGCCGATCATCGCCTTACGGAAGCGATGAGTTGAGTAATTTACGCAGTTCAGTGCTTCTGCGCCGGATAAATATTCAAGCAAAATCGCCTTCGGTCTGTATCTGTCGTTGGCGAAAGCATTAAGCTGTGGAGCTCGGATTTCAAGTCGGTCGATATAACCATAGTAGCGGGGTACAAAGCCACGCTCACATACACCAAAGGCATGAAGGTTTCTGTAAGCATTCAATTCGCATCGAAAACGATTGAGGTCACGGCCTTTCTTCGTAAATCCTGGGTCACCATTGTCATGAAACTGCGAAGTCAGCGTTATTCTGGAGAAGGATATTAGAACTTACAAGTTTCATTGCATATCGGTTGCCATGAAGCTCTATCTCAAACACTGAAGAAGCCTGTGAACGAGAGATTTCCCTCCAGATATGTATGGAATCAGGGTCGGGGCGTAGTAAGTCGGTCGGATACCTCGAGCTCATCGTGACGGTCAGCGTGCGAGGTGGGAAATATCGAGGCTGGGCCAAAGTTTGGAAGAGGCTATCTCCTAGGGCTGGGAGCCTTCAAACTGGAGCTGGTACCAGCTTGTCGTCGAACTCGTCCCAGACCTGTTTCCAGTAGAAGTTCTACTAACTTGGTCGGGGAGACACGTGATTTGGATCTGACTAAGCCCTGTTTTATCCCACCAGGTTGAAAATTAATCTCTTTATATTCTATATGAATTTATCTATTCATTTAATTGATTATGAATCAGTTATACATGCTTTTTGATTGATTGATGAGCTGAATGAATGAATGAATGAGTGAATTGAAAGATTGAAAGTCAATTACCAACTGATTATTACTGTATTGTGCGAGGTCAGGGTCATGATTATGTAATGAGGTCAAGTGGCGCACTTAGCAAGGTCAAGTTTTCTGCTTCCTGCACATGGCAGCAGCACTGAGAGAGCTCTTGGAGGAATAACGTTGTTATGTTTTTAATCTAACTACGCGAGTTACACTAAATAGGTTGGGGTGGCACGTGACTAGGGTAGGTGTAGTAATCACCAACACCCCCCCTTGCTACGCCGTGGTCTATAAGCCGCCACCCGGGGCCTCTCTCATCCCCAAATCTTTCAAAAATGCAATAATAATTAATTACATGAATCAGACCCTGATTTCCTCATTAGGAAAGGCGTCTGTATGGCAATAACTGTAAAAATCAAGAAATACATGCAAAATCCATTGATTCACTGTATTATTATTACCATTCAATCATTCCTTTCTGATCTCTTTTCAACCAATTCTTTTGACAAAATCTTCAAATGCAGGCTTCATCAGTGACTTGATAAGACTGTCAGCTATATTCACTGTAGAATCAACATGTTTCATCATGATTTCCTCTTTTTCAACCAAATTGTGAAGAATATGATATCTAATCTTGATATGATATAATCTTTATATTAAGAATTCTCCCTTTGCTAGATCAATTGCTCCCTTATTATCAACTTATAGATGTGAGCATATTTTCACTTTTTCATTATTTATCAACTCAGTATCATATTCTTTCGCTCCACCACGAACTCGCTCGATTTTTCGAATAAGAACCCGCCGATAGATCCATCGAAAAGCCCTCGATCATACGAGCATTTTGACCCCATCGCCGACCGCATACCCCGTGTGGTGGTGGAGTTATCCAGCCAAATGTGAACCAGATGTCGTTCGGAACTCCTGCGTGGGATTATCCCCCATTCTCCCCTACCACACCACAACCCCGGGCCAAATTGCCATACAAATTGTAAGGTGAAGAGACCTAGCCGTATGCACCAATCTTCTCAATTTTGGAAGATCCCCAATCTGTAGTTGTGGAGATATCTGAGAAGCGACCTCCGCGAAAACCCTGTCCATCTTTGATGTTCCAAAACACCAACGCCAAGTCCCACCCTTGTACCGCCCTTCCCAATCTGGCCCATCCCCGGCAGAAAAATACAAAAAGATACCTCAGTGATAATATCAAGCACATAATCAATGAACAACAAGTCAACAGCACACCAACAACTATAAAATCAGTATACCCCAAGGTCTGACTGAGCCTTTGATCCCTGCACAGTGAGATATATTAAATCTAGTTTTAATATCTCAATATTCAATAGATTCTGCAAGGGATTGAGAACAGCAACACTAGATTTCTATTAAATTTAAGAATTAACTCTATATTGATATAATCATTGACAAAGTCTTCTATTTTAAGATATAAATAACCAGTTTCTCTACATCTCACTGACAATATTTATATTATTATATAGAAACAGACTTATATTCTCTATAATATCAAGACTCTGAAGAGGAAAAGTCTTGATAGAGAGTATACAGTAGTGCATATCTTAGCAGTTTCTATCTCATTCTTCTGCAGCAGTTAATGCAAAAAAAAAAAAAGATCTTAGAAATAGTTTTTTACTTCTCTTGAAAAAGTAAGATGTTTTTCTCTGAGTTTTATACAATATTCTTATAAAGAATTAAAAACAGAGTTGTTTTCTGTTATAATTTCATATTCTTTTAAGTAAGAATTACTTTTTCAGTAGCTGAAGAGCTTTCATTAATACTTAATTCTTTTTTACACTCTTTATTAACTGATTTGAGTTGCACACTTGTTGTGTGAGAAGAATTGAATAATTTAGAATAAAATTAAATAGTTTTAATCAATTTCTCTGCAAAAAATTGATTTATTTTTTATCAGTTTTTCTCTCAAAAACTGTTATATCATCTGATTTACTATCAATTGATATCATACTTTTTCTCACTGTATCTCAAGAAAGAGATTGTAAAGATTTTATTAATTTATCTTAAAAATCAATTTTAGTTTATTAAATTCTCTTCAAAAATCTAACCTAGTTACTGAACTAGTATGAAAAAAATCAGGTGTTTATACACAAAAGTCTGCTAGTCTTCTTTTGAAATAGTCTGACCAACTTTTCAATTGAAAACAGGCTTAGAAATCTCTTAATTGAAACAGTCTGATCAACTTTTCAATTCAAAAGAGTTTAATAAATATCTCAATTGAATTAGTCTGATCAACTTTTCATTGAGTAAGAATAATGAGTTCAAAAGTACACTCAGTTGATGTGGAAAAAGATGCTTTCTCAAATACTATTTCTGAGATTGAAATTCTGAAGAGAAGAAAGAAAGAAGAAATAGAGAAACAACAAGTTCTTGAAATACAGAAACTTGAAAAAGTAAGTAAAATTCTTAGAAAGCAGTGTCTGAGTGAGATGAATGAAGAAGTTCTGTTAATTCTTCATGCTCAGGCTAGACAATTACAGAAAGTGATCAAGTTCAAACTTGGAATTTCAAACACAGTTTAAAAAACTTTGAAAATTTCTAATACAATCACTGACTCTTCAGTTTGCTCTTCTTTCTTTTCTACTTCTTCTTCTTATTCTTCTTTAAATTAGAAGAAAACATATGCTTAAGCAGCTGAATCTGCTGTCTCTAAATCTGCTATCTCTAAATTTGCTATCTCAAAATCTGCTTAAAATTCTGAGAAAACTGAGAAGAATACTGCTCATACTTCTAGTGATAGAAGAGTGAAGAAAAAAATATAAAAAGAGAAAAATCTTCAAATCTTCAGAAATAGAAGACTTATTCTCAAAGTCTCAAATCAGAATATATTGCAGAAAAATAAGCTAAACTCAAACCTCATTTTCAGAATTAGAAATGAAATCAATCAACAGTTCTTTTCTCAGTTCATGACTGATATTGAAGTTCAAAAATCAGTTATAGCTTCAATTGAGTCATTCTTCTTTTAAAACTTCATCATTCTGACTACAATGCCTGAATTCAGTGCTGAATTCCTTATTCAGAATGAGAATCTCTGAAAATTAGCAGTAGAATCTTTGTTAAACACAATAATTCTATCTAAGAGAGATGAAAAGTGAGACAAATTCATTCTTCATAATATTCCAGTTGAAATTTTTAACTGTGAAGAAGAAATGCTACTTCTCAAAAATGAATTAGAAGAATACAACTCTATTCAACTGAGAAAGAAGCCTGTATGACTAAATTCAATTGAGTTCAGATAAAGTAGAAGAAATGTCTCTGTTCTAGTATATACAAAGACAATGAAACAGTCAAAGATCTCTGAAGTAAGAGTAGTAGGTTTGAAAATAAGAGTTCATGAATACAAAGACTTAAGAATGAATCTCAAAGCTCAAACACAGTGTTCAAACTGTCAAAGATATGAACACTTTGCAATCTCCTGTTTCAGAGACTTAAAATGTGCATTCTGTGCCAGAGATCATAAAACTAGTGAGCATAAATATAAAACATGCTTAAAAAGAGATGAAATATGTCAACACACTCTGCTTAAATGCTCTAATTACAAAGAAAAATATGCATCTAGCTCAAAAGAATGTATATTTACTTCAAGAACTCAAAAGAACTGAAGAAAAGATGAAGCTCAGAGTAAACCTAGAACTGAAGAGAATAGTCAAGTCAGTAAACTCATAACTATAAGCTTAAAAAGAAGAAACTCTTAACTGTCTAAGTCTTCAAACTTCAATTCTTCAGCTAAATGTAAACAGAATTTGAATTCTCAAACTTCTGTTAAGATTAGAGAATTGAGAAATAACTCTGATAATAAACTAGATATAATGTAAGCAGTTGAGATTTCTACTTTTCAGAACAGTTATAATCTACTATCTGATGATAGTGATTAGATTCTACTCTACTCTCTTTTAGTATGAATATACAATAAAAACAACAAAAAAAGTTTAAAAACTCTTCAAAAATCACATTTATTTAAAATAATGTGAATAGAAACTCAAATTGTATTTATTCTTATCTTCAAATTGCATTTGAATAAAAAGTTGATTTTATACTGCTTCAGAAGCCGAATTTTGATACTGAGTAAAAATATGTTATTTCTCATTCAAGCTACTACTGCTTTTTACCTCAAAAGTCTGAGATAAAGTCAAGAGTAGTGATCTATGAAAGAAAGAGATCAAGATATTAATTTAATCTAAGATTTAATATTATGTCTGACCCTGATATTCTGGTGAGTGATATTATAGATAAAGAAAATGAGTTTGATACTATACAGCTTATAAATATCTATAATGAAAAGTCATTGAAGAAATATAATAATATCTGAATAATTGATAAAGAATTTCTGAACATAACTTCATCAAGAAACTCTATAATTGCAGGAGACTTCAATGCACATCATCTCTGATGAAATTCAGAATACAAGAGAGCAGTGAGAGCTGATAATCTGATTGAATGAATCTTTGAGCATTCAATAGATTTGGTTAATAAGTCTGATCAACAAACATTCTTTAGAAAAGACATGAAACAGAAGTCTATTATAGATCTAATCTTCATATCACAAAATCTAATGAAAAGAAGACTTATAAACTGGTTTATTAATTCAAATGAGACATCAGGATCAGGTCATGAGATTATTCAATTTGATATTGAACTGAGTGAAAAATAAATGAGTGAAAAT